AGAGCTGATCGAACTTTTTCTGTTTGTCCTGAAGATCATCGTAAAAGTGGACTCAGGGTTTTGATGTCTTCGGTCCTTCGTGCAGAGAGGGGAAAGGGACTAGATTGACAATACCCACACCGATGAGGCCCAGGATTTTGCTACTGTAGTGTCGTCGCTACAAAGAATTAACGTTGTATTTCCTAGTGCTCTTACCCATCTGCTTTGCTACGCCATCTTCGTAAACCCACTTTGTTCGGAATGCGGATAGTAAGCGGGGGGGTGGGTTAGGCGATGGAGCTTCACACCGATGGATGCGACTGGAGATACAGGATACAGGCAACGATCCATATCTACCTAGTGGGGGAGGGTCTTGCTGATCGTCTACGCACGTTCGTCTACTCGAGAACGACGGTGATCATACATACAAGACTACTACTGTAAACAGCATGTATGTAATGGTGCTCAGATCCCATCTTGACGGCATCCAATCAATTCCTTGTCACGATCGGGCAAAATGGGTTATCCTACCCCCCTCTCAGCATTTGATGAGTTGTGATAGGTTCCCAGATGGGTAATCCTAACCTACGTAATAGGTTAGGCTAGTATCTAATTGGGAGATGCCACCTCGAATCAGAAGAATGTGGTTGTCCATTATGGGAAGCGGAGGCAATAGGGCTTTGAAAATGTATGTAATATATGTAATATATGTAGGCAGGTAGTCACTTGAGCATCATGGGAGTTTATTGCTTCTCCAACCAACCCCCGTTTCCGACGCATAGAGGTGTAGTCATGATCGTGATTAGATATTGACCCTGCTACCCTGACCATTGACCACGCCGGCCACGGCGCAGAAACAGCAAAGCCGAGAAGCCGAATCCACTTCTTCGGCTAGCATCTACCGTCGTGACGCTAGGTTAATCGTCGTCACAATTAGCGCTCTGATAATGGAACCAGCCTCCAATCAGCAGGCCACGAACGGTCTTGTCGGCGGCATCGTCCCCTTGGGCGGTGAAGGAAGACACAACGAGCCGAATTTCAACGGAATTGCTATCAAAGGCATGCCGAGCAGCCTGACTTGGAGACGCAATGATTCCATTTTGACTATTGCTGATAACGTGTACGCATTGCGTGTAACACGGGACCTTTATTATAAACGTGTGATGTTGAAAGTTGAAAAAGGAAGCATTTTGGTACCTAGGTAGGTTAGGTAGGCAGCTAGGTTAGGTACCTTAGGTACCTGTTAAAAGGGAAAACAAACCCTGAAGCAGCACCTAAACTTCAATGTTGGAAATTCACTTTACCCAGGAGACGGATAGATACATAACCTAAAACCCCAGCTTTCAAACACCGGGGGCTTCGCGCCTAAGACTCAGCCCGCCAAAACGGGTTACTAAGGTTAGGTAGAGCTGAACATGGAAGGTCAGGTCTCCATGGGGTTTTAAGGGCCCTATAAGTGTATCCGGTATTACGCAACTTTTTTCTTACCTAACGTACCTCAACTTATAGGTACCCTGACATATATATCTTCTTCCCACTAACATCCTTTACACCTCTACACTACACCTCTAAACCTCCACGTAACAAACAAATCACAATACTAATGATGAAATCAATCAATATAATGATGATACCTACCTAAGTACCTAGGCAGATAATATCGTTTTCGAAGCCTCGATCGACCCTTACTGCAGGTCTCGGTATTCGTTTATCTGTCTCTCCACGTTTCTACCAACGTCACTCTTACATACTCATGCACGATCCGCATGAAGAGATGCATGCAATTGTCCGTCGATCTGCCTATATTAGCTGCTTTAACTATTGCTCTTTGCAGGCATAATTTTCTTTTTACTTCCGCCATCTCTCTGACGAATCATGTAATCCTGAGAAATCGTCGGGTTTGCCGCTACTTGGCGTGTGAAGAGACGTTCAGGGGACGATCGTAGGACTTTCTACTATGCACTATGGGTTTTTGACCACCCCCCGGCTTTTTTATTTTATTTTAATTCTCCGTTCGAGATCCGACGATGAGTCAAACTTTTTTGTTAAAAAAAAAAAAAAAAAAAAAAAAAAAACATCGGATCCCTCCAAATACCCCAACTTAAAATACGGCGTTCCTGGACAACGACCGAATTTCGATCGTAAGCGAGATTACCGAGCCAATACTAATTGCAGAATTCTACTACTAAATCCATTTCAACCAATAGCCTTTTACATACCTTTAAGGTTGTACTTTATGTCAGAGCGATAATGATTAGTATCACACACAAACCACGATCCCCGATCCTACTCGGTTGTTTGAAAGGTCCCACAAACCGTGTATGGGTTGTCGTAGTTAAAGGCCAAAAGGTGTTGAGTAATACTGAGCTGAGTAGTCTGATTATTATTATCCCTTCAGCAGGCTTGAGTCCTCATCCTCTCAATATCGAAGAACTTCCATGATTGTTATACTAGGTATGAAAGGTTTACACACTTTGTGTCTCGAGGGTATTAGCAAGGGTCCCCTACCCGTGGCGTCTAAAGTACGCACTTCCCTTGCCGTTCCGTAAATGATTCGGATAAGGCGCCATTGTTGATTTTCTGTTTTCTCTTCACGGACCCCATCCTCCTAACTATCATAGCATCCCACGATGCCGAAAGGTTCAAGGCGCTAATCCGCATCCCCTCTACGGGCATTCATAATGATATAGTGACATCATGGGATTAAGTCTAAGTTAGTAAATGCTAGCTCAAGCTCCACTGCGGTTTATTGCGGATAGGACCGTTCTTGCAGGACTTAATAAAAACATCTATTATTGGTCTATTCAGAGACTAAAGAGAGGAACGAATGCACAACCGGGGGCTTATCACCACCATCTGATGTTAGATCCTAGTCTACGACGGCTAGCTACAGCGCTACGAGACCTGCGGCATCTATATCAGGTATTCTCTTTAAAAGATATGGTCAAAATAGGAAAGCTAACACCCGATGAAGAATATATTACTGATTCATCAACTTATTTACCAATACAACACCCAGCCTCCGCACCAGTCCTTCTTATGAAAGGTTGAACGTTGTCTTTGTGAGGGTTTGACACTAAAATATTCCACGAGAAATGGTCCTGGGTATGCTAATTGCGTGTCCATCTCTGATAGGTACAATAATATATAAACGGCACTAACAGTCAGTCATGAGAACCAAGCAAACTCCATTGAAGGTCGATGACTTGCGAAATTGAAGATGGAGATATTATTGTCTTAGGTACCTACCTAACCTAACCTAACTTTCCCGATTTTCTCCGTTAATAAAAAGACTAGGAGCTGTTTGATATCTAAGGAGACCTTGTTCGGCCTGTCGTTAAAAGGACTTGGCCTGGCAACTAATGCGCCTTCTGAATGCTACACGAACGACAATAACTACCTGGTACCTAGCCTGGTAGGTAAGTCTACCGTGGTTCACTTCAGATAGGCTCTGCAGGGACACTAAGTTGCAGATTTGCAGAAGAGAATATTTTAGCGAATGAAATCGTTTGCCGCCTTCCTGAAGCGTTTACCTAGCCCCGGAATTTATGAGACGGGAATCTCAAAAGCCTTAGCGGCTAGAGCTAATAATAAGAAGTATTTTACAAACAGAAAGGAGAAAAATTTATGACAACCTACCTAGGTACCTAGTAAATGGTGAGATAAAGTTTTGTCTGCGCAATTAGCTCGAGAGGGTTTTACTGTCCATTGGGATATCAGCCATGAGTCCCGCAATTTTCCAGAAAGGATCTCTTGGCCAATGAAGATATATCTCTGTTGCACTACGTCAATGGACCAAACTTGAAGGACTGGTCGATGGATTTGGATGGTGTCATGCAGGAAGCAAGGGCACAGAGCTCAGTGCCTTAGGTTAGGTATGCATTGGGGTATCAACCAATGTATCTCTTATGATGGTGTGCACATTATGACACCTGGCTGAGACCGAGGTGATGGATAGTGTTTACATTTTTATTCCCCTCCCCCAAAGTTGACGTTGTTTAGTGACCTTCCTTTGCATGCGGCAATCAAATCCGCTTTTCCGGACGTTTCATTGCATACGAACCCTTGTCAGGCTCAAGGCTTTTTAACGTTGAATCATAATAAAAATACTCACGGGCGGCGAATGAGTTTGGTTTGGGGCCTGTCAGCGTTCCCTTTCAGCACATGCGACTAAACCTCCTATTCCTCTTACCGATGTTCGGCAAACAAATCTGTCTCTGAGGGACATATGGAATCCCTAGAAGTCATCACGGGGATTACTTGAAAAAATATCAAGCGCGGCTCCGTTCTCGGAGTGTTTATTTGGTCTCGCGAGGCTGAGACCAATATCCGGTGATGCCCGAGATTCGTGGAAAATTTTGCTGGTGATGAACGATGAAATCTCACGACCCACCATCATCCTCCTGTTGGGCAACAAGGCTTGCATTTGCCTGCCTGACCCCTATCATTCGCATAGGTCTAGCCTCGTCGCCCAACGATACCATAACGCGGAAATTTTTATTTCCAAGACATCCTCGCTTTGCATATTACTCCGATGGCTCTGCAATCCGGTGGCGGCTGAACGTGCATGGTGAACACCGCTATTTTTCGGTCTCGAACACGGAGTACAAGCTTCTAATATGCGGCAATATCTCTACAACAAACGCGCCCCCATCGTCAAGATAAGCAGGCGGCTCCTTACCGAAGCCTACTCCTGCGGGCGATCCCGTAATGATGACGGTCCCTGCAGGTAGTGTGGTCCCTTGCGACAAGAAGCTCACTAACTTCGCGGAGTTGAAGATCATGTCACTGGATGTACTAAGGTTAGCCATTATGGTCCATCCCTTTACGCAAGCGCCTCCAACACGCAGATATCTTGACTCTGCTTTACGACGATGTGCTTACCTTGCACTTGAGTTCTGCATCACCTCACCGTTCTTTAAGCCTCAAATGGTAAATCTGCTAGGATCGGGCACCACTGCCGCTGAGACAAGGACTGCGCCCAAAGGACACGCATTGACAAATCCCTTGGAATAGCACGCTTAACTCTGCGCCAGCTGTGCTACCCTGCTGGATACCTCGTTGGCAGCCGTGTAGCTGAGAGCATAGCCCAACGTTTCCGACTTGCTCACGTTCTTACACGTCCTCCCGATCACGATGGTGAGCTCAGCTTCGTAGTCGGTACTATCGTCCTTTACCGTGTGCATCGGGATGAAAGTAGGTGCTGGCTAGGGGTCTCCCAGGGCTGTAGCAGGTTTCCTAGTAAATGCATGCAGGTCAGACATTGCCTTAGCGTACTTCAGGCGCATACAGAATTCGATCTTCGTATCCTCGACTCCTGCAGCTTACATTAAATACTAAAGGCACGTCGGGGACTTTCACTATAGATATTACGTTAGCACTTGGGTCCTGCAGGGACGGGAGGAAGGGGAGAGTGAGCAATTTGCGACGGGTGGGACGCCTATTGGAAGGGTTTTGCAAGGCTGGACACCGCGGAACCACGAAGGAAGATCCCGTACAGTTTGCTTCTTCGGCATGTGCTGCATACCTACTGCATGTCAAGATTAGTACCGTGGTTTCTCTTGCTGCATTTCTCGGCCCATCGATCGGCCCATAACAGCGGGTTAGACTTGCGTTCAGCTCTGATCGTCCCGACCTCTGCCGCGGCGACCGGCGACAGGAGACGACCGATAATCTCGATCGCGCCGTTAGGCTCGCCGGCATCCAAAACTGAAGTCCCGCTCAACATTCTCATTTTTACAGCTTCGCCCTCTCCTACGGCCTTCCCAAGGTATGCACCAATTGCTCTTCGTGGGCTCTCCAATAAGTACCAGGCCGCTCCCCCCCACACACGCGGGATAAACCGCACAAGTCCTGCAGAAATCGTTGTAATTGCTTAATGTGCGCGCTATTCCCGTTTTCTTTTCTTGCGAACTGGCTAAGCTTGGCAGATACCTAGCAAATGCATTCGGAGGACCACAACTTACTTTCGAATCCCATCATAACCCGTGCCTGGTTAGCGGTAGGTATACAATACGTTGCAAATCGAGAGCCGGGAACGTCGTCTTGTAACAAGGGTATTGTGTATAAGTCGATTGACTGCCTCTTTCTTTGTACGAATTGGTATACCAGCGTAGGTAAGCACCCACATATAAGTCCCTTGAGTCTCTTTCTATCTCGCCTGTTGCCTTCCGCTTTCACGCCTCGCTTCCTCTTCGGCACGTTGTTTCGTCACAGACGGTTGCAGACCGAGTTTTGTAGCCGCGCCATTTCCGCGTTTACCCTACGGTATTTGCGTCTACTATTCCGCTTCCCTTAACTGCCTGTTGAGTCATATAACCAAGTAGAATATCAGTTCGGGGTATACGCTTTTTGAATTCATAGGTGAAACTGGTAGGTCATTACTCGTCGAATCCGTTTGTGTATGCACAGTGTTAGTATTCTGCCTCTTGGATTTACTGTAGGCCTGGTACCTAGGACTCGCATATATGGGGAAATGACCTCACTGATATCCTGGGGGACTGGATTGGAACTTGGGTGATACTCATGAAGTTAAAATCCACTTTAGTTTTGGTGATTATTGAGAAATAAAACACAGTATTATAGAGATGCAAGATTGTAAATTCTAGTTTACTAGGCGATCTAGACGTTGAGTTATTCGAATGCTATCATTAACAGGTCGTTACTTATACTATACTTGTATTACACACATACGGGAGTGCTTCGGTTTCCTAGTCGATCACACTGGGATAACTTAGCCGGAGCGAATAAATGAGGTCTAGCGGAATAACACGTATGCGGTGATGAGCGGATTGGGGCGTAGGGAAGACTAACGATAGACACACCCGTGGCAAAAGAAGTGACGTCCGGGGGCGCCGTTGTTCCATGTCTGGCTTGCGGCCTCGGGCATATGAGATACATGATGACTGCTGGGCTTCTTCAAGACGATTCCAGTTAGCTCCTCAGCCTGCACTTTCCTACGTGGCTCGCCACGATTGATGTTTGAAGGCTTGAGGAAAGCCACCGCCTTTAAGGCGGTATGCTCGGCTTTAAAGAAGGGTCTCCTACAGGCTGCTTAATACTCAGAAACGTTTTCAGCATATGAGTCCCAAAACTATACGAGTTATGAACTGTTTGATTTCCATAGACGCGTCTTGAGATATCCTTGCTCGTGAAGCAGATACAAACATGGTATATAAACTTGCATGTGCATACCTAATCCTAGGAGGTATTCTGCATATCCATAGTACCTACATTTAGCGTGAACCAAACGGGCAATATAACTCTATACTACCTTGTACGTCTGTCGACCCTAAATCTTAGATCCCGCACCTAGAATATGAGGCTGAAAAAAGGACCACTATATCTCATACGGTATAACTGAATTTCCAATCAGGGTTCACTTCAAATCCCCCAGAAAATACATACCTGCGGGAGGTTTAGGTATCATCATATCAGGTCCCAACCGGAGGCCATCCCTGCTTAACCAAAAAAAAAATTAACATCATCGTCTCCGCCGACTCGCATAAGATTTCTATCACCTGACCAAGAAGGATTGGATATCGTTCCGTTGGCACGGCTGGGAGCTTACATTAGGTACGATTAGGTATTGGGTATTGTACCTGGTATATTCATCACACCAGTAAACACGCCTTTCACACGGCGGGGCCAAGAGACGCCAGCATGGTGATGATCCAACGCCCACTGCACTGCCCTATGCCTTGGGCGCCTATCGACATACTTCACATGCACATTTCCACTTGACGCTGAGTAAATCCAACCCAAAATAACCAACTAAAGGTACTAGGTACCTATGCAGAATTACATATGTCTTAGCCCTAGCGCCCAAGATTCGAAGCTCCGCTACCAAATATCTCATCCCGCCTTTCCTCTCTGTGCCACACGACGGCCCCGTCGCTCTTGCGCTTGAAGTACAGGATCCTGTGCTCTGGTATAAATTCCTCGTGCGTCGTATCCGACTTCCACGAGTCGATTGATCGCTCCATCGCCCCCAAGAAGCGATCCTCGTAGCCGACGACGTAGTCGCTGCTGTCCATGGTTTGGTCCCACCGAATTCTATTTAGAATATCGTACGCAGATCGGAGTTTTCCGCCGTGCGTTGGAATGTGTGATGGACGCATCTTTTTCTTCGCAGGTGGGGTTCTAACTTCATCCTCTTCGATAGATGCCCAGAACTCCGAATCGCCTATGTCCTCGTTCTCGGCTTCGACTGCGTACTGTCCCCAATCTCGATTGTCCAATCGTAGCTCCCCAAGTTCGCCTCGTGGAATTACTGTAGTATTTATCCAGTATGACTTGGGGTCGAAGAATTTTTCGTCTTTGCTTATCCAGGTGTCAAAAGTATGCACGCAGGTATCTAATGCATTTAATGTATGATGACCGTTGGATTCTCCCAAATCCAAGCCGATAATATAATGCTCTTCGTATTCTTCGTCTTCTTCGGAAGCATCTTGGTTTACGAAGCGTGCTGGCCAGATCCTTGAACGTATTTCAGGCGCTACCCTACTGATCTCTATGATTGTATTAGTTAGGTACTACGTGGAGTTTTAGGAGAGATGGAGATAAACTAACCGACTAAAAGAGAGGCACACATTGATTCCAACCACTCCAAGGTCTTGTTTATTTTCACCAGAGAGGCACTCCAGAACCGAGCAGTAATCTTGACGTATGTTGTATACGTGCCTAAAAACTCCTTTACGCCTGTATTCTCATCGAGGAGTTTGGCCCATATCATTTCGCTTTCTGATATCATTGCGTCTGCTCTCTTCAATTCCCTAATGATAGTTTGAGCCGTAGAGACCGACACAGTCTGCGCCGTGTTTAGTCGAGGGCCATAAAAACCTAAGATGACCATAGGCTCCCGTCTAGTTCTCACATAGCTCAAAGTTTCATGAAAGAAGGGGTCAAAAACCATGGACTTATCCCAATCAAACTCCGCGTAGTGGTGATAGAAAGTTGCCAATATCATTGGGACAGATATGGAGCCATTTTGATATAGCAGTAGCTTGCATATTCGCGATAGTAGAATCGATATCTGGATACCGCCAAGATAACCAAGTCGCGCAGCGTAAATGCCACGCCGGTTTGCCCAACACTTTATTACATAGTATGCTAGCCTGAAAGCGGCGAGATCCGGAGTTGTTCGCCGGAGATAATCCATATCACGCACTGGCTTTAGTATCCCTAGGGTACTATGTGGTAGATTGAACATGGGGTCGGCCGAAGGTAGCATCAGCGCGGCTGGCCAGGTCTCAGCGACGGAAACGGCTGAGCAATATTGTAAATCCATCTTGACATGGCCGACTGCTAGCTCTAGAACTGGACCAAATGGGGCATCCGATCGTCGCAGGATCTTGATGCCCCTCTGTGCAGCCCTACGAAGCCGCTGAATAGCCAGCGCGAAGAAAGTTTTTGGGCTGATACGTCCGATGCAGAGGCAGTTGATATCTGACGTCGCAGTCCAGACTCCCTGCCCATAAGATCCGACAGGTACTAGCACAAAAGCTGGAAGTCCACGGGTGGGATTATCGTCATCTTGCATTATTACTTCCTTCAATAAGCTTAACGCGGTTTCTTTCACTGCAGCATCAACGTCAGAAGGCAATACGGATTGCTCGTAAAGATATTGGACAAGTTGAGAGGTGGTCGTCAGATTTTGCTTGACTTCTAGCGGAGTGAAGATGAGCTTTCTGTTGTTACTCGGCTGAGCTAGATTATTTGGAGAAAGGTTTAGTGAACATCTGATGCCACAATGGTCGCTTCCATGTGAGGGCTCGACGTATGAATCATTATTCTTAGAGTCGATATCGGAATCAGTGTGTAAAGTTCCCATTTCCTGACCAAATAAGTTGAAACCTGTTACAATAAAGTCTTCTCTCGTTACTAGAATCCTGTCATAGCGTTGAGGTTTCTTGTCGAAGTCGCTATGAGTAGTATTATTGGCAAGATTACTGACTGTTGGGTCATAGGTTGGACCTTTCTCTCCCCGCAACGCCTTCCTCGAGTTCAGTTGGCTCGGGTCCTTCTCAGATGTATCACCGTATCGAACGCACGCAGAAACCCAGGAATCCACCAACCCCATCTCCATAGGCAGTTTCTCAAGTCTAGTTAAAGCATGGCTGCTTTGCGAAGAGATTTCGCCCCTTTTGACTGCCGTTTCAATAGTATATACACTCGTTGGAATATTGAAATCGCCAGCTAAAATCCAAGGATTTCGAGGGTATGTCTTGGATAGATGACTGAGGAGAGATCTTAGTTCTTGCTCCTTCCTTGTGATAGAAGCATTTGTGAGACCCGGGCTGAGATGAACGGCGGATAGGATGAGCGGTATGAAAGCTTTCCCCTCCAATTTCCCAATATGGGGAAATTGCATGATTATGAAGCCTTTGCAGGTGCTAGAAAGCGATATGCAGTCCCAAGAAAATGGCCACCTGCTCAGTACCACAATGTTAAGATGATTTGGCAGTGGCTCAATATCGGGCTGATCGGGGGGGCCATGTGAAATAAAGGGATAAACCTCCCGAACGCTCTCATATTTGCAAAGACATGAGAGAAAGTCGTCCGTGACTTCTTTTAGGACTAGAACATCTGCTCGGGCTTGGGCCTCTAAAAGATTCTGAATTATGATGGGGTTTCGAGCTCGACTTGGGGGATGTTGAAACTCGGCGTGAACATTGTAATTTGCAATGATTAGTGATTCCACATTCGGAGTCACCTGCTCAAGAACCGGCAACTCCGGCAGCTGAATCCATTTGAATTGAGTAGAATGAAATAGATAAGGAAGGCGTGTTAGTGGTGGGCTTTCCGAAATAGTATTCTCTTCATTCTCAGAGCGAGCTGCCCTTTCATCTTCGTAAAAAGCAACGGGATTCTGCATTGTCAAGAGGGTGCGAGAGGCGAGATCGATTTCTCCCCATAACCTCATTTTGTCGGTATGAATCTCATTCGTGTCTCGTATAAGGATATGAATCTTCTCAGCTTTCCATTGAAGGGTAGGAAGTAAGTCGAGCTTGTTCAACATAGAATCCAGCATTGGATCATTTAAATCTGCTGTACGTCCAACCGTCATGTACATTTGATCGTCCTCGTCGTAATCTCGGTTTAGAGAGAATAGCACGCGCTCCCGCAGGTCCTTAAAAAGCGTCGACGATTTGTTGTATAAGAAATATGTTAAATGCCCATCTTTGGAAATGAAACCTGAGCCATCCAATTGCATAACTGGCGGTGAAGCTTCAGATTGTTGTTGAAGCATGGACATGACGGGTTCGGGAGCAGCGTGTAATTTATCGACCGGTACAAATGGGTATACAATGTTGATATGCGGTGGCCATTTCTTGTATGCCGGGTCGAAGGATACTCTCAAGTTGTCTATAGCTGTCCATAAATGCTTTGGCGGGATAATGCATAACGCTGTGTCATAGCTGCTGCTCATGTCGGCCGAGGGGCCGGTTGAAGTCACTTCAGTATCCATACCTAGTAGGTAGCTATAAGTTTTCTGCCCAAGCAGTAACCGGATACGTGAGGTGTCGGAAATAATGAGATAAAATAGAGTTGGAGGGATAGATACCAAGAAGTAAAAGAGAGTCTAATAGCGGCGTAAAAAGTAGATGAAATGAAATGAAATGACAGCAAGTTATCAGCTTTAAAGGCTCGAGATAATGTTGCTTGAAACTATTGAGGTTTTATGACGGCGTAGCCATGCTTCCAAGTTACCTGTTAGCATACCTGTAGTTGTGCCTTGCATTAGGTATTGCATTGTACAATATTCCGTATTGTATTAGCTGCGCCACTTCCTAGCCCCCATTTCCCCATTATGAGTAATTGAAATATGTGTAGTCATCGTAGTCATCGTTCCCTCTTTAGGTAAAGAGCTCCCCTGTTTTCTTCTTATACGAGATTGTCCCTTCTCCCCTTATTGTATTTAAATTAATGGTTCTTCGGCGTGAGTCAACTGCACCGTCTATAGCCAGCCAATGTTACAAGCTTACCTACCTCCTAAGGTACCTCCTAACCTAGGGCTATGTACTTGCTGAGCAGCTACACTCTGAGCACCTCTAACCATTCCAACACCTACCTGGAACAACAGTATTATACCGTTGCATTGAACAATTATCATTTACGGTACCTAAGCGGGGATGAGATTTCTTGGATTTGACCTTCAACACCTCTCCTACTTGTCACTTTATTTATTCGCCGTACCGGGGTTCCTTGCATACTGCCACGTGTGCGGGAGAGTGCGTATCCTTAGAAGTTACTCTATTCGGCTGCCTATGAGGTCGTACGGACTCGGAAACGTGCGCGGATATTTCCGTATAAGTGACCAACGCCATGTGTAATAGTGTGACCCGGCACTTTGCCATGTGCTTCCCGCCCCCCCGCATTTATGTCATTGGCCGGTTAAGCAGTATAGATTAATTAATGGTTTATTTGTGGTCTTCGATATTAATTAAGTCTCGAAGCTTGATACACCATAAACTCCGTCCGTCTCCATTCTGGAATTCTTCCATCACTTTGGAGAAATACGCCGCCCTCCGCGCTATTCTATATTCATCAGGATGAAGACCATCCGGACCTTCTCGTTGTTGTTGTTCCCGGAACGGAGTAGTGCTGACTCTCTTCCGATGATGCGATGTATACCTACTTGAGATGTTCAAGAACACGTATAAGAGCTCCGCAAGACCAAGTGAATTATAACTAATACTCCCGGAGCGGTAACTAAAAAGCCACAGGACTAAATTTTGTTACAGAATTTCTGTACTTAGATTTCGATATGGATTCGTCGGCTGGTTCTCAAAGCTTAACACATGATGATAGAGCCAGCATACTCATCGGCGTAGTATGTCTCGTATGCACTATTGCCACAACGGCAGTAGGGCTTCGGTTCTACACGCGTTCATGTATACTCAAACAACTTGGTATTGATGATTATCTGATATTAGCTGCATTGGTTAGTCACCTTGGGTAATGTATGGTTGTATGGTAGCTGGCGAAAACTGACTTGGCTTCGACTCCTAAGGCCTTTGCTCTGGCGACAGGGGTTTCCCAATGTACGAGTAAGTAATCCATCCCAGACCCCAGCGTGGAGTTAGCAGCTGCTTATTGTTTATAGACACGCGCAATGGACTGGGAAAGCACGTGTGGAATCTGGGTAGCGACATCCAACGCAGCAATTATTTGAAGGTACTTATGCTATAATCTCTATTGCTGTGGAAAGCCTAGTGTTGACAATCAGATGTTCCAGGGCTTTTATGTCTCCATCACACTCTACAATACAGGACTTATGTTTGTTAAGTTGGCATTCTTGACGCAGTATTACCGGCTACTTGCTACGAAGAAGATGCGGATGATCCTGATGATTGCCATGGTACTAATTGGTTGCTGGTCTATGTCCCAAATTGCCGTTGGTATCTTCATCTGCGATCCTATCTCCGGATTCTGGGAGAACTCGACAGGCTCTTGCATAGGAAATTACCCTCAGTGGTACATCAATGCGGCGGGGAACATCGCGACAGATATTGCGATTTTCGTATTACCATTACCTGTTCTTAGGCACCTACACCTCCCTAAGGCTCAGCGACTTGTCCTTATTGGAATATTCAGTTTCGGCTTCTTGTAGGTTTTACGGCAATCCAGTGTTCTGACCAAAGTAAACTAACAGGTAGTCAAGCACGTGTGCTATTTCTGTCATCCGTATCAAGTTTCTCCAATTAGGGGGTGACGTCTCGTACGAAAATGTTGAGGGGTCTAGTTGGTCCATTACAGAGCTATGCTCAGGCATCACCTGCGCATGTCTGCCTACACTGCGACCTCTGGTTTCGAAATGGATTCCTGCTCTTTCAAATCGTCTCCATAAACCAACCAGAAACTCCTGTATGGCAGGCGCAGAGCGAGGAAGCAGGCACATTCGTGGCGATTCGGATGCGAGTAGGATGATGGACATGAAGAACGAAGACGAAATATTTTACTACTTGGGCGTACATGCGCGTTCAGATGGCAACATGGATGGCTCGAATGATTCATTGGAAGCTGGGAGACTACGCGAAAGCTTGTCTACCTGTCATGGAGGCAGTTCGCCAACACCTCCACCTCCACCATGTGCTCACATCCAAACTCGCACCTCTCATAGGCCGAGCGCTTATTGTGGTTGGATAGGGTCGTCGGTGACGACAGAAATTGGCACAGGTGAGAAACGCAACCAGCACAACCCCAATAATCTTTCCGCTGCTGCTATCCAGGTCCAGCGCGACGTGGTAATGCATTGAATGTAGACTGGATGATTATGTAGACTCCGATTTGATACAATCGAATAAAGCAGCACGTTTATTCATCCACCTATGGACATTAGTGTCCGTTAAGGACATCGGTCGAAATAAAATTTAAACGTACAAGTTCACAGCCTACCTAGGAAGTACCATTTGCTACTAATTAGAGCTTTTTCGTAATCATCGGGGATGATAGAAAGAATATCATTATAATCTTTTTTGTTCTCAAGCCGAACTCCTTGAAAAGCATTACAAGTAAACAGTAAACTAGTGCAGACCCTGGGTATCTCTACAGCAAACCGCTCCGTCTATAATGCTACCTGGAACAGGAAAGAAAACGTCGTAAACTCGTATTAGTAACTTCATATCTCCGACGGAGGCCTCATGCACGTGTCGTGAAACAGCGCCTCGCACCGAGCGCTCTTCATAATGTTCCCCGTCGTCCCCTTGCTGTGCTCAAACCTCGAGTCGTCGCTTCCTTCGCCGCGCCCGTCTCCAGCGTGGACGTCGCTGACGTATCCCAGCTGGGCCGGGGGCTCGTAGTGGTTGAACAGTTGCGGGTTGACGACGATGCACGTGAGCTCCCCGCTCTTGCAGTACCCGGACAGCGCGACGTCGAACGCTTCGTTGCCGCCCCGCGATAGCAGAGGCACCATTTTCGCCGCGCCGCGCCTCGTCACGCCGTATCCGAACGTGCACACGGTTACGTGGGAAGCCTGGACCTGGCGATGGCCTTCGGCCAGCTTCTCCCTGAGGAAGTGCTTGGACCAGCCCGAGTACAGCGGGGTCTCACAGCGGGAATCGTCCGCGAAGACGCGCGGCGGCGGTAGGATGTTGTTGTTGTTGCTATTGTCGTTGCTGTCGTCTGTGATGCTGGAGCCGCAGTGGCCGAGCCACAGGACATCCCAGGCGGTGCCGAACGGCGCGGGATCGTCCTTGGCGGCAGCCGTGTAGGCGCGCACACTGTCCGACACGAGCCGCATCTCCGCCTTGATCCGCACGTCCCAGTCGACGTCGTCCTCCACGATGAACGCCGTCTCGTACCCCGACGCCACCACGAACTTGAGCAGGTCGACATGCGCGAGCCAAGCTCTGGCCGACCCAGCCGCTGGGAGCTTGGCGCCTGGCTTGTCGACGCTCATCTTCTGGAATGCTGCGACCAGCTCGTCGGAGTTCTGCCCCTGCGGTGGAATGGTAAACTCGAGGCCGCTGAGTTTAGCTGCTGCTTCGAGGCCTCGGGTCCTCCAGCTCGGTTTATTCGACAGTGCTATAAGTTTTTGGAACTGTGAGCTGGTTAGCACAGTCCTGGCAAATCATACTAATTTTCTTTTATTCGGCACCGTTGAATGAGAACGGTCCATTGAAAAAAAAAAAACGCAACTTACCCCTAATGTGCCGTTCGCTGCCAATTCCCTTGGTGATTGAGTGAGGCGAAAGGTTGGACTGCCGTGTAACTGCGAATAGACGTCGAATCGGCCTTGCAAGAACCACAGAGTTAATACGAGTAGTATTACTACCAGTAAAATACATCTTTTGTTCCGCATGGCAGCTCCATGATTAGTCCAATTCGACTGCATCGCGTCGTCACGGCGGGGAAAACGCCCGGGTCACAGTTACAGCGCGATTGACGTATGGCTGAGGGAGAAGAAGTTGGGCATTCTAGAAAAGATCCGAGGCACAGAATGGAACATCGTGGGGAAGATATGGGGTAAAACTGTCAATTGAGACGGGACTGAATCAGGCTAGAGATAGGCACCTAACCTGATAAAACTGTACAAGTTTGCTGTCTGGATTCGTCGTCTGGTCTGTCCATGGTATGTTGACCTCGACCCGGACTGTGTTTGCCTGGCACTGTAAAAATCGGCCTGTCCAGCCCGACTTAGCGAGTGCGAGAGATGCAGGATACGATACAGCCTGGCCTTTCATTGGGCGTTATCCAGCAAAGAGCATATTATACCTTATGGCTACCTCCTAGGTATGTTACCGTGGTAATACCCCCTCGTATGGCTGACATAAAAAGGACTCGAAATATGATAGCCGACCGAGCTGATGCCGGTAAATACGGCCGACTTTGGGGTTGGACCTCTATCCCCGTGCTCTACAACCAATAGGCAACCGAGTTGCCGCCCGAAGAGACGACAAGCTGTATAGGTATGCATATTTACAGAATTAGCCTTATTATCAACTACCTAATATGAAGCTGCTAAGCTTCGAATAATTACAAGCCGCAGCATACGTACCAGGTATGTACCTACCTAAAGTTACCTTGGGCACCTAGGCACCTAGCTTACATGCGCATCGGTTAAGGAACAGCTATTTTTGTCCCAAGAGAAGAAGTATCGTGATGTTATTCGGCGACCTCCTTTTTCCAGGAGAAACCTTAGCGGGTCCTTCAACCAAAGCCCGAAATTTTCGGTGATATTTACCTGATTTCGCTTCCTACATGGACAGCGATGCCATGTTCCTCGTGAATCCCCTATCTGATCGTTCCTATTTACGAATATCAGTCGTGTAATCCTCACGTCATCATAAAAGTATTATGGCATTTGAATGGGATATAATGCCACCGGAAGTCATGTTCTTTGAGAGATAACTTTCGAACCTAAGGAGCGATAAGTCTACGCATTTACCTTCTCGCCCTTTGCCATGAAGCGGCTTGCCTTCTGTCTAAGTCGTTTGTCCCGTTGTATCCCGAAATATCTCGTCGATAGGGTAATAGGGAGTGGGTCTTTTCGGGGTATGAAAGCCCAAGCCTCTGAAGCATTCGCCGGACCGGGAACACCGCTTTAAAACTACCTAGGTAAGGATATGAGATAGCCTATCGACTTTACCTGGATCCCGCTCCGTTGCAATCTAGATTCTAGAAGGCGGCCTGTCTCTACTTTAAAACTTATACCGCGTATCCTTACGTAGTATACTATATGCTATGGTCTAGATCTCGTCGCGTATTTTGACCACCTAGTGCTCGAGGATACCCAGCGCAAGAAGAACAGATATTCCAAGCGCCCCATGGGAAATAGAGCCGAACTCACCAACGGGTGTCCCTACGGTTTCACACCTTTCGATCCCACTAAAATATCCATATGGGGGTCGTTCTTTAGAGATGCCGGTGGTTTTTTTTGGAATAAGTGTAGGTATGTATGAAATACGATCCCAATAGAGGACATGAGTCTCTACACTTACCCACGACCAAGTCTCAATTTCCTGCTCTTAGGCGTTAGGATATAACATAAGATGTTGCCGTAAAGTGTATCCTCCTGCACTAGGTTAGATGGGGGGAAGAGCTTACTTGATAGTGTATATGCGTGCTCCTCGTGCCGTAACAAGATGCTTCTTCCTGAAGGAGCCTACAAGAGGCTAAGCCGTATATACCAGGATCGTGGGGAAAAAGGGTTGCTGCAGACCCACGGAGGCTCTTTTTTCCTACTTACATCTCCTGGCTGCCTGGATATTTGATACTAGATCGAGACTTATTTCACACTTTGCTCTTTGTAACTTAGATGCACCACATCACTTATTGCGGTCGGTTCAAAGTTTTTTTCTTTCTTCTTCGTAGACCTTTTTACAACTTAATATCCCCATCTTATAAAGTTTTAATTTACTGCACAGACCTAATTTATACGGAGTGCTATTAAAGCAATTTATAATAGGTAGGAGGTACAGTACCTTAAGCAGACTATATACCTATTCCCAAATTCGCGACATGATAACGGCCCAAGGAAATACAATCGTTACTCCTGATGGACGACGACGACATGCTCACTCTTCTCAGCCGCCAACAGCCCCAGCTGCGCGATCGTCAGGTTCCCCAGGATCTGCACGACGGGGATATCCGAGCGCAGCTCCGTCACGAACCAGTGCAAGAGCTCGACCGCGACCAGCGAATCGACGCCGAACGCGTGCGGCGGCCTGTTGATGTCGATATCCTCCACCGGCACCGCCAGCGACCGCGCCAGACGCTTCGAGAGCAGCTCCGCGATTATGGCCGCTGCCTCCTTGCGCGACTTGGCGGATTGCAGCCGCGTGCTGGCCGGGCTGGCTTGGAGCGTGGCCGTGGTGGTTTTCACGTCTTGCTCCACCCGGTACAGGTGCTGGAACATCGGCATGCGCATCCACCCGTGCTCTTCGATGATGCCGCTGCGTCGCACGAACGCCGGCGTAGACATCGCGCCGATCACTTGGGTATCCCAGGGGTTGGCTATTTCCAAGTGCGGGTTGCACGCGTACTTGAGCATGAAGTGAAGCTCCTTCTCGCTTAGGGACTTGTGGTCCGTGTACGTCATCGCCAGCGCCTTCGCTATGTCGATGCGCTCGGCGATATACCCGATATTCTGAACAATTCCCAGGTCGAGCGATACGCAGTGCTGTCCTTGCGAGTGCCGGAACCGCGCGAACGCGTCTAGGAACGAGCTTGCGGCCGCGTAGCTGCTCTGAGAAGTCGCGCCGTGGACGCCGGCGAGGGACGAGAGCATCACGAAGAAGTCCAGCCCGGAAGGGAGGAGATGGTGGAGATTCCAGGTTCCTTTGATTTTAGGGTCGATAGAGGCCTGGAAATCCGATAACGTGTACTCTCGGAACACCCTATTCTAAAACACAGGCGAGTGAGTATGGCATTGGGAAGTAATCATCAATGGGGTGGACTTACCTCGACAACCATGGATCCTTGGATACAACCCCTGATGGGAGGCATGTTTGCCTGCGCATAGTCGACCATCGATTGCACTGCGACAGGGTCTGAAATATCGCAACGGGGCGCGTAAAAAGCGACGCCGCTGTTCCGTAATTTCGATATTAGGTCCTTAGCTGCGGGTGATTTAACACCTGACCGCGAGAGCAAAACTAGATATTTTGCTCCGTGTTGGGCCATCCATGCTGCAACGTTCCTCCCGATACCTCCCAAACCACCTGCGATGACATAGGTAGCATTGCTGTCGAATTCGTAGTCCAATGGGCTTCTTGGAACAACCTAGCTTCCTGTTAATGCTTACCAAACGGTAATTCTTGTACGAGAACTGGAAATTACCTGTAATGTATCCTCCTGTTGCCAGTCAACTACCGCCTTGCCAACGTGCTGTCCAGTCTGCAGAAACCTGAACGCTTCCTCGTACCCCGAACGCTTGAATGTGGTCAATGGGTACGGGGCTTTGTATTGCTGGGAAGACGGGTTCAAGAGAAGCTCTTCGACTTCCTGCATGACCTGCTTTATAAGGCCGTTGTCCGCTTTGCTTAGAACCGCAAGATCGAGGGAGCAGAATGAGACATTTCGCTTGAAGGGCTCCATAGGAAGACTCTTGAACGTCTCGATATCACGCTTCCCCATTTCAATGAATCTCCCCAAAGGTGCGAGGCATCTCCATGTCTCGATTAAGGCCTGGCCAGAGAGGGAGTTGAGAACGACGTCGACCCCCCTTCCTGATGTTATCTGCATGATTTGCTGCGCGAATAGGGTAGATCGGCTTGAGAAAAAGTGCGCAGGATCAAGGCCGTACTGGTCGACCAGCAGCTGTTTCTTTGCGGGGGTGCTGACCGTGATGTATATTACCGCACCAGCTCTTTGAGCTATCTGAATAGCAGCTTGGCCAACAGCTCCGGCTGCAGCATGGATCAGTATACTTTCGCCCTTCTTCAACTGGGCTAAGTGACATAACCCATATTGCGCGGTAGCGAACGCAACTGGTATGGCACACGCCTCGGTAGAAGGCATCGTATTGGGAACTTTCATAAGATGGGACTGTTTTGCATGGACACGCGTGCGGAAACTGCCATCTACGATCCCACACACTCTGTCTCCTTCGCGGAAGCGTCCATCGGAGCCTGACCCCACCTTGGTGATAATACCAGCAAACTCCTGGCCGATATGGTCATCTGCAACCTGGTTCAAGGCTACCATGACATCTTTGAAGTTGATACCGGTTGCTTCCACGGATACTTCGACCTCGCCTTTTTTGAGGGCTCGTGATGCTGATGCGTCCGGACCAAAGTGGAAAGAATCGAGTAATCCCGGAACGAAGCGAAGTTCTAGCGCATGTTCGGTGTCGTCGTGTTTCCCAGAAACCGTTACCTCTTCAGGTTGCGATCCGTGAAGCTCTGAATGGAGAAGCTGGTTCAGGTGTGGCGATTCTATGGCCCTGGGGATATAGATGGCGGAATCTTGTTCCAATATGTCTGTTTCCAATGCTTCTGTGGACGTTGTGTAAATCTGTTCGATAATGCGTAAGATGTTCTTAGTGGAATAGTCTCCCTGCTCGACGTTGAGATGCATCAAGGTAAGGTTGGGTATTTCTCGTGTGATGGTCTTCCCGAACCCAGAGATCATAGAAGCTTCTGGCTTGGTTGGATTCGCGCCGCATGAATCGTTCACCCAAAGTATCTTCCGAGAAACGTTCGGCAATTGTTGAAGTGCCGCAAATTGAATTTCATCCATCCGGTCAAATATAGGGGTACCCAGTTCTACCAGGCATATGCAGACATCGTATACCGAGGTAATTAAGGTCAGCGAGTTCATGGAGGTTATATCGCATGGACTTGACGATCGCGAGGAGACATGAGCTTTGATCGTATTGGCTAAATCAGTCTGCTCAGGTGTTTCTGCCACGATGACGATTGATTGATTGCCATGGCGAGCTTCCTGGGGCGGCAGCTGAGCTACCAGGAGACTTAAGCCGTGATTCTCCTCTTCGATATTATCCCCCAGGGACAGGCGCATGTCAAATCCGGCGCGTTGGAGAGCATCGCCCCAAGTCCTCTTAGTAAGAAGCGGTCCAAAGGGTCTATAGTCCTCCTCAGCTTCACATAAAAATATTAGCATCTGCGGAATCTTAACGAATAAGGATAACATACATAACCACCACCCGGGGAAAACAGCGGAGAAATAAGGAATGGCTATCATTTCAAGATTCGTAGGTTCCGAGAAAACGAGTTGCCCGCCACTATGTACCGGTTAGCTCTAAAGTAAACCTACAGTATAATCTCACAGAGGCCTTACGGTTTGAGCAACTTCTTCACTTGTGCCAGGGTGTTGTCGATACTCGTCGTGGCGTGGACCACCTGCTATCATTAGAGAACGCGTCTCGGGCATCCAGGCTTGGGGACAACTTACCGAAGCGGCCAACACAATATCATAGGAGCCAGCCTCGAAGCCCTGCTCTACAGGGTCGTGCTCAATGTCCAGCGTTTTGAACTTCATGTAATCCGCGTACCTGGAGAACTTCTCCTGAGCCTTGGCCAAGAAGCTTGGCGAAATATCCGTGAAGTCGTATTGCGTAAATCTGTGTAAGGTGCCTAGATGGCCTCCTTGCCGCGATAAGGTATCCAAGAGGATACCTGTTGTGCTGCCGGTACCTGCTCCAAGCTCGATGATCTTGAGGTCGGAATTCTTGTGCGCGACGAGATCCATATATGCAGCTAGTCTGTGTGCTGTAAATTTGAACAACAAGCTCTTGTAGAACTCAGTTATGACACCGCTATTGAACAGGTAGTCTAGCGGATCGACTTCATCCGTCAGGATATGCGGCAAGGTCTTTCCGAAAGACACGATGCCGGCTTTAGCGGCCGAGCTAGCGGCGAACTCTTCTATCAAACGAGGTCGGAGCTCCTCGTTGCCAAACTCCGGCCACTTCGTAAAGTCCGCAGTCGATAGCTTCTCATTTCCCATTAGTTTGGCCCATTTTATGTACTGCTGTAGATGTGGCTTTTTCGTGATGTTTGGCGACTGGGAGATAGATTCCAGCGCCGCAGATATGAAATAGCGGCAGACGGTCTCTGTCTCGAAATCCAAGCCTGCGCCGTCTACATCGCGCGTGTGCTCTTGGCAGTATTTTTCTATTGCGTCCGTCGAAAGCAAGCTGATATCTGGTTTCCACTCCAATTGATGGAAGAGAGTCTTTGGTTCGGCCCCGTCGCCCCCTTGACGTTTGGCGGCGTGGAAGCTGGAATGCCTACAGCCCTGGAGTACGATGACCGGAACTTTCGTAATGCTGTTTACTGCCGTAACGTCACCATCCATATAGGAAAGCCCGCGATCGGTCATTTTTCCGTGAAGGAGAATTGTGTTCTCCGTGTCCTCTTCCAGAAGGGAGCGAGATACGTATACGTCTGAAAACTGCGTAGGCACCATGGGAGGCAGGGCTTCCCATTCTTCGTGGGCAGCGGCAAAGATTACATGCAGTAGACTGTCGAGTGTCGAAGGGTGAATAATATGCTTGCTCAGCTGGTTTTGTTCTACCATTCTGGTCCATTCTTCAAATTTGACGCGTGCTGTCGCCTCCCTATTTTTCTCTTTCACAGAGATGTTCTTCAGCAATTGAAACTTCTCGCCGAAATGCGCCCCTTGCTTGTAGAGGAACTCATAGAATTGTCTAGAGTCGATGCTTAACGTGGATGGTGCATCGAATGCATTGAATAGACCTTCTTGAGGTGTCGTAAGCTTATTGGGTGTTTCCGAGGGGAGCATGGAGGCTGCAGACGTCTCAGCGGAGACTTGGCCTGCGCAGTGCAGTTTCCACTCGTCCCCCAGAACAGAATATATCCAAAAGTCCCAAGATGCTGGGCCTTTACTAGAGGGAAGATGGTCATGTGAGTGCATGTGAAGTTGTGCCTCAATCCCTTCGTCAGTTTGAGGTATAACGAGAGCGCTCATTATGCTCACGTCCCTTAGACGATAGCCAGAAACCCCAGGCGTGTTTTCAGTCAGACTTCGGATGCCTTCAAGAACCATCACTAACATTCCGGCCGCTGGGTATAGAACCGTGTCTTGAATCTGTGCGATGTCAATTACTCTATACCTCTTTAGAGAGCTTATGATGGGGATTGGACATTCCGTACCTTATGGTCCAAGAGCCACGGGAGGTCGGACGCTCGTATCGTGAATCGCCACTTAGGCTCTAGCGGATTCCAGTCTGTTGAAGGATTTCCAAGGAGATCATGGCGGGGCTGTTTACGTAGGCGAAGATTTCTGTATAGCCTGCTTTCAAGCCAATAGGAGTTAGAATGATTGAATGGGTATGAAGGGAGGTCGAGAACCATTTTGAGCTTGTATAAATGATCGGAGTGGCTATTCACTGCTTGTATGTTAACAGGATATCCATTCATGACGAGTTTCCCGGCGACCTCCTTCGCAGTCTTCAGGCCAGAAATATTTCGATGGAGGACAGAGTCATATTTGTAGGTTGTCCTCTGGCCAATAGTCTCCTGGATAGCACGCTTCAGAGTGAAATGGGGCCCGATTTCAATCAGATAAAGCGGCGACTCAGCGCGGTCTCCTTGTGCGTCATCTTCAGTGGACGACAGTGCCATGAGTTCAACAGCCTCAGAGAACTTTACCTGGGACACTAAGTTGGATACCCAATAATCCGCTCCGAGGAGAACATTTTCTTTTCCTAACAGTGTCCCAGTGACAGAGGAGTAGAAAAGGGGAGGGGATGAGTTGATGGTCTCTGGTGTAGATGACAAAGAACCTGTGAGTGTACTCCTATAAGTCTCGGCGACATGGTTCATCTGCTTTGAGTGGTATGCTACTGTTACTTCGAGCTTTCGCGCGAAGACGCCTTCAGACTGGAGGCGATGCGCAAGTTTGTCGATGTATATTTCCTCGCCCGACACCGTGGTATTCCTAGGACTGTTAATGCATGCGCATGTGACAGCATCCTTACCGCCTTCGTTGAGAATATCAGCGATATAGGGGGTTAATTCGGACTGCGATAAAACTACCGCCAGCATAGCCCCTCTCGCAGACTGAGGGTTTGTTATAAGTGATGCTGCCACCTCACCTCGGAAATATGCGATCCTCCAAGCGTCTTCCCTTGTGATTGCCCCTGCACAGTATGCAGCTGCAATCTCTCCCGAAGAGTGACCTACAACAGCTTGCGGTAAGACATTCCAAGACCTCAACAAGTCTACTATTGCGACTTGTAGCGCAGTGCATACAGGCTGCGCAAGCTTCGGGTCGTTGATATTGGAGGAAGATAGGGGCGCACATAATTCATCTTAGAAAGGTAGGTAGTTAGCTCAAGTTTCGTAACGTTTTTTTTTCTGCATACCTAAAAGAGACCAAGTAGACCCGAGAGATCGAAGGTGATTGTCGGCTTGCTGAAGACTTTCTTCGAATATAGAATATTGGAGAAGTTGTATGCCCATCGATGCCCACTGAGCTCCCTGTCCTGTGAAAACAAACTGTAACTTGGGTATCTCAACAACGCGTACCGGCTTCTGAACCGCACTAGAAAGATTTTCTATTAGATTTGGTATGGAATCACCTAGAACGAAGGACTTCCAAGGAAGGAAGCTTCGCTTAGTAGCCAGTGTAAAAGCAAGATCCTGTAGGTAATGGGGTTGAAGTTCTTCCTTGAGTCCTCTCAAATGAGTCTCGAGTGATGTGGAGACTCGTTGGATTCCCTTCTCATCTGAGGCTGAGAGAACAAAAAGGAGATTTTTATCCGTGGCGCGTAAATCCTGTCTTACAGCTTCTCCATTCGTAAGCTTATGTCCAAATATGTTATTACTACTGGCTACAGTAGTATTGTGTAGACCACGTAGCCCTCTAGCTTGCAAGAAATGGAAGGCATCATCAACTACGACATGGGCGTTCGTCCCGCCAAAGCCGAAGCTGTTTACTGAAACTCGCCTGAGTCCAGGTTTTGGCCAAGGGATGGCTGACTTTGGGAACTGAAAGCCGTGTTAATTGGGGGAAGACCGATTCTATCAAGGTAACTTACATTAAAATTCCATTCCAAATCGCGTATAGCCGGATTCAAGTGTTCCAACATGGCGTTGGGAGGGATGATTCCTTTCTCAAGCATCAAGATAGCCTTTATTACCCCTGCAACTCCTGCTGCTGCCTCAAGATGTCCAATATTGGCTTTGATAGACCCGAGGTAAAGAGGATTTTCTGCGCTGTAGTAGGGCGAGAATACTTCACTGATTCCTTGGGTTTCAGTCAAGTCACCTACGGCCGTGCCGGTTCCATGGGCCTCAATGTAGCCCGTAGAAGCAAAGTCGAAGCCTACTTTTTCATATGCCTTTCTTATCAGAGCAGCCTGGGCCACAGAACTAGGCTGTGTGATGGAAGGGGTGCGGCCATCTTGGTTAGCAGATGTACCACGGATTACGGCACGAATAGTATCGCCGTCCTGGATAGCTTTGGAAAGACGTTTAAGCACTAGAACGCCTACCCCCTCGCCTCTACTATAACCATTTGCTCGTTCGTCAAAGCTATAGCAATGGCTATCAGGGGAGAGAAACTTGAGTCTCGACAGCGGAATGGACATAGACCTTGGTTCCAATTGCAATTGGGCACCACACACGAGTCCCTAGTAAATAATTAACCTTGGATCAGTAACTATCTGAAAGCTGACTTACCATTTCCGACTCATCCTGTAGCAAGCTTTGACAGGCCAAATGGATACCGGTAAGAGTACTTGAGCAGGCAGTGTCAAGAGTAAGGCTTGGACCACGCAAATCATAGAACCAACTTAACCTATTTGATAACATAGATGAAGAAGTCCCCGTCGCTTGGTATTGTGCATTGATCTCATCGTCATAGCCGTAGAGAGACGAGTACTCAGAAACCAGATTCCCAACAAAGACCGACGTGGAACTTCCCCTCACGGCCTCTAAGCTCATACCAGCTTTTATATTTTTGTTAATATTATCCAGAAAGGTTTATCGAGAGAGATATTTCACTAACCAGATTCAAGAGCATGGTAAGTAGTTTCTAGTAAGAGGCGGAGTTGAGGGTCCATCGCCTTGGCTTCTGTACCACTCATCGTGAAAAAGGGGGCATCAAATGCAGAGATGTCGCCATCAATATAATGGCCGCCACGGCCAGAGACCTGTGAGAGAATTTAGTATACAGGTATCAAGATTTTTCGAAGCAATCATATGAGTTCTAACCGTATCTTGGCGGGATAAACCAGAGCGATGATGGCCATTGATATCGTACCGACTTTTAGGCACTTCAGTCATAGTCGAGATGCCCTCCTGGATGATCTTCCAGAAGGCATCATCAGAGGTGGCACCCTGAGGGAAGCGGTAAGAGAGTCCGACAACCACAACAGGGTCATCGTTCTCTGGAATATAGCTTCCCATTTTATTTCCAGGTATAAGTTGGGCTACTTAAGTTTAAGGTAGAGGAAAATGAAGGCGTGTTAGGGAGAGTAGAGCATGACAAGAGCTAAGTGATCAGAAGCCAGACGACGGCCTCTATAATGTTTATAGGTACCAAATTCATTTTCATTATACTCTCAGATGAAAATATCTCACTCATGACCCCGCAGAATTGGCATAGCCGACCCTATAGACAACTTACCGTATGTTCTTTGGTTCCAAATGATTACCTCTATCATCTCGTACGAGCGCCTATGTAGCCTACCCAGGTAGTACATTGTTCTAAATCCTAAAAGGGGTAATTTGAGCCTCCTGTTGTGGCATTTAAGGCCTGGTTCTGACGGTAAGTTCCTAGGTATGCATAACATTATCGCGGCGGGAACGGCGTTGTCAGATCCTCCCCAAGCCGATAATCCGAATAGAGACACTTTATTGGCTATATGGCTTCTCCTCATCTACGCTCGTTTCGATATCACCCATGCTGTGCAACCACACAGGATGGAACTTAGTTAGCTCATATGTGAGTAATACAATAGCACAGTTTTGGTGGTTGACAAGTCAATACCCAGCTGTAGTCATCATCCTTCCACCACACCCTCCCCCATCGTCGAATATACCTCTATTGGACTTGGCTTACGGTTGCCGTCGCAGTCGAACCATTTCTATGTGCTATGCCCTTATCCTACCGCCCCCTACAGAAGCTGTCTTTGATTCTCAACGCCCAGTCCATATTAATCTGGGTACGACCTTGAGACGTCGGCAAAAAGGAAAATCTCTATATTCATTCCCCAACTAGAACTTTCGAAGTTTAGCGAGCCAACGGCATTTGTCAATTCGACTTCCGGCAAAATGGCCGTCCTCACAACGAGTGCAAGGCAGAATTTTATAACTTGCGTTGTTATGCTGAGCTTCACCATATTGTCGGTTCTCACAAGGTTCTTAATCAAACTCACTCATCGACAAAGTCTCAACGGCCCGGACTATCTCTGCCTTATATCGACCGCTTTTTTCGTCGCCTACTGTATATTAATCATAAACTGTAAGTGTTCCAACATCCCTTCTCATTGAGAAATGTCGGCATACTTGGATGGTAGCTCACACTATGAGATAGTTATATTCAACGTTTCAATTGCTCATGCTTTTGATTTCAACCCCGCTTTTGGAATATCTGAGGTGCTGAATATCTTAAAGGTCTGAAAGCCCGCCCCTCACTCACGTTACTTCATACTCACACTCTTCGTTAGGTCTCATATGCCGCTGAACTCATATTCACATCCGGGATAACGTCGATTAAACTTAGTATTCTTTGGTTTTACTATAATTTATTTGCCGTTAACCATCGACTTCGCTTAGTTATCAAGGTCGTAGGAGTCGTTTGTATCATCTGGTTCCTCGTTGCTATATTTGTCCTTATCTTCCAATGCAATCCGATTCAAGCATATTGGGAACAATTCGCTCAGCCGCCTTACTGCCTTGAGTCGCCACGGGTCCTTCTTGGGTACGAATTGACGAATCTGTTTCTCGATGTAGTGATTCTGTGCGTACCGGTGGGAGTCGTATCGCAGCTGCATCTTCAAACCACGAAGAAGATAACGGTTCTTGGCATCTTTCTACTTGGAGCGCTGTAAGTGACAAATTATACGAATCATCATCCAGAACTATCACTTATGTGTCTACCTAATGCAGTGTCTGCATCGCAAGTATTATTCGAATAACGGCAATCTGGAACCCACCTGATATTCTCACAAACTGTAAGCTCAGTCACCCTTTTCTTTTACTTAAGTCTAGTAAGCGCTGACGAGTTTCCAGTCGATTTTTCATTCACGTTCGTTTGGTCAACGGTACAACTAGGACTGGCCATCATTTGCAGTTGCTTACCTACATTCGGGCCTCTTCTTCCCATCTTAACAAAATCATTTCCGTCCATTCAGAGTTGGTATGCATCACTAAAAATGCGGATTTCAAACTCTAGCGGCATGAACAAATCGTCGAAAGCAAGTAGCAGTGCCGAACGTCCGTGGGCTAGGATTGGGGGCGGTCAGCATGACTTGACTTCTAGGACTTGGGCGGAAGGTGAGCAAAATGACGGCTCAGAAGTTGCTCTTGAACCAATGCCATCAAGAAGGATTCTAGTTAGTCATGATATTGAAGTATCATGATCATGATCAAGAAAATAGTTGCAGGGAGGAGCGGGAAAAGCCTGGGTACTGTATATTAGATAGGAAGATGCAGGTAAGCTGGGTATGAGGTAATTATCAGTCGTGTACAATAAAACAAAAATGAAGGCAGAAGGTGAAAAATGGAAAGGATGAGAAACTGATGGCGGGTTGAGCTGAAATGGTATGCTTATCTCACATAAGGCTACTTCCTTTAAGGTAGGTATTAACAGTGAGTGTTATGTAATTTCAAACTAATTATGACTTTTATACTTCTTGGGTTACAGTCTGACAGTGGTCTTCATTAATCATCTCCAGACCTTCCACACCTTGTGCATGCATGCGAAGTTGCACAAGTACCGCACGGTCTTACACGACCTCAGGCAGTACATCCATGTAAGTACCCAACATGTAGGCTGCAGGTTACTTCGTATCTTAGGTAAGATTATAGCGTAGATAGATTAGGTATGAGGGAGGTGCATGCCAAGGAGACTTGTCAATTTTTAAGTTCTTATAGACGAGTTCTAGGCAAGTTCTAACCTCCAAGCTGTACATGCAAGTGGAAAGTGGAAAGGATTCCCGGCCGAGACTAAGCTTTAAATCATTTCGAATTTCACATAATCAAGGGATAATACCCCAGAGTCTCCCTGCAGTCCCACCCTGCCGCGTACGTGCATACCCCAGAACTCTGATAAGTTAACCGCGATGTGGTGCTGCCCTATAAGGATTTTAAAGGGGTAACTACTTCATGTGGAGATATCCCGCGAGATACTTGCCTAGAGGTACCTAATCTAGCCATTAGGTACGTACATTCCTGCAAGTGCTTCCATTTATGTGTTTGCCATCTGTGTTAGTTACACAACATCTGCTCACTTTCTTTTATTCGTTGGTTTATTGAACAAAGATGCAGGAGGTACGTAACTCTTTGTGCGCTATCTAACAGCAATATCATGAGCGATTCGAATTTGGACAAGGCTGTCATACCACTGGACTTTTCATCTCCTTTCCTTTGTTGTTCTCCCTTTTCTCAGTCTGCCAACACTACCAACCTACCTCGGTTAAGTAGGCATTTCGACAATTCGAGAGCACTTATAAGGTAGCTTTTCTTTTTCCTCTCATGTCATCTCTATTTACCTAGGGTCTCGATATACCTAGGGTACCTACCTAATTCATCCTTGTATTTCCCCCCTCATGGCTCCTCTCTGGGCTTCACAACCCTTCAAAGGGGTTTATATCCTGTTATTCTCATTGAAAACTGTTGCATCCCTATCGCTACTTTCGATTTTCTATGCGTTTAAGCCTCTCCGCCCTGTATCGGAATGGAGCTTTAGGGTATCTCTTGCGAGATCGGTACTTCAAGCCGCCTTCCGCTATTTCACGGCGACTCGCTATCAGCATCCAAGGCAGCTTGAAACGGGACAGTCTGGGGAGAGATTCGCCTTGATCACCCCGCTTGATTCGACGCTGTTTTCCGGAGCTTTAGTTTCTGAACAAATTAAACCCGCTCCCGTCGGGGCAGTCTGGCACCCGGCTCCAATTCAGCAGGGCCAGGGAAATGGCCAGAAGGTCATCATGCAGTTTGCCGGTGGCGCTTTTGTACTTGGTTGGGAACCAAATGAAACAGCTAAAACCCTGTCCGGTTACTTCGCAGAGCACTTCAAGACAGCCAAAGTCCTTTATGTACAATACCGGCTAGCCACACCTGGAACTCACTTTCCTGCCCCCATTCAAGATGCATTGACAGCTTACAACTATGTTCTCAACCTCGGTGTGTCTCCTAAGGATATCATCCTGTGTGGGGACTCAGCAGGCGGCAATATCGTTCTCGCTTTACTGAGATATCTGCAGACGTCGGGAAAACTTCCTCTACCAGGTGGCGCTATGGTATGGTCCCCATGGGTTCACGTAACGTCTCATGCGGGCGATGATTATACCAAATCGCGGAACTCAGATATTGATCTTCTATATGCGCCGCTATTGGATTGGGGAGCAAACGCATACATACCTAAGGGTGATCTGACCCCAGAGGCACAAGAATTGATCTCCCCATTGGGGCACCCTTTTAAAACCGAGACGCCTATCTTCGTACACGCCGGTGGGCGTGAGGCATTTTTTGACGCGGTGCACAGTTTTTCTGAGGAAATGACAACTGTAGAGGGCAATCGGATCAAATTTCACGAGTCGAAGCTCACCCCGCACGATCTCTTGTTAACCAACGCCCAGCTCAGTCTGGATGCTGATTTGCATGAAGCTCTCAAAGATGCCCAGACATTCCTCGAGAATAAGGTTTAATAATAGAATCCGCAGAAGCGTACACAAAGTTTGTGTAAGTTGAACCTAACAAAAAGCTTTCTTGCAAATGTATTGATAGAGGGATGTCAAGTTGATAGTTATTCCTTCGGACTCTGTTACAGATATTTAAGGCCACAGTTGCGCTTGTGCATGACTTCGCAAATTCATCTCTCAAAACGGTTTTACTCCTTTGTAAGCTTTCCGGGAAATCGTTGGTTCATAATGGGTGTGTGGGAAGGTTAAAATTCGTTCAATGTGTTTTTATTGTTTGCTGTCTGGAATCCTCAACGTCTGGATTCGTTTCGAGATTGTTTTCAAATCCAGACTTATGAAGGGTTCTGCATATTATCCAATCAAGTGTGTATATGCAAAAGGTTATCTAGACTACAAGTGACACAGCTTGAACGTGTAACGCTAATAAGCATGTATCACACACATATGCCTAGTATATATACACGCACACAAATGTTGGCTCTGTGTTCATTCTACTGAACCTCTTAGTATTGTAAGCATGTAACTGGGCTGCTGGGTTAATACCATGTCAAAAGATAAGCACCTAATTGTGGCGCCCATCTAAGGCACGATCTAATTAACTCCCACTAAATTTCGAGTCTAACGACGCAGGTACATACCAGGTATCTAAGGTATATATACAGGCGACGAATGAAGGAGGATAAAAGGGAATCAAATACAGAAACTTCCTTGTCTTAACAATGGAATCTTGAGCTACACATATTTGAAGTATATTTGTTTTTTCCCTAGTAATAGATGGATCATTGGGAATCCTGATGGAAGTTCTTTTACAGCCTTTTGGTGGGGCCGAAGTACGGCAAGACTAGGTACGGTTTATCAAAGCAAGGGTATTTGGCTAAGTTTATATGTAGGAGAGTATGAAAAAACAACGACTCAAAAAACCGGTGGATATAGTCAATTGGACATTGATTGCTCGTATGCCATCTTAATTACATTCGCCAACTACCTGTATGTCAAATTTCGAACGCAAGTAATGATATTATCATTGAGCGAAAGTCTTGAGTTGAATAGGCCCATCCAATTGCGCCATTGCCATGGTATCTCTAGAAAACCGAAAAAAAAGGGGGAGGCATCTCGCATATATTATTAAGCCCCCCTTAAACGAGCCAGTCTTATGGATTTTGCGAGGAATCGACGTCCTTCATCCGAACTGAATTCTATTCATCGAATTCTGAACCCCAGTCAATTAACTTAATACCTTTCCCTCTGCCCTCCATAATGCACTCGAGTTTATCCTCGTTTGTAACCCAACCTTGACGCTTCGTCCCGATGGCGAATCCGATTGGGTCGCGCCACTATCATAACAGTTAGCAATTTATTATTTACGAGGAGTTTACGAATATGTTTAGAGGTAGGTGTGCCCCCGAATAACTTTTTTTTTCTTGGAGCTCCAGGATTAGTAGAGGTTGGTTTGGGGGGGGGGAGGGGGGGGATCCTAGACTTTACATACTTCTTCCCACCACGTCTTTTCACTCTGCACGGCGCACTTCCGACCCTTCTCGCCATTCTTGCTCGTCGCGAAAGGCCACACGGCCTTGATGACCTCGTACTTGCTCTTGCTCAAGAACGGCGAGGTGATGGCCGTCAGTAGCTTATTGTACTTGTCCGGATTCTGGATGACAACCTTGGCGTGCGTGATGGGGAACTGCACTGTGACTTGACCCTTATAATTTAAAGAAGCGATTAGGCTCCGAACCTGGCCGTCTAACCAGTGTATATCGAAATTGGCTACCACGCGCTCGAGCGTAAAGCTCTTGATGGTGGCTGGATCCCTGACGAACCTTTCGCACCACGCCTCCAACCCGTTTTCAGCGCCAAAGTCGGGCCTCAGGCCGGGCTCGCTGCCGCCGCGAAGGGCTACCTCGTCTTTACTCACGCACCGGAGATAATCCATGCGGTCCTTAGGGTCGTTAGGGACAAGCAAGTTCATAAGATTCAGCTTTATGTTGAAGTCGACTTTGCGACCGCGATTCCCCTGGATGATGATCTGGGGCTTTGGAGGCACGGTAGCGAGGTTTCGCAACATCGTGGCTAGGGCCCTGGAATTTTCGCATAGATAGTTCGCTTTGCTTGTGATAGTGGTGCTATCCGGCGACAACTCGAACAGTGGCGGGAGATACTGTCGATAATCTAACACGGGAAGGCCTGGGTAAGATTGAGGACCTCTGGGTTGATAGCGGCCTTGAGGGTCTAGGAATGCATCCGAAGGGCTGGAGTAAGGCGGCAGTTGGTGCGACGCGTCTGTTATACCATCATCTCCGGCCGGGGTATCGGCCGACACGGGCCGCCTAGCAATTGTATGCGGATCTGATGGACGATGAACTCGACCAGTTGAGCTTTCGGCCTTGTCGCTGACTACCGATTTTTGATGATCCATTACAGTAACTTGTAAGGCTGGCAATCTAGAAGAGACTGCTAAGCCTTAGAATACAAGGGGGTAATATCTTATAGGTAATTAACCTAAGGTATTATATCTGAAATATCAGTATTAGCAAAGCCAAATATGAGGATAAGCTTTTTTTAGGTACTTTGGCTGCTACTTTGAAGTCTCTACAATACGGAGGGGGGAATAAAAAACGAGGAACTCGTCAAAATATGAACAATTACATTGCAGAAATAAATCACAAAGCTAAAGCTGAAAAGCAATCCCTCCTTATTGGGATTGTGGCGAAGTAGAAAATAATATAGTAAAACCTCATTATAACAAATCCTCGCATGAGCGAATTCTTTTTGAGAATTCTAGCGAATTGTATGTAAAATAACAAATTATTAGCCATAACGCAAGTTATTTTACGAACGGAGCTATACTATTTGAGAATATTCGTATAGAATATTCGTATAGAATATTCGTATAAATATTCGTATAGAATATTCGTATAAATATTCGTAAAAGTTCATACCGAAAATAGTCTAAGCTCAAAATCTAGCAGACCACTTTACCGAATAAGGGATAGTGAGAGTTTTAAACCGTGTAAAAGTTGATTCGTTTTGGCGTATGCATTCTATGCCAAGACATCATGCACATATTATGTACTATTTCAACACTAAGAAATCAGTTCGTCCAATCGTATCACATTTATATTTCTATGAAGCAATATGAATCGTAAACCCAGACATTTTAGCTTCAGTAAGTGACCGGAGTTAGTAATCAGCGATGAGATGAGATAAGATAAAATGAGATGAGATAGTTCTTCTAATATCTCTCTCTAATACCCACTCCGACCCGACCCAAAGAATCCAATAAACTCCAGTAACGAAGTTATCTCCTATCAACGAAAGACATGAGCGTTGACTTCTTTCTCCAAATACTCAACCCAATATTTCGCGCCGTCATTTTCTTCTTCTAGATGACTAGTTTCCGTGCCGATAAGCATCGTCTCATACTTCAGCTCCTCGCGCGCATACTTCAACGCCTTCTCGTATGCCCTGCTGTCAAAGGCAAATCTCGAACATTCGCGCAGCCTGTCATCTTTGTTATTCTCCAAGTACCGCAGAGCGGAGCATCCCGAGTCTTAGCTTTCAGAGACTTAAGTTGAGGCGGGTTACTTACGCTCTGCGAATTTCCATACCACATAGTCGCTGTCTCTTGAGAAGCTTTACAAGCTCTTCTGCAGCGCCCAGGGCTTGCTGGGCTGTTGCGAGCTTCGGAACACCCGTGAGATGTGGATCGTGGAGTACCCCGAGTTGATAGGCTGCTAGCGCTTGGTCGAGGAGCAGCATACGATATCGCAACTGATCAATCGCATCATCGGTACAGGCTGCGCAATTGCAAACGATTCGCCAGACGGCATACAAGGAGACGCCGCGCTGGTTGCGAGTCCGGCACGTGATGCCAGTGTAATTCACGAAGATCTGTTGGCCAGCTTTGATGTCGTGAATCGCGTGTATAGTCAGCCGCTGTAGAATCGGGTTCCAACAATTGAAGGCGTTAGGAACGCAAGAATGACCGATTCGTGAATACAAGGAGAAAAGGCCCGACCCGTATTTCCCAGAAGGACCCAGCTGAACGTTATTGAGCACGTAGGTGATGCAGAGGTTGACCGTCTTGTTGACTATCTTCCGCAGCTTCTTCCCTTTAAGTAGAGTTCCGTCGCTATTTTTCAACTTCTTACTCTTATAGAAACTCCAGACCTGGTTAGTGACGAACCCTCTTTCTCGAATCTCGTCTGCCACTTTGGAGCTGCATGGCAGCTGGTCTAACTCCTTGAGTTCCTCGTTCGTTAGACTGTCCACAGTCTTGCAAATCCCTGATAACTCCTCCTCAAAAGTCGTAGTGGGTGGTAACATTATCAGTGGGGTCTCTGCAGCAATACGCGTGCCGCGGGCGATGTCGACTTTCGCGAATATGGCTTGATCGACAGCAACCAATTGACGAACTTCAACCATCCCTGACGAGATGGCGTCTTCAAGACTTTAGCAAGTTTCTCAATAATATTTTAGTTTACTTATGAATCTTACCCTCTGAAGCAGCGTTACTTGCAGCCATGCTTGTGTAGGTACCTAAGGTAGTTCGGAGATGTACCTACCTGTTATGGTAGATGATATTGGATGGCCGTGTTTTCTTAGATTTATATAGGTGCGCTACATCGTAGGAATATTGTTCTTTGGTGCTGGGTTGCCTGGAGGGCGTTGCTGTGCAGCCTTTAACATCCTTGATGTCTTAGTCTTACGTCTGACTAGAAGAATCTTCTCTCAATAGCTTTAGTCCTTTGATCAATGCTTTCTGAGATTAGACGTGTCGTTTATTATTCTTAAAACACATATTGCAGTGGTTTTGTTCTATTCACATTCAATCTTGTCTTGTAACCTCTAAGAACTACAGCTTCGAGAAGCAGCAAAGCTGCTATGAACAAACCACATTAGATTCTATGGCACATACATAGGTACCTAAACTTATGAGAGCTGATAGTTCTTAATTATTGTATAGGTGGCTAGAGATAGATCTCCGGTGTAGTTAATTACCCGATTCCGTGCCATCTTGAGTCTTGATAGTAGGCTTAAAGTTCTTGGTCCCGATCCATGATTTTGATCGTTGCTAGGTAATAATATATGTGATGGTTAACCGCCAGCTACGCATCATCGCTCTCAGAAACGATATCTGATCCCCCATATGGAGCTACTTTCATGCGCTGTCATGTTTATGCGGATAATATAGCCGGGACCCGATGGGAGGAAACGATTGACCCCGAACGGACCAATAACGGACCAAAAGAGTGATCAAAGGGGAAATGCTCCACTCCTCTATTCGGCGATTTCTAGGACGGTTTTCATCTATCTAAGTCTCACCATCCTCGTCGAGAAGTCCTTTTAAGATAAGATCGGCCGCCGTCTCTTCTACTCCAAGATGGGATGGATAATTTAGGCAGATTGCGTCTTCCCGAAGACTAGAGAAACCCTAGATCATCAATACCCAAACGCACCATGACAACCCACAATAGGTTTGCTACTTGAGTGACGGAACTAGTGTTAAGTTCATATAGAACTCGGCATATCTTGTATAGAATAATGCCTAGCGACCCGTATCCCCCTGTCCTACAATCGGACACGGTTATATTTAGGTTCAGCTTCACCCTCCTGATCTTCCCCAGACCTTCCTCTTCCCTCGAGGAACTTGAAAGTTAATCCCATCACTTCAACCACTCGAATAGCTTTCATAATGAGGTCCGCCGTTACCGCGTTTGCCCTTTCCACGCTGGCTGCTACGGCTGCCGCGCACGCCACCTTCCAGGATCTATGGGTTGCTGGAAAGGATGAAGCGTCTACTTGCGCTAGACTGCCTGTATGTCACATATGATGCTATCGTCAGGATACACGACATGTAATAAAGATCGAATACTAACGTTGGAGCAGGCAAACAACAACCCAGTCACCAACGTCGGCTCAAACGACATTCGCTGCAATGTTGGAGCTAAAGCTGCGGCCTCCAAGTGCACTGTAGCCGGTAAGAAGTGATCCTTATCATACGATTTTTGGGTTTTAACATCATTTTAGCCGGTGACACCGTGACGGTCGAAATGCATCAGCAGCCCGGCGACCGCGACTGTAGCAGGGAAGCTCTCGGCGGAAACCACTTTGGTCCCGTCATGGTATACTTGAGCAAGGTATCAGACGCCGCCTCGGCCGACGGGTCCTCATCGTGGTTCAAGATCTTCGAGATCGGCTACGACTCTTCTACCAAGACCTGGGGCAACGACATCCTCAACAAGGGCTGCGGTAAACAGGACGTCAAGATTCCGTCTAACATCGCCCCGGGCGATTACCTCCTCCGTGCCGAGACCATAGCCCTCCACACCGCATCGCAGCCTGGCGGCGCACAATTCTACATGACCTGCTACGTAAGTGGTAACCACTCCGAAACGCGTGGTAATCTGCGCAGGTGATTTTACGGGCGCTGATACGATTCAACAGCAAATCACCGTTACCGGTGGAGGCTCTGCTAACCCGTCTGGTGTGAAATTCCCCGGTGCGTACAGCGCCAACGACCCTGGTATCAAGGTCGACATCTGGGGCAACAGTTTCACCGAGTACAAGATCCCCGGTCCGCCCGTGTACCAGGGTTAGGTTTATATCTCGAAGGCGAAGTGTAGCTCCAAGGAGATGGATGCATGTGGTTATGGCATGGCGGCGAGCATGTAGTGACATTCCAAACAATATACATCTTCAAAGCATTGCATCATGAAACCCATTGGTCGACCACTTGAACATCACAGATTGTAACGCTGAATGGACTGTCATAATACACCGAATTTTGATAACACAACTTCTTCTAGTCAATATTCTACCGGTAGCTATTACAGACCCACCCCATAACCCCTTTCTGCCTAGCTGGAAAATAGTGCCCATGATAAGAAAAGGAGCTTCTAGAAAGGTGTATAGACCTCGAAGAATATTAGGAAATATACGTCTTCCTTTTCCATCTAGGATTAAACCATAGCCCACCGGGGATTTAGTTAAGAGCCATCCATATTCGGTCATAATCCGGCCATTTCTTTCTACTGATTGTATAGTAGGTACATTGCATCTCAGGGATAGCCTATACATAGCATTTCAATCGAGTTCCTTTGTCAGGGTATGGTGCACTAGGATGTATTGGGAGATAGGCCCATTGGGATAGTAGTATATAAGGGGCAAGTGCTAATAGATCACTACTCTACACACTTGCTGCTGTCTCTAGTATTCACTCTACGTACGGCATAGATCATGGGATCTCTCGACGTCCTTCTTGTCGAGAATTCTTCACGTGGAGGAGACTATCAGATATACCCGGCTATGGATGTAATATACAAAGTGAATGTCAGGGCCTAGTATGCAGTCTATTGTCGGTAGTGACCTAGCAAGGCCTGGCCTTCTATTCTCTTGCGAGGGCGCATCATTACACTCTAACAATTATTTCGATCGCTTAAAACTTAATCATTCATGAATCAAAGAGGAAATACGTCTATAACCGTCTAGGTAAATAAAATGAAAATGAAGCTAATCAAAGCTGAATACAAGTCGCATTAAAAGATCGTCCATTATTAAAAGCAGTTTCCTCAGTCAGTGTCATCCATCTCTTTCCAAGCTCAATCTAGAGACGACCTGACTTTCATGAGGATCCTCAAGAACTGATAAGAGGCGTCCAAGCACCATTGTAGGAAGTCTTCTCTAAGCAACCATAAAAGCAGAAAACTTGAAACCCAAATGTCTCATCATATCACCGAACCCCTCATAAGGGTTTGTACCGACAAGCTTTTAATAGATGTACTTGTGAAGCTGAGAATAACCATTCTAATGTTTGTTAGAACTGGCAAGTGCAATTATAGGACACATTCCATACCTCCGTCAATTGATGGTTCGCGTATACCCTATACGTGCTATGTCGCATTTCAATGCGAAAGCCTCCGCGGCCAAATATGCTCTTGAGCTCCCCTGAAAGCCGGGCTGGGTCAACATTGCGAGTCGATACAGCGAAAATGTGTTCCATTATGTTTTGAATGAATTCGAGAAGTTGATGATGGTGATGTGTAGTCGAGAAATTTGAGTAGCCGGTGGTAAAATCGCTGAGGCAATAAGTAGATGATGGTGTGAAGATTGTTCGAGTTATTGCATGATGACCGCAGAGGTTATACCTCCAACGGCTACCCCCAGTGGTAACCCTCAAGGTCGGTAAATACCGCCTAGAAGAAAGGTTACACCTAGGACTTTTCGAGCCTAAGCCTCCGTCATACATATTAAATACGCCTTCTATGCAGGACATCGTCCAATAGGGGATGGGGGCTGATACATACCCTCCTAATGACTGATGAGCTGATCCATTGGTCCTGCAGGAAGCCGAAAATTATATTAGGTACTATTAGATCAGACAGTGGCTAGCTGCCGTGTCACCCTTATTCTTCTTTTTTAGGAATAAGCGGTAAAGATCGAGATAACGCCAGCCTTGCTTACTGCTGGCGGTGGCTTAGAAGTCAGCCGAGGCTATTGTGTGATCGCTGGTTCCAAGAAGCAAGTATTTAAAAATCGAATGTAAGACTGGTCTCTCGATTGGCAACAATGCCTTAGGCTGCTGGATTGCAATGCTATAGGCTATACAAAGCAAGATGAACACCCAATCCCATCAAAACGAAGATATACAAGGCGAAGAAACTGTATTTACCCTTGGCCAATCGTGCCGGATATCTCTGATTTGTCGTTTCTAGGTCGTTGTCAACCCACAAGAGATAGCAGAATTCGTCAGTCTATCAATTATCCTATACGGCATTCATTATAAGCCTAACAATCATTTTCAGATCAATCAGCGGGAATCAGAACGAAGTCCTCTGGGGGAAAGCGCTTTAAATTTGCCTGGCGATCTTGCTATCAATATCCAACCCCCTAGCGAGGCGGGAAACAGCCAAGATGCCAAGTCTAATGCGTCTGGGCATGGAACTTCGAAGCCTAGTACTGTTTATGACAGAGGTAATAGCGAAAGGCTTCGCGATAACAGACGAGAAGCCTATCTCCAGTATCAAGCAATACCGGAATCATCAGATCGTGCTCTCGCAGGAACTGGTAGTTGGTCAGATACTAATGAGCCAGGCATGGCAAAACGACTGCGAGATGCTATGATAGACTCCGCAGACGGCAAGAAGTTCTTGCCTCTCGACAAGCTAGAAATGATTGTAACTGAGGAAGCAGTTCGCAAGGAGCTTGCTCGTAACCCTGAACGAATCTCTCCGCAACTCATTTGCAAGAGACAAGAGATCATCGACAATGACAGAACACAATACACGTCATATCAAAAGATATTCGCAATATTAGTTCTTATAAGCCAGGTGCACCTCATCTCCGACTTCCTAGATGAGGAAATAAGGGACTGGGACCTACCCCTAGAGTCCAGGTGTCCTGAAGAAGACACCTTTCTTGTTTCACAACGCAGGACAGAGAATCCTAGGCCGGGCTACCGGCTCCAGACCCGTTACAAATGGTCAGCTAGTCGGATTGCCTTTTTCGAAAGTCAGCAGTGGATTGTATGCTCCCCCTTTTTCTCGAGGGCAGAGCACCTTGGGGAGAAGGTCCACCTATATCAGCTGAGTGCCCACGACGTGCTCCCTTTCATCAAGCCGGGGACAGATGACCGAGGAAATCCTGCTTTTCTCAACCACGGCTTTTTCTCTACCGTTCGGCGCGTCAAGATCCATCCGGCACACCACAACTTCCCGGTCCACAAAGTAAGATTGTTCAATCCTATAATCCAACTACCTGCATTACCCGAGGCGCGCAAGTTGAAGAATGGGTTTAGCTAACGAGCTAAAAGGATAATAGCGGCGCAGACTTTGCCGTGAAAGAGATTACTAGAATATGGGATATAAACGACGAGCAGGGCGACCCAAGGGATTACAAAAGAAGTTTCGACCAAGAGGTTTCGGCCTTGAAGAGGTTTTGCCAGAGGAATGAGCGGTACATTGTAAAACTACGTATGTACTGTTCTTTCAATCCCGCTATTATTTCCGTCTACAAGGAGTATAATAGGGGTATAATCAGGAAGATGACATTCATAAAATACATTTTATCTACCTGATTCCCCTTTTCCTCACTAGGTAGTATTCTAGTAGTTACTGATCCCTACTTCTTTTCAGTTGCCACCTACGAAATCAACGGCAGATATCATCTCCTTTTCCCAGCGGCAGACGGAAATCTTATGAATCACTGGGAAGAACATCCAGAACCAGAACGAATACCTGCATTGTGGTTTGCAGAGGAGTCTCTAGGAATTGCACAGGCCTTACTAAAGATTCACAGATACACCTATACACCGCCGAGTGGAACAGTTGGCACATTTCTGAGTCCTCAGCAGATACAAGACCATGGCATACACGGTGATATAAAACCACAAAACATTTTATGGTATAAAAGGCTTCCCGGTCACCTGACGGAGGGTACATCCCCAATAGTCGATTCATCTGGTCTCGGATATCTCCAGATTTCCGACTTTGGCACAGTCAAGTTTCATCGGTATATGTCGACGAAGAACAACGAAATATTAGTTAGGGGCAACACGTACCGAGCCCCTGAATCTGACCTCGCGGGTAACCAGGGCTCACCGGCAATCGACATTTGGGCCTTTGGATGTCTCTATCTAGATTTGATTACATGGTATGTTCGAGGTGGCAAAAGCGTCTGCGAAGACTTTCCTAGAGCTCGTGAAGCGGATGAGCCGAAGCAGTCGATTGAAGGCTTCAGTGGCGAAGACAAGTTCTACATTGCCAAGAGAGAGCTGTTTACTGGGCGGCAGTTCCATATCGTTAAGCCGAGGGTCTCGGAGGTAATTGAAACCTGCTCTCCTTATTTGAACATTCTCATGGACAATATTATGAAAAAGGGGCTAATATGTCTATAGTGGATCATGCGCCTCCGAAGAGCCCCACGCTGCTCTCAGTTCATCCACGATTTCTTGGACTTTATCGAAATTCAAATGTTAGTCATAAGTCCAGAGAAAAGATGCAGATGCTCTATGATTGTTCGCAAATTACACCAGCTTCAGCAGAAGTGCATTGCCGACGAAGAATACCACAGCCTCGGAAAACCCCACACATGGGTGAACCTAAGGTCTAACCTCACCCTCTTAAAAGCGAAGTCGCGACAGCTTGCACAATTCATCGATTGCCATGGGCAAATCGTCTCGCTTATACTAGTTACGATTATCCTAATAATAATGTTCCTTGTTTGGATTTATGGAGAAGGTAGCATGAAGGACCTCGATAATAGACCGGATCTTCAGCTTTGAGCCCAATTTCAGTTCGGGCATCACGATATTGACCAAGAGGCACCAAAATACCTAGGCGACCTTGCTGTTTCAAGGGGAAGTTCAAGCTAACTTGTACAAGCTTGAGCTATGCATATAACTAAAAGTAGACCTTCATTGTAAATTCCACAACATAAACACCTAAGGTTAGGTACCTCCTAGCATAGAATTCTAACACCGAAACTGATAGATAACCATTACGAATAAGAAAAAACAGTTAATCTTGACTGTCGTAATGTTTCTTCGCTTGTTCCTTAACCCACTCATACTGTGCCTGCTAATTGGGTTAGAAATAAAACTCTTCAGGGTGCCTGTTGGGGAGAAATATCTGACAACACTCAGCCCGGGATCAACAACCCAAACTTGGTATACTCCATGACCAGCAGTCTATATGCAGATTGGTTAGTGTTGTATAGCCCCTAGTATCTTCCAATTTGCACTTACTGGCTCTGAAAACTTGGTGCTGCCCAGGATCTGCCTCAAAGCAGTCTTGAGTTTGCCTTTGTCGATGTAGTCAATGTTGAAGTTGTGATAAGGCATTATTATGTAGGACTATAAGACTTAACCTATGGTAAGCTATGAAAACTCAAACATAAGCTGTTCCATCGTAAGAGGGGCGTAAACTCTCCATTTATTTAGATTGAGGCTCTAAGCCTGCCTGTCCGAGTCGTTCTCGAAAGAGCCTCATTGTGTCAAGTATGATAGTCATCCGACGAAGGACAATTAGAAACTCCATAGCCTGCTTCAAAGTCATGGACGTATGGGTAGCACCGGCCATTAGTATTCTTACTTCAGGTAAGCTTGATATGCAGGCTATATTAACCCACCACAGCCACCTGTAATTATTAGTGGTCATCGATAAGTATAACACAACCCAACCTTAGCAACCCCGCTAGGCTCTCCGTACGGCAGATTCGCTGGCCCAGAATTGCACATTATAGAGTAAGGTCACTTTAGCTGGGATTAGGTTTGGTGCTTATTGATTCTCTATACATAGACCTAAGCATAGTGAGATAGGATAGGGGGTAAGTTGGTCCATCCGCCAGGTTCAAAACTCCCCCACTCTATCGCATCCGGTTTTGCGTTGCAATGGATTGGGTCCGAAGACGATGGAGGTTATCCGATGGAGACCTTGGTAACTTTGAATATGCAAACCGCAAATGCAAGGTCATACGGTTGGGCTATAATGGTGAGGTAAGATTCCACGAAATTATCATCGAAAAGAAACGTTTCAAAAATCATTAATACGATAATATAGGGACAGCGCAGAGTCCAGCATTGGGACCTATCATCAGATGTAGAATGGCTAGATTGGTTCGGAAAAGTTAGACATAACATAACCCCTATTCCAATTGCCCCTCCTAATGGGTACAATGATAGGAGAAACTCATATCCGAGGAATCTCGTAATAATACTACATCCGTGATGTAATGCTCCTTCGCCAGAATTGTGATAAAGATAGGTACCTACATATAAACTAACGTTCAAATCAGATTGGGAAGCCGGAAAGAAGAAAACGATTGTGGATTGAGCTATTTGCCCTTCTCCAGACCGATTTTCGAACGCATACTACAGCGATTCTTCATTCACGACTCGATAGCCAGGACGATACTCCGCAACTATGCGGCAACGTTCTCGCGGACATATCTTCCCATTGAGAACTCGACAGAGACCGCGTTAGGTAAAGAGTCCCATAAACTACGCACCTCGGCTCTAAATATACTGACCCGCCTTATAGTATATAACTGTCGCTCTTCGGCTCACTGGGAAGACGACCTAACGCTGTCCGTGACGTATTTTCCCAGCACAGGCCGCACCTATGCAGTCTTCTACGGCTGCAATAACCACGCCGCAGGGAAAACGATCATGGAAAGGATTTCTAATCGATTCATCAAAAGCTCGGAAGACTCGTTTTGCCACCCGATGCTTTCAGTCGGCATCTTTGCCGAAATCGAAAGGTTTCGCATGCGCGAGCTCGTGTTGTCCAGGAAGACCGCTCTGCAGGACACAATTGACAAGCTACAAGCTCACGGCTACGGATCGCTGACGGGGTCTAGATCCCACGTGGATCCCTGGCTAAATATATACGCAATCAGGAATGGCCTCGAATGCTGGCTTGGAGTCCTCGCTAGTATGATCACCCACATCGATGAATTAGCGGCAGCGTGTGATCAGGTCCACGACGATAATAACTTCTATAATACCGGCCGCCGAATTAAAGACCGTCTAGCGGAAATCCATGCGGAGTACCTCGACTTGATCAGGGACTGCACTATGATTATCGATGGAATGACTTTGGCTACCAACTTGGTCCGCTTTGCGCCCTTCCCTCCCTCCACAGAGTGTTCGAACAGTGGTGCTGACATAGGTACTGCCAGGCGCTTGCAAGAGACAACATGAGCGAGAGTAAACAGATGAAAACAATCGCTGTGGTGACCATGGTCTTTCTTCCCGCCACATTCGTCGCAGTAAGTGCCTGCTACTTACCCCTTTACAGGTACCTAAAAAGGCCTTCTTTCTTACATAAAGCTGCCTACTAGACATTATTCTCCATGACGTTTTTCGATCTCAACTCGAGCTATGCCTGGCTGTATCCCTGTGTCACAATCCCCCTGACGGTTTTGGTCATTGGTGTATACATATATGTTGTAGTGCGACCGCGGCAGAGACAGATGAAGAAGGCTTCAGGCTTCGACTCTGGAGATGAGGGAAGTGGGCGCAACACCAGATCGTGTTGCTGGGTTTGAATGGTTTCGTTTAAGTAATAGCAGCACAAGCGCTCCTAAATAATACACTATGTAGGTCTACAATCGTTCATAATGGGTGCGCATCCTCTCTTATTAGGTGGGTAGGTATTTCAAGGAGTTGGATATATAGCCTCATGTAAATAACAACAAAGTTATTCACTCTTACTATTTACAGGAAGTTACATCTCTAATCCTAATTATCCTGGCAGCATATAAACCCTTCGTAACCCCCAACAATGAACATGGCATATTCCGACGAGAAAACTCCCGAAAGGGGCAAAAAAAAAACCGATAAACACGCATACATGATGTCTCAAGTTAGGCACAATAGGTCATTATTCTGCATACGATAGTGTTAATAGAAATTCCACGAGTATACCCTATATTAGCGCTATATGATTGCGAGGTACATACCTGGTCTGTGTCGTTAATGCACCTATGGACTATTACCCGCCTCCTCTGATATGTTAGCCCGTGTCACGGCACGACTGTGCGGACGCCTAGTAGACGGTGGGCCGGTTTTCGTCATTTCCTCCCCCCCTCTTCGTGGAAACATCTAGATACCTCGTCTATTCAACCCTGGGACGGTCCACCAATGCACCAGCCACGAACACGTCTTATACCAGAGTCTCCGCGGGGTTGACAATCCTGGGAGCGAGAAACTTCTGGGGTCGTACCCCGTCGCCCAGACAAGAATGCAGAAGGTATTAAAGCCGTGCATCAAGCTATCGGAACGTATTAGCATACCTACCTACCTAAACAACGATAATTCAGATACTCGCATAGGACCTTTGCGGTATGCAAGTAGCTAGTAGGTAAGTAAAAGTAAAGCTTACAGTCTAAGACCGAAGTACAGGCTGAAGACTGTACTTGGCATAATACCCGTCCACAATCCTTGCTCGGCTAGCATCTGGGAGATGCCTTGGAGCACGGCCGGTGTCCAGATGAGAGTCGATATGGGGCCCATGAGAAAATGCGGATAACGGTAGAAATCCAAATCGTTACGGGATTGCCAGTCAACATAGTAAATATACATATTGGCTAGGAAAAAGTCCCACTGCCAATAAGAAGTAGATAGACAGTCAGCTTCTGGTAGGTAGAACAAGCATACCGCATCCCCGGTTGTGAACGCGGGGGGAAACATAGATTTAGATTAGAGAGGAAACTTACTATCACCGCCACCACAGCGCAATTCAGATAAGCCTCCAAGCGCCAGTCGGGCAGGCACCAACTAACGAGGGTTGGGGTGATGAAGTAAGTGGAGAACACGCAATAGATCAGCTCGTGGCTGATGTGGCCCGTCGCATTGCAAAACTCGTCATAACAAGGCAAATGCCACCGTCCAGGAACATCGGGCCAGCCGCACCAAAGGCAGACCTCTACACGCATCCCGTTCGTGAGGCTGACTACCGTGGGCTTGTTCCTGTCGGTGTGGTAGACCGGGCTCCGCTTCACGCGGAAGCAGTCGCAGCACATAGACCGCCACTGGTCGGGCGCGCGCTCGTCGTCGAGGATTAGCGGCTCGTCGAAGACCCGGAAGCACTCGGCACAGTAGGTGAGCAGCTCGGGGGAAAGTCGGCCTTTTTTGCTGAAGTGCTTCTGGATGTTTTCGCGCGTGAAGTAGTAGTAGTATTGTCGGCATGTCTTTCGAAGGCGCATTACGTCCTCGATGCTTAGGTAAGATAAAACTTCGAGATGCAGCTCATTTGGTATCGACGCTAACAGCGAAAGCTTACCAGGCTCGGTTGCGATGTTCGACGGTACGAGAGGTGGTCGGCTTGAGCTCGCCGTGCTGGTGTTTTTCTGAGTTTCTGCCATAGTGGTAAATATTGTATGGGAGTTATTTGAAGAATTGAAGCGATACTAAAAGTGAGGTGAGGAGAGCTTTTTTTTATTGATCCTATAGCTAAGTTCACTCGTCATGAGAACTTGAAGGCTATCAGATATTTATATCCTGTAAGTCTTTTTTTTTTTCTTGGGTTGACCATTATAGTAGGCTTGCGTGTGTTGAACCAGTACGACTGGAACAGAGCTTTTTCAGAAAAACGCCACGTTGCTTTGACATTTCCTGAAGTATATCAGAGACCAGACACGTAATACCGCTTTTTATTCTAAGTTCGGGTCTTTGATAGTTCCAGGCTTGGGCACAGAGTTCGCTATCTCGCCACACTTTCCACACTTTCGAGTGTCCTCGCTCGACATGAACCTTTCGATGGCGGCCTTTATCTGAGTTCCGAGGTCTGTGCAATGGAACGCGGCTTCATGGACGATCTCGCCGCACTCCTGACAGTACCAACGCATACGGTCGATAGTGTCCTTAGGCCGCTTCTGCTCGAGCACCACACCAACAGTATTGGCAAAACGCACCGGGTTATGGGGCGTATTACCCGGTAATAGGAACATGTCTCCCTCACGGATGATAATGTCCCTAAACTTCCCACCGTCAACAACCTTTAGCATCATGGCCCCCTTATACTGGTAGAACCACTCCGGGGTTTCATTGATGTGATAGTCAGTCCTAGCGTTGGGACCGCCAACAATCTAGTGAGAATATAAGGTCAGTTTATATTATTTCTTAAATTTATTTATTGAGCGTAAGTTTTAGTGAATGCGACGGGCACACCATGACTGTAAAGTCTTCATTGTAAACGCAGTAGTTGTTGACGGGCGGCTTTAAGAGATGGGCATTCTCCTCGAGCCTTCAATTACTATTAGTTAAAGCCAAGGCCACATGGGAACCTTGCTGGCTTACCACTTTGGGAGGTTCACTGGCGCGGAAAGCATTTTGGTTGGCGTAGATAAGAAGAGAAGTTATCGACTTCCTTTTCTCATGTTTGTTTTTTCATTGCGCGGAGTCTTCGGCTTCAAACTGTATATTTCACATATAAAGCTGCCGGGGAATTAGTCATCACCTTTGAGTTGATAGGAACTTTATGAATCGTAGATTAGGTTAGGTTAGGTACCTACCTAACCTACCTACCTTATTCCGCGGTTTTCCGCTTCGTAACCGGAGGTTCTATGACTCCACTATTGAATTGAATATGGCACGTCGATAACGTCCTTATCAGATCCAGCTTCAATAGGTACCGCGTACAAGGACGGACTACCTAGTGGCTGCATGCATTAGCGCTTTACCTAATTTAGGTATAGTACCGGGGGGATTTATTACAGAAGCTCCTGTTGGGTTGTTTGACAAAGCTTGGGTCAAACCGTCAAAAGAACCTATCACACCACACGATCTGACACCATCGTCGCCTTTCTCATCTCGGAGTGAGCAAGTTTAAGCAAGTTTTCCAGAATTTAAGCATCGAGGAATTGCCATTTCGAATTGATTTTCTAAATCTCTATTTTATTCCATTGTTCTAAGCTCCTCACTAGCTACCTACCTACTATCTATCTATCTATCGTCGTCTTTTATCCCGTTTGTAGCCCGTGCCTCTCGAGAAATTAACGACGTTGCGTAATCCCATCTCCCGTAACCTTACCAATGGATCATTCGCATATGGATCACGGACATATGGGCCACGGCGACATGGACCACGGAGATGGGGGACACGGCGGCATGCCGATGTGCAACATGAATGTCAGTACGGTTTATCTACATGTTTTATGCTTGGACCATTCCCTAGCCTCATGCACGGAGGTGCTTGAACAGCGCCACCCAATACTCCCCTTCTTTTGTATTGGGCGCTATCGAATGGGGAGAAAGACGGAGAGAGAGAGAGATCAGATCAACAAGAGAAAACCTAGGCTAACCCTTAGTGTCTGGCTTTTCCATTCAAACAGATGCTCTTCACATGGGACACGACCAACCTCTGCATCGTCTTCCGCCAGTGGCACATCCGCGGCACGACCTCGCTGGTCTTTAGCTTGCTCGCCATCATCGCCATTACCGCTGGTTACGAAGCTCTGCGCGAGGGCATTCGACGCTACGAGTCCGTCATAGCTGCCAAGCAGGACGCTGCACCCAGTGAGTTACAGCCTCCCAACGTCTGCCTCCGCTCCCCCTGCCGCCTCCCGATCCAGATCTCCTCCCTCTTTTCCCCAATCCAATCCCCCGGGTCGGCAGCAGAGCAACCAGTCAGCCAGCGTTTCTGTCGTATAACTAGTATGGGAATGTAATGCGACTGTGCGTTGCGCTGCGCTGCCGATCCGTACACTTGCCTATGCAAATGCAACTTTCCTCCCCCTTCTATGTATGGTCCGCCCTTTGTGGAAAAGAAGAAGAAGAAAAAACCAAATTCCTGGGCTAAGATCTTGCTATCGCGATTCCCGATCATCAAGTCGAACCAAATACTGAGAGCGCGTCATTACTTGGGGTAGGACGAAGCAGCCAGGCCGACGCGATTGGGCGACGGGCCCATCTCCTCAAAGCCGTGCTGTACGGCGTACAGAACTTTTACGCCTTCATGATCATGTGAGTGAGAAGAAAAGAAATATATCTATATACCTACCCCTATATATATATGCCTTATATGCCGGGCTTGAAGCTATTAATATCTATGCTAATAATCGAATAAAAAAATAAAAAGGCTACTCTTTATGACTTACAACGGTTTCGTCATGTTCTCCGTGGCTATCGGAGCCGGCCTCGGATACTATTTCTTCGGTTCGCATACGAGGGCCGTAAAGGAGACAGCTTGCCACTAGTCTCTAGATGCTGGATAAGCTTGAGCTAAGGTCACGCTCACTAACATCTACTACGCGGGCGGGTGGATATTCAGAATAGAGAGATGCGAAGCTACTATGAAGGGCCTAATTTAGAACTCTACAACTAGAAGATACCGATCGATCGGATCATGTTGGATATGCGTCGTAAGAATTTGTCAGCGTTGGGAATTACAAGATACAGGCAACAGGCGGCTTGAGCCGCATTATGAATCTACAATAATGCAAGGATCAATGATATCGCATCCCGTCTACATCTTTGCATCCTTAACCTCGTCTTTAATGGCGTCTTGCCCTACCTCCTTCCTTTTATTTTCGGGGAGGCGGCCCTGGTTGTCGAGGAACGCTATGATCTCCTCGTCGCCGTAGTGAGAATTGTGCTCGAACTCGGGCTCTTCTTCGTACGCGATCCTCGCAGCGTCGACTAGCATGCGCGCCGTAAGACCCCAAACTAGGAAACGCTGCACCACCTCTTCCTCTTCTTCTAGCTTCTCCGCAAGCACGGCTTGCCCGCCTTCCCGGACCTTCGGCTTCGTTACCTTCTGGTTATTTACAGGCACGTAGAAGTTATGTACGCGCCACGGCTTGTCGTGCCAGTGGTGCCAGTACCCGTCGTACCAATGGCCGGGCGGTATCGTCTCGCCCTCGCGCGGCTCGTCCTTCTCCTTCAGGAAATTGTGGAAAAGGCCGCTGAAGACGGCTGCGACCTCCTTCGCGTCCAGCCGGGGCATCATGCCCTCGTCCACCACGACCTTGGGCTTTCCGGGCTCGTCGTCCGCGTGCAGGAACGCTACGCAAGGGCGCACTGCCATTTCCGTCTTCGCGAGACTGCAAGGCAGGTAGCAGAGCGGCTCGATTCGGAACGGCTTCGGTATCTTGGCGTCGTCCATAGGGAGACCTATTTCTTCCCACGCTTCGCGGCGAGCTATTTGGTCTACACACGAGTAAACAGTTAGGTAGGTACCGGTACGTACGTTAAGCTCTAAAATTTGGATCTTTCCCAGGGTTTGGCGGTTGTTAGGTGATCTTCTGGGTGGACTTACAGGGCGACTCCTCTAACGAATCTGCCTTCCCACCGGGGAAAGCCGCATGACCTATAATTTCAGACGACAACAGGTATGAGATTCGAATTGCCTTCTTTTTTATGTTTATTTCTTGTAGTAAAAGGGGCGGGAGGTTGGGTTCGTATAACTAATCGTACCGGAGAAGTTGCGGAGACTGGTCGCTCGCATCGTGATCACGACTCTCAGGTCGCCTCTGCGATCCGCGAATAGCAGAATCAGCACCGCGGCGCGTCGGCTTACGGGTAGACGGTCCCAGGTGGGAAACGGCGGGGGCTTGTAGGCGCGCAGACGCGCGATGGCGGCCTTTTTGAGCGCATGAGCTTTGCATTGGAATTTATTTATTTATCTTTTTCAGGACCTCTCTGTTTCTCTCACCCTCTCACCCCCACTCCCACATAAATACGGCAGACATCTGATGATGGGATTGTGTGCGGGTGCGGACGCGGCGGATGGTGAATAAATAAATAAACAGGTGCTTAGATTGTAGCTATACTAACCGCCGAGATTTTGTTTAGCGGGGCCATCGTCGACGCATCCCAATAATAGGAAGCTAAATCGGGGGAATCGGGCGAATCGGGCGAAGGTGGTTGTTTTTGTTGGCTTTGTAAGTCGAGCGAGAGAGTGAGATCAGCGGGTAAAGGAGTCGAAGGACCGGTGGTGGAATTCCGGATGCTTTGCAGGATCTCCGTCGTTTCGAGCTCCGTGGGGGGTGACAAGTTGTTGTTGTCGTCCCTGTTGGCCGTACCGGAGGTGCCGTTTATAGAGCTCATGGTGTATGAAAGAGGAAAGATGTATAAGTCACCGTTTTCGGGATCGGGATCGGCTCGTACCTAACCTTGCCCAGTTTTTTAACTTACGTACTACCTACCTAGGTACTATGTGACTGCTTGGTGTTGGATGCGGGATCGGCTTGACGTAGCGTACCGCGGGGTACCCCACATGGGCTGGAACCTTAGCATCTATGAAGTACGTATTGTACCTCTTATAGCTTAGATGCTTAAACTCTCTAGAGCTAATAACCTCTATATCGTGGTACAAGAATATACTGCTATAAGAATGAACGGACTTAAATGCGTTTTAAAAAAGGGGGTAGGACTAGCATACCTCTATCAAACAGTCATCGGTAATTATTCTACTGTTAGCTGTTGAAGTTGGGTTCGAAGTCCCTGGGGAAAATATTAATTTGCCTACTCTTACGTCACGAAGAACTCGAGAGACACTTCTGTACGAGTTTTCAACACGTTACAAAAGCAAAGACGCCGCCGACAACTGCAATCAGACCCCTTTTGCGAATCTCTTCCATTGAATTCGGCACGGGAATCTAACCTATATTTACTATGCATTACGCATTTGATATTTCCGTCATCCATCCTCGTTCACCTATTCGCTCTTAAGCGCATCCAAGATATGCGTCAATATGTCGATTTTTCATTCTTCACTTCTTATTTTTAGATTTGTCTAGATCGGCCTTAGAAAAAACAGGTCAGAACTCAGTATTTCTAAATAGTAGGATAAGTGCGATAATTACCTGGAGGCTTTGGTCTAGTCCAACCTTGGTAAACTTCTTTAAACCTTTAGTACTTGCAGTGGTACCTGGCGGAAGCTTGAAGGCGGCGTCGACTCTTGAGAAAAGCTCGGTCTTCTGACTTTCCGTTAGATCTTTGAACGAAGTCCAACAACCATTTTCGAGCATGATATAAATGTGACGTTTAAGTTCTTGCTTCAGAAGACGTTTTGCTGGCATCTAACCCGTAAGTTTATTAGTAGTATTCGCGGGTGCCTGCGCTGTTTAAGCCTGTGCCTTATTATCATTCTGCTCAGCTTTCTTTTGCTTATTCTTTTCCAAGTTATTCAACTTTAAACTTTGCTTCGAATTTGGCCCCAGTGTCATATGATATGTGACCCTAAACCCATATATTATAATAGGGTACCCACTTTATACATTCCCATCTCCCATATCTTAGTTACCCATCTTAGACAATATAAGAATGATCACAATACTATCGTACTATCATAATTACGTGACACCCAGGGTCTCGATGTGCTTCTCAAGCTTTTTCTTTTCAATTTCCACTTTAGGAGCGGTGCCAATCATCAACACATTATCGATTTTGGTACGTTAGAACGCTTGGGTCAAAGCATCAGTAGCAGCATTAGTGGCCACAATGCTTTTACCACCGTCCGCGGTCAAACGCTTGCGAATTTTAACTTTCGCATAGCCATTACCTAGTGGCTTCACCCGCTTGCGCGCGCTTGTGTTCTCCTCAATATCCATCTGCGCTGTCGGACAGAATAGCAACGCTTCCCCCGTCCGCAAGGCAACAATTATATCGAAAAGTGGCTTTGCATCGTCCGAGCTTTTCTCCTGCGCACCGGCAAGGTGCTTTTTCAGCGTTTCGTACCAACTCGGCGAGAGAAATCGATGAACAAATGTTACATTGGATAAATCTATTAGCTCTGGGGAGAGCGTGGGCTCTTGGGTTGCCACGAGCACTCGTGTGCCTGTATGCCTTTGTTGTCGGATTATAGAAAGTAAATCTCCTGTGAGGATCCTGGCCTCGCCGCCTTGGTTCAGGAACTGTTTCCCATTAGCTTCCATGGGTATTTCTTTGACATGGTGCGGGGTTTACCTTATGTGCTTCATCTAACACCACTATACGTCCGCATTTGTTCCTCTCTTCAAGAAATATCGAGAGACAGATGGAAAATAGAGCGCAGGCGTCGTTAGAACTAAAGAATGGGTCGCTCAGGTCAACGATAGTTAGCGACCCTGGTTCGAACGCCCAGATATCCTCTTGGGCGCGAGCCGGCTTCTTGCCCGTAGTCGTCGAAGATGGTGCTATAAAGGTATCGAGAAGCTGTAGACGCAGCTTTAAGGGCGTCTCCTGACCTTTGACCCATTTTACCTTGGAGAGACGGTCGCAGAACCCCGAGTAGGTAAAAACACCCGGACCTTCCATTGCCATTTCGCGGGCAATGTTCATCACCACCTCCATGTATAATGGTGTGTCTTTGGCTGCTGGGTCTATGGCCATCAGCTTTAACATTCTTGAAATGTCAAGTTGGTCCTCGTTTAGATATAGCGGTAGAACCTTGACGTTCATCCCGGGGAGGTTGCCATACAAATTCTGCATGGCCCAAATATTAGAAGGAGACACGAGCACCTTCACAGGGATCCCCGAAGAGCATAGATACGCTGCCTCGCACACCTGGGTTGACGTGTGGCTGGTGTATTTATCGTAATGCATGACCATCCCGGCTAAGGGGTAAGGAAGATGGCCAGCTGAGTTATCTGGAATAAGTGCATTCTCCAATAGACAAGACAACGTGTGACTCTTTCCAGCACCTTGGGATCCGCAAATAAAGGCCGACCATGGAACGTTCATGTTTGCTAGAACCAAGCGATCCTCTACCGGGACGGATACGTCTGCAGAATCTTGTCTAATACCAATAAGGCCATACTGAGGAACGAGTTCTGAGACCTGGTTATTAGATAAGGGCGTTAAAGCAGTGTGGGTTGAGGTAGAAGCAGTTAAGTATGCTGATGGAACTTTGTAAGTCGAAAGCACAAAGTTTTCCACGGCGGGGGTAAAAATTGGAGTGTTTGCAAACGCCTCTTCTTGCTGATTATCGCCATTATCGTCGGCCCCTTGAATAAAGTGTAACAGATGGGAGAACTTAGATATTTGACTAGTCGCACGATTTCCGCGATTTCCGAACATAATGGATAGTAGGTATCGGTTGGTGTATAAACTGATACAAAGACAGGACTAGAAAGTGTTTCGCTATCGAAAAGACCCAATGCTGAGGTGGTAGGGTGGTAAGTGAGTAATACCAAGCCTTACCTAGGTAGTGTCATACAGATTTATGAGACCGAGACCGATACTATCCTGGGCGCATATGCGGCTATCCGAAATGATATGCCGAGTGCCTGAGGTTTCGAAACGCTGACGAGCGTGGATTTGAGATTGCCTACCTAGAACCTCTACTAAAGGTCTTGGGTATCCGTGATATTTACGGAAGCCTACCTGGTACCTACCGAGGTAGGGATGAATGCCAACAAAGTCCTTGCCAGTTGGTGCCTCTTCACCAACCTCATTCTAGATCGGCTTTAAGTACTACCTAGAAATACTTACCTAAGGTATGCATGCTTAAATTGATAAAAAGCAGTACAACGTTCCAATTATAACCTTTTTTCACCGGTCGAAGCATGGCCTGTTATACCTATACCTCATTTATGAAGTTGTAATACACAACTCTCCGTCTCTTTTAAGCCTTCAACGTGGTCCTACGACCGAGAAACACGCTGAGCTGAGCCGCCCTGAACCTCAAGTCGAGCTGCAATGTCAATGAGCAGTCATTTTTAGGCCACAATAGAACATTTCGTTGGCACTGATAAGACGACGGCGATCCTGTAGAAGGCGGCTATCATCGTCCGATCTGTGCAATACAATAATACCAGCTTGGCGAGTTGCATGTTAATTAATTCTGTTATTCCACTTAGGCAAACAGGTATGTAAGTAGTCAGGTTTGTGCGTCCCACCCCGCGCTGAAGAAAATAAGGAGGCACCTAGGTAAGCTTACTCCACGCGACACCAGACTTGAATTAATACTATATATCTGTACTCACTGAAGGATTCAACTGACGTCATGCTCAGGAGAGATGTCATTGGGCTGAGAGTCGAAGATACAAGTACATTTATACCTAACCAAGTGCCTGTGTGTAGGTACCTAGGTATCTGCGTTGCTTTCAATATATGCCACTCATGAGCCACGAACGTGGCTCTCCTGAGTGATGAGTGATTGTTGGTAAAAAAATAAAAATAAAATTTTTTTCTTTAACCTGTCATCTCCTTTTCCCCAGGTTTCCTATCAATACACTCACCACTAACTCCCGTAACCGTTGTTTCTTATGGTAGCGAATGCATGCTGCGACCCAATCATAAGATGACCCCGCACAGCAATGCAGAGCAGGAGGAGCCTGCAACAGAGCTCCCAATGACAGACAGCAGATCAGAAACGGATGACAGCGGATCCGAAATGGATGAAGAGGAGATAAAGAGGTGGTATTCCGCGACGTATAAGCGCGGCTCAAAACCCCCCATGAAGAAGCCTCTCACGGCGGCTTGGGGTCTGCCTATAAGCGACGCAGACCTCGCCAAGCTCAAGGTCGGGCTCAGACCCCGAGATATGGACGACAAATGGGAGATACTGATCGAGGACCCGGACGAAAACGGCAACGTGTCCATCCACATAACCCGAAGCTGGTTGCAGGAGGAGTGCTACATACTTCACATTGTTCCGAGAAGCAACGATGAGGGCGAGAGCGCAAGGATCGAAAGCATTACCTGGGAAGGGAACAAGGGGGGGCTGCAGTGCGAGGCAGAGCAGGCCGAGAAGGAAGCCGTGATGCTTTGCCGAGGCCATCTCCACTGCGAGTTTGAAGCTCTCCCCCAGTACCCGTCCTCAGCGTTCTGGGATAGCAAAGCTTATAAGAAGCTGGATGCGGAATAAGTTACTAGCCCTCGAGGAGGCCTTAGATAAGTTGAAGATTTTCGAGGCATAACTACCTGCCTTTATTAATTTAGGGGCAATTTTATTAACAACATCAATATGCTTGTTTATGAAATATTATTTTTACTGCAGTCTACAGCTAATAATAGCGAAGGCGCAAATCTCTTTTATAAACACTAGTACCTTACGCTAAGCTCACGACACTGTTAGGGAGACCTCATATTCGAGAAACCCTGACCTGACCTGGCCTGACGTGGTCGCTGATCTGACAAGCGTGGAGTTATCTCATATCAGCGGTGAGGGTATTCCTCACCCGCGTCCTCGAACATATGGATCGAGGTCTAATGGGTCAATGCAGTAACCCGTAGACTTTACCGGGGGAACTCTAGCGAGGCTCTAGTCGGTCGTGGCCGAAACACACGGGTCTTTGTTCCTCAAGGTATTCTTATTCTTGACGTGGTCGATAACGGAGCCATCCCCATCATTTTGAACCTCGGAAGCTACGGCAGCGCTTATTTCGCAAGAGGTTTAGTATCTCCTCAATGGATAGTATACGGAGTGGGTGTAACCTCTCCGGAGGAGCTAGCTAGTATCCCTGCTATACCCATATATCCCCGGCGAGCTAATAGCACTAGAAAAGAACTAACCTGAGCAAAATAGGGGCCGCCGGACCCTCTGAGCGGGTTTGCCTTCCCGCCTGCGAATGTCGAAGAGTTGGGGGCGGCCTTGGGAAGGTGAAGGGGCTTGTGGATATACGAAGCCTGAGAAGGTTGAAAAGAGTATCAAGATAAGGGAAATAACTTAGTTTGAGGACTGCAAATGTTCAAGTCACGGGACAATAGCAACATCTTATGCTTTAGCATCTTGCATGTTAAACAGTTCATAGTGGATCATATAGTCGCAGTGGCTTTACACAGATCGTAATGCAGGGCGGCAATGCTGAATAGAAGGATCAAGTAGAATGAGCACATTACCTGCTTGAAAGCTACAGGTACTGGGAAAGATACGAAGGTAAGACGGCAATGTAGGTAAGAGAAAAATTAGAAGGATTAGAGAGAGCGTCCGGGGGGGGGCTCAATGACGCATTCATCATACCTACTGACCAAGGGGCTGCCTTTGCCAAAGACATGCAAGATTATAGACCTAAGGGGGCGGTAAACGGTAGTATCATGAGCGCCCTGGCAGTCTAATGTAAGGCACTTGGTTGTGTATTCAGCCTTATGCCAGCTTGGCTACCCCAGCCAAAATCCAGCACCCCCACAGATTTACTATTACAGCAATCTCGACCAAGTGTACACCGACACTGCGTCTGAAGCGTTTTAGCATCTCCTGACGAAGTAGCGCGGAATGCAAGGTGCTTCCGCTCCCCCGCCAATTATCCATTGAGGAACGTTGAACCCTCTCTGCATAGTCTGATAGTACTTAAAATAAGTTAACTAAGTGTATACTAGTAACTACTATGCTGTGCTAGCTGTCAAGCTGCTAAACTAGATGGCGCTACCTTTGCGGCTTCTACTGTTAATTTACTCCACTTGGTGTTGAAAATGGGGTGTTTAGCGGCATGGAATGGGCTATGTCCTCAAGTGCGAGAAGGCTATCAATAAATAGAATCTTTAAAAAAGGTCATGATATACTGTCTTGGGAATAGTTCGAAGAGCTCAACCAACCAAATTTATGGTCAATGTACTTGTATCCTTCTCGCACTTTAGGACATAGCCGGCAGAGGCTAGGTATTTGCGGGTATGATGAGGCTCCGTGGTTTAGGGCGTGTAGAGAAGCTTGTTTAGCATCTTGCCTGGCTTGGCCAGCTTGGCCAGCTTGGCTGCGTCGGCATTGACTTACCTCACCAAAAGGGTGCTTGAAAGTGTATCACTCAAAATACAAACTGATACAGCATGAGGGTATCTATTCATAAGCCTTTTACAATTTCCTCCAAAGAGGGGCACTTACTTTGCTATTCACAATTACTTTCAGGAAAGTTAACGCTTATATTTTGTACAGAGTTGTATGACGCATCAGCATGAACGCGTTTTTCGTAAGTCTTCGTCGATCGCAGACAATTTTGATATTAGCGCGCGTCTTTGGAGGATTCTGGCCCTATTCAGTTTCCAGGACTCCGGCCTGTTCCCCTTTCGGGTACGTAGGTGCCTAAGGTAAGGTATTGTACTTTTACATATCCTCGTTCATTGATACTATTTTTACGTATCTAATAATGATTTATCAATAATGATAAGATTTATCTACAGCTACGTGCTTCCTCAACGAGTGATAGACCAAAAGGTTTCTTCGACTAAAGTTTAGATCCCTTCCTCACAGCTGGGGAGTCGCCGGGAATTCGGTTCTTTTTGCATACACTATTCGCCTCGTGCCCCACGTCCCCTCTCCCCTACCACCGTAAGGCCCCGATGTAACCCCCGACAGCCGGTAGCCGGCTAGAAGTGCTGATCCTAATGAGAACACACAGGCACCAGCAACTCAATGCTGTGCTGAGCTGACGAACGAGCTGCTGCAACGAGGCGGCTCGGATGGATTCGTCCACTTCATAATAACGCCTCGTCGGAAGAGGCGGGTTCAGCTCTTGCTACAAGATACCAGCCGACCCCTATTGCTTGTCGTGAAGGAACATCAAGCTCAAGAGCCAAGTAAATAGGGGGTCGAGTGATATTGTCAGATTACGTCATGGAGGAATAGATCTCCATGTCTATTTTCATTTTCTCACTATTGATAGAATTAAAACGGTTGCATGTAGAGGCAGCCATGACGGCTCCATGATAGGTACCTACCTAATGTTTCTTAAAATATCGACATAGCAGTTTAGGATGCCAGGTACCTTGATTGAGGTGGTAAAACTAGAAACCGAAATATGGCATTGTGCCTGTTGATCATTGGCTATCGACTTATTCTAGAACTCCGAATTGCTATTCATACAATCTGACGGTTTGGCTGCTCAGCTTGTCTCAAGTGTGGATCCACAGTGACGTCTGTCGAGGGACGTTGAATTAAGCAAATCGAACCATGATTTGGTGACGGCGCGTGATGTGAGGCAGTGGCGGAGAGGAGGAAGGGGGGCGGAAAGGAATACGGTCGAAGCGGCGCAGCCACAGGTCGTAGGAATATCCTGGCAGATCTTTATCTCAAACAGAATCTCACCACGAAGAATATCAACGTATTGTACAGCCAGAAAGTTAACTAAACTAATTCAACTCCATGCCGGCGTGTAGTTTACTAGTGTAATGTCCTCAAGTATGAACTAGGCACAAGTACTCCACTGATATATCAACAGACTAAACTTTAGTGTGTAAAAAGATCAAGACATGCTATTGTAAGAATAGTAAGTAGGGGATCAACCAATCAAATTACCTAGGTACCTGTGTTTAGTTCGCACTTAATGTAAAGACCAGAACATATTTATTATGGAGGCTCTTATATTCAGGATTACGTTACTGTATACACTACTCCACAACATCAGCCAGTATACATCAGGGTTCACTCAATACTTTATGTAATACGATATTACCTTAGGTAGGTAAAGATCTGAAGCTGAACGAAAATCCAGTGAATACATTATCATCACTGGTTCGTCAATTGCTATTTTTACCGCTCGGGCCCTACCGCCTTGCAAAGGTACAAGATCGACATGTCGATGAATTCCTATTCTATGCTCGTTCGAGGCCGTGTTTCGTTGATCATGAACAGCGCCTCCAATTTAGGAGGGCTGGGAGTGATGCTAACAGTAGTACCGACATGACAACCAGAAGCCATCTCACGAGAGCTATCATTAGTATGCGGCTCAGCTGGATTAGTGTATACAGCTATACGAAGACAGTTACCATTACGTCAATGATGCTGGAGCAAGAGGTATACTCGACTAGGTTCACAATCCTCGGACGGCATGCTCTATGCTTGGTAGAAACGTTCTCCTCATGGAAAATCACCACGAGCCTAGTCTAGATGAGGTGGAATAGGACTACCTGTCTCCATTCGAAATGGTGATATAAAGGTCGTGTCTCTCCGGCTTCGAAGGTTCAATTTCCTCATCACCATCACCATCCACATCATCATCACCACTGCAATTATCAAAGCATCTTATCCTACCTACCTCACAAACCAAATCAACAAACCATTCCAAAATGCAGTTCACCATCGGCTCTCTCTTCCTCGGCATCGCCGCCTTCAGCGGCCTCGCCAGCGCTCAACAAGCCGTCGCCTTCGGCCAGCAGCTCCAGAACGACGACCAGACCAACCACTGGGTCGCGTGGGTTGAGGGCCAACACGCCTGCCCCGGCATGCAAGTCCTCGACGTCCTCACGTCTTCCCCTTGCTCGCAGCCCTTCAGCCTCGGCGAGGTCCAGTACACCTTCTCCGGCTGCTCGGGCGCGAGCGGCGCCCCGACCGTCATCCTCGACTCCAGCGGCGCCCAGATCGGCGGCTGTTCCGCCAACGCCAACAACAAGATCCACTGCCACGGCGACCTCCACGACATCATCAAGCACGGTGTCTGCACCATCGTCAACGGCGCATAAACGAGCGCATTCATCTCCCCTGTGTTTAGGATAAGATGTCAACGAGAGCAATTCAACAACGACGGCGTTGGGTTTTTGTCAAAGCGGAAGGAATTGATATCCTCTTTTTTGGTGTCTCCTCGAAAGAGTCTTCCTTCGCACACTCTTCCAAGTTTCATGTATTCATAGCGGAATAAGCATATAAGAGCGCTCCTGATGTTTGAAGATTATTTAATTTACGATGGATTTTGTTCCTCCAAAGACTCGGTTATTAAGTGCATCGTCGAAACTTGAAGTGTTAATAATTAACATTGCCTCGTTTTCCCCTACCAGCAAGATAGTTCAAAGTGACAGGTACCTGCCTAATTCTCAATTCGCTAGTAAATTATCGCCTTAACTTCAATTCATTCTTTATGGCTACTACTCCCCGGGCGGGAAGAGTGGCTTGTGGTCATTATATACGAATTGTTGGAAAACCTTCCGGTACACAGACCTTTTGAACGACGGCCTGGGGGAGTTCTGGGGCGGTATCGTCTCAGCGTCGTTACAACTTTCGTAGACATGCTCGGCTTCTCGTTTTCGAGGCGCCGCATCCCAACCGCTTCTGTCCCCACAGATCATATATGTGGCGCAGGTCTGGAATAAAGCTTTGTTGGACTCGGCCAGGGTTATCGTGTGCTGCCATGTATCTCCCGTGACGCTGTTTTCGCTCGCTCGCGAAAGAAGAAACTTTCTAGCTGTCTGGTGGACATAATATATCTTGCCGTCGATGAACCTGACGAAATGGCCGCACAGGGCTTTGATGTAGTCCTCTTGGGGATGCTGTATGTCCGCTTCGACGTCCTCCAAAGTCCTATGGGACCGCTTCACGGCTAGGATAACGCCCATCTCCTCTATCGTCAAGGCCTGTCCCGCAGCTATAATGAACTACAGCATCTTAGTAGCATTAGGCCGCGGGGTGATTTTTCCCAGCATATGCCTATATATAGCGAAGATATCGCTGCCGCCTATAAGATTCTCGAGTTCGTTTTTTAATATTCCACCATAGCAGTGGATATGCTCTCCCAGAACTTTGATCACCAGCGTCGCCCAGAGAAACGTATTGTCGGCGCCCGTGCCTCCATTCTTCGTATTGATTATGCTTCAGTAACCACTCACAAGTCCCTGGAGTCCGAGTGACGTTAAAATCTTTGAAAGACTCATAGTCCCCAGGGTATAGTTGTTGCAAAGCCATGTTTTTCTCTGCAATGGATAAGCCTAAAATTATATGGGTTAACATGCCTCAACTTAGAAGACGTTGGCATGGAGGTACCTACGTAGCATCACCTTCTTCTCATCTTTAGAAACCATTTCGTTGCCTAAGTATTTGAGGTTGCTTAGAACCAGTTCTAATCTTCCTTGATCCTCTTCCGTATTTGGGAATCTACATAAAGACCGATGGTCCGCATTCAGAGGGACAGGAGTCTCGTTTGATCTGAGCAGCAAAGCCGATTTCTTCGGCACGACCTATAAGTTTATGTTAGTAAAGATCTCATAACATGTATATAGAAATAACCGCAATCTATGATGATAGAATATCGGGACATACTACAACATTTGTTCCAGAAAGTTCGCGAGTTTCGTAGAAGCTCACGATCTGAAGCTTGTCGCACCGATCTACGAAGGACTCGGAAATCTTAAACAACACATCGGACTGTTCTTGTAGGTTCTCTAGAAGCGCTGTATTCATGTTCGAATTGAAAGACATGACGTCGAGCATGTTAGCTAAGATCTGAGCCCAGTTTGCAGCTTCCGACCCCTGATGAGGAGTGCCGAGGAAAGCGACCCCCTGAACGCAGCTAAGGATCTCTTTATAGAAGTTACGCTCGTTAGCACGGACTAAAGCATACAGCGAAAGCATAATCAGCATCATGCAAATGCTACAACATGTCAAAAAGGTTACTTGCACAAAATTATACGGTACCTTCTTGAGAACAATCCCACCAAGGCTATGGCAGAGGAAGAGAAGCGGCCGAGTTTGCTCTCCTGGTTGACCTCGCTTAGCCAGCAGCTCTTGAAGGAGCAGCTCAGCGAAGTCGCCAATGTCAGCGACGGACTTGCTGAACACAGCAGAGTCGTAGCCGAAAGACATGATTCGCGCACTCGGAACCGTCTGGGGAAGATCTTCTTGGAGCCAGTTCCTACGCCGATCTGGATTAGGAGGTTCTGCGGTCCATATCTTGCTGTAATGCCCGTTTAGGCCGTGTACCGCTACAATATCGATACCATCACCCTGTTCTGGAGGTTTATCCACCAGGACGAACAACCCATGCTTTGCATCACGTTTTGAGCTAGTCTCGGAAGCTGGTTCCTCGAGAGGCGATCTGGGCTTACTCCGTGAGAGATGGGGAAACATTTGATGGGCTTTACCAGTGGATTTCGGCATGCCGAAACATACGCTCAAGTATATGTCTTTTCTCATTAACGTTACCCGATAGTTATAATCGAAGCCTTTGGACTCGATAGTATTATGCAAAATTCCAGGCTGGGAGAAGTGTTACACTTGTGAACGGCAGCAAGGCTCAGGCAACTACAGGCGCAAATTATGTGCAATAATGGCACCGGCCTTGACCAATAGCAAGCGAAAACTCATTTAATAAGCTTCATACGGTAGGTACCTAGACATATATCCTAAGCCCCCAAGTACCTACCAGTATCCATCTAGCTTCATAACTTCATTATCCGTTCAAAATACCACCAGTAGCAACGCCTTATCTTCGAAACCGCCTTACTGCTCAGCCCTCCTTCGTACCAGTGTACAACCCCCCTTTACTTCTTCACCCCCATCCACCTCCACCCATCCCCCCCCCTTTCTCCAAACCAAGCCCCCGGCCTACCTTCCTCAGGGACTTGGCCCTCGACAAGATGCTCTTGCCCTTCGGGCCGGGCCTTTCCGTCTCCCTATCTCTCTCCTTTTCTTTTTCTTTTTCTTTTTCTTTCTCTTTCTCTTTTTCCTTGTCCTTCTCCCCGCCGCTCTGCCGCAACGCCTTCGCAAACACGAGCGCCGGCAGAGCCGACACCCGGTTCCGCTTCCTCGCGACGCTGTTGCGCTCTTCTTGGTCCTTGTGCTTGTGCCTGTGCTTGTGCTCTTCCTCTGCTGCCGCGCTCGTCTGCTGTTCTTGACGACGCGTGGGGCCCGAGCGACGATTGTTATTATTATTAGTAGTAGTAGTAGTAGTAGTAGCAGCAGTAGTAGTATCTGGTCTCTGCACGGGCTCCGCGCCGGGGAACGGCGTCTTGACGTAGTGCTCTGCGAGCGGGCGCTCGCTGAGCTTCAGGGGCGGCGGCGCCGGGGCCGTCCTCTTGCTGTTGGCGCGCGGGCGGGTCGAGAACCCGTCTACCGTGCCGGCGAACGCGACCTTGGGGGAGCTGGCTGCAGCCCCGGTGGGAGTTAACAACAACGGCGGCGACGCGTTTCCAAGGGTGTTCTCCTCCAAGTCCGGCTGTGGTTTTGGCTGCGGCTTGAGACTTCTGCTGGCCGGTGTTTGATCTTGAGTGTCACTATCTAGGTGGCGCGAGAGTCTAAGATTGGGATCCGAAGGGAACGAGGTCGGAGGATGTATCACGGCGCCGTTTAGCGGGCTACCCGGGTCGCTGTAGCGCAGGTTGATCTGCTGATAGTGGAACTGGTGCTTTTGGATCGGAGCGACTATCTCCGGCGTAAGGAGTAAATCCGCCGATGGGTATACCATAGGCTGCTTCTCATATACGAACGGCCTTCGAGTAAGGTATATCTCTTCCGCCGAAGAAGAAGGATCAGGACTCGCCGTTGAAGAAATCGCCGAATGGAGACTACACGTGGACTCGTTAGGTGAGATCGGCGAGACTTCGTATTGCTGAATATTGGTATTCGCAGATAGCGGGTTCGAGACGGGGCTTATAACCATATCATCGGCCTCGCTCGTTTCTAAAATCATGCGTGCCGGATACCTCGGTTGCGGTGCCGCTATCTCGGAACGAGGTGACGATGAGGCAGTCGGCTGAAGCGGCTGCACCACAGTCAGTCCGGCTTCTTGAAGAGCACCTGTCGTGCCAGTATCTTGAAGCTTAGGGTCCTGAACGGGTGGTTGCTGAGCACTCTCGTTCGGGGAAGAATAGATAGACGAAGAACGAGAACCTGGCCGCGGAGGAAGAGCCTTTTTCACATATTCCGCTATCCCTGTCGGCGGTGAATACTGCCGGTAATTTCCAAGTTTCCACTCCATTTTCCCTTGGTCATTATCATCGCCTTGGTTGTCTGTATTCTCACCTGAGGCCATCTCTCATCATATAAGGAGGAAACTATACTTTTCAAGCGGCCCAGAACTAACAGAGGAATTAGGCTGCGCCTCTAAACAGACATCCCATAATTCGTGCTATAGTTAAACAAAGAAATTGGCCTCGGACTTCGAGGCATGTGTCCGGGTCGGTTCGGGGGACGCGAATACAAGGTTCTTTGTTTGTTGGGACATCAAAAAGGCGGACAACTCGAAGGTCACGTTCGATGCCTATTAAACGTGGGAATATTAACCGAAAGGTCCCATTTGATATACCATTGCTGAATGAGATGATGTAATGACAACAAGACAATAGACAACACTAATAACAACGATAATGATAAGTATTGAGATAAGTATTAATATACTCGTTTCGAGTAATGTCTACCTAGGTACTTTGGTGGCGACCGTACCTGACTACCTTACTCGCGGAATGGTCTTTGAGAGTAATCTCAACTAACTGTCAAGGTGCTCAGGCCGAGCAGCACATATTAGATATCTGGTAGCTATGTGATGAAATTGTGATGTAAACTGCAAGGAACCACCTCGCCCCTTTTCATGAATCAACCATCGCCCACAGACTCCAAATCCATATACCTTCAAATCATAACATACAACCCCTTTAAGCGACATATATAGAACCGGCCGTTGCACTAACCATGCATGTAGAAACTAAAAGGGGCAAGATCGCAACCGCTCAGATGATATACCACCCGTACGTCAGACATCTAATAGATCTTCTGAGCAGACTCGAAGTTCTTGACCCAAAGTTATATTACCCCAGATTCCATCGCTCATAATCATTTCCCATTACCCTTTGCCTTGCCCTTCCCTTGGGCCTTATTGCCCTTTGCTGCTGCTGCTTCCGGTTTGGAATAGAAGCTTGTTGCGTCATCACCGAACAGTTCCTGGTCGCCCTTGCCACCCATCTCCATGAATTCCTTCGTAGCTCGTTGGTCCGCAGGTCGAGGCTCTTTTTGAGGTACATTGTTCGGCTCAGCAGCAGGGTTCTTGGAAAACACCTTGATAGGACTCTTCTTAGCATCTGGGCTACGAGGGACCTCTTTGGCGATTTGTACCGAGTTAATGGAACTGAGCAATGTTCGTTCTCGGACCGCGCCTCTCCGTTGCATTTCAAGGCCTCCAATCCCAGCCACAAGCCCGTCGGTACTGTCGTTAACACCTAGCGACTTCTGAGTTATCCACGGATGATTAAGGCACTGGTCAATTGTGAAGCGTTTCTCTGGTTCAACTACCAGCATGTGATCAATGAGGTCCACTAACCCGCGTATCATTAGTCACGAGGCTCAATAACAAACCGCAAACTCAAAACAGTAAAGACTCACAAGCTGGATCCCCAACCGAATCCCAGTATGGGGAAGGATAATCGAATCGACCGCTCTTGATTTGCTGACAAAGCGTATAGGGGAAATCGCGGCTATAGAGTTCGTCTGAGAAAGGAGGGAAGCCGCACAGACAGATATATAGTACAACTCCAAGCGACCAGATGTCGACAGCTTTGGTGTATTTTCTATGCCTTCCTTCTGCCAGGATTTCCGGCGCAACGTAACTTGGTGTACCACATAGAGTAGTCGTGAAGGATTCCTCGCCTATGATTTTAGCAAGACCAAAATCGGCAAGTTTAACGTGAAGATCGTCATCAACTAGTAAGATGTTCTCGGGTTTTACATCTCGGTGGACGATATTTCTGTCATGCTATTCCGATTGTTAGCCATGTCAAGGCAAGAGGAGATGGAAGTTATACCAAGTACTTGATCCCCTGGAACAACTGCTTGAACAGCTTTCTTGTTTCCGACTCGCTCAACTTCTGCTTCATTACGATGTAATTGAACAGCTCTCCTTTGGGCGCAAGCTCGAGCACCAGATACACAGCATTCTTCTCGTTGAAAGTATCTTTCAGACACAGGACGTTAGGGTGGCTGACTCCCATCAATACTGCAATTTCTTGCTGCAGACCATCTGTCTTCGACCTCTCATCTATACCAGGGTTTTTCGTGAAAATCTTTACAGCATATCTTTGGCCGGTCGACTTCTCTACGCACAGGTATACCTCGGCGAAATGACCCTTGCCTAAGCGGTCGAGGAGAGTGTATTGCTGCAGAAAGGCGCTGGAAGCCCTACTTCGGGGGTAGCGAAAGATGAATCGGGCCTTGTCCATGACTGCAATCTCATCCTGCTCCTGTAGCTCGCGGCGCTGATTCCTTCCGACAATGGCCTCGTTTACGAAAGTGCCATTACTAGACATGTCCTCGAGGATAGCAACTGTGTCATCGCCCTTGTTTTCGGTGAATATTAAGCAGTGGCGGTTGGAAACAATTAGGTCATCTACGATGATGTCTATAAGCACCTAGTTAGCACTCATTGCAGTCAGAGCAGTCACAGCAGTCATAGCAGAGCTCCGAATGACGAGAGGGGGAGAATCGACTTACCGCACTCGGGATGTCGCCCAATTAGATATCCACCCGACGGTATACCCTTAACCATGGACTTCTCGAAATTCTCTTCCTGCTTTAGAGCACTAGCATCGGATGGGCCGGACTGCCCGTTTGCTAGCGCATCTGGGACATCATTGGGTCGTGGACATGTCGAACGTTTTTTCAAAACCACACATCTGCCACCGTGTTTTGGGTCTAACGGGAAGAGATATCCCCATACACCTTCCTTCTCTTCATCCTCAACTTCATCAGACAGAGCGCCATTGCCTTCAACGTATTGGGAAGTCGGAAAAGCTTGGGTGTCTTGCGGAGGAGAGGATAATCTTTGAAGCTGAGAAAAGGTTTCTTCGGGAGTACGGTGGGTGACTTGACTGGGTCGTCCATCCGGAGGCTCAGCAGTTGATTCCTTATATAAGTCATCGCTTTCGGCTTCATGAGTGACAGGTGAAGGTAGGTGCTGCTTGTTCGTGATGACTGGCGTTTTTAGCTGTTCGGCATTTTCTGCCTTCTGCGACAAACGGCCGGACCGACGAGGCTTCTTGGAAAGGTCATTGTCGGTCTTAGAAGGAGGGGATTCCTATCAGAGGTTGTTAGCTAAAAAGAAACGCGAACAAAGTAAAGGTGGATTGAAGTACCCTCGGTCGTTTTAGTTGGCTTTTCTCGCGTGGAGCCATGGTTGGCTGCCTTGAGCGAGAATGTATTAGACTTCGTGTGCGAAAGACCAACAGAAAAGAAAGATTAGGAAAGAAATATAAAAATAAAAATAAAAAGACGGAGACAACAAATTGCACCTAGCTCAATAATATAACACGGGGTTGTAGGGTGCCGCCTCCGAATCCTGGTAAGGGAGGCAAGTTGTTGTAAAATTTTGTTACGATAAGTTGGTGAAGACGAAAAAAAAAAAAAACTTAAGATCAGTTATTGGTAATGAAAAGAGCTCCCAACTCGAAAGTCTCCCTGTATCTTTTACATTACACCAGATGGATACAAATGGTCCGATACCTCAGACGGGGATTTAGCGGCTGAGCACCAGCACGGCCGAGGAAGTGACAGGGGGACGGGGGAGGAACTTGCGACGCTATCACCCTTCTACCTATTTCACCGAATACCTACTATGGTACTTGGATGTTGACTCATCAGCATTTCTGCAGGAGAAGGTGTAAAAATCCAGACCTAATGTATTCAGTCATATGCCATGAGTGATGCGTTAGGTACCTGTTTTCCATTAGAAAAAAGAAAAAGAAAAAGGAAAGAAAGAAAGAATACATGAGAAATCGTAAAAGAGCAAAACTCTGAAACTTGGTACCTAAAAGTTAAGCAGCTGATAGGCCGTGAGGTCATCTACAGCTTCTTGAACTCAATGGGCTCCTGCTGCTGCCCGCAGTGCTGCTGCTATGATCGGTAAGTGGGGAAAGCTCCCTCATTCTGCGGCCTGCCGTTCTGCCCAGGTTTCTTTTTCTATAGGGCTGTGCCACGGTACCTAGCCCATTTATCCAATCAGCCAATGCGACGAAACCTTGTGCCAGTTCCACCTGCCTCTTGCTCAGTTCCAGCCGTCCTTCAAGATTCCCGTTCTTTCCTGTACAACTATAGCATTGTACCTAGTTCACTACCAGGTAGGTAGGTACGTATTGTCTCTGCGCAAAAGTCTTGGAAGAATTACTTAATCTACCGGTTTAAGCAACAGGTACCTACCTAAGGTATGCTTTTCCGAAAACAACCTTAAAAAAGTAGCAGCTTTACCTCGTATGAGGCTTAGCATTGGTCACGCGTAGTCTTGCTCTCGACATCTCGACACGCCTTAGTTTCAGGTGACTATCTGCAAAGGACACCTGCAGTTCCTCACATGCATTACGCTATCCACGAGATTCGCTAGTCTATACGTAGGATGAATAATACCTGTAACCAGTTTTTCAAAAACTTCGTAGTTTCAACGCTACCTAACCTTAGGTAATTAGGTACCTAGGTATCTGTATTCTAATATGAGGTGTTCTATAACCTGTATATGTTATAACCTATATATACTATAGTTAACTTGTATATACTACAACTTGCATACCCTCAGCTGTAACGCTTTCAAGTTAGATAGGAGACGTAGAAAACGAAGTCGTTCACTCTAATAACTATTCCCTCTAGCTAAAAATAAATATCATATCTAGGTAATTACTACCTTCGTTATACACGATTAAAATTACGGGTGCACCAGTACACATCTCCCGCCCTTATCATCGGGTTTCCTCCCACCCAATAGCTCAAAGCTATGTCCTGGTATCATGACTACGAATGCCAACCCGATATCCTTAACTGCTGCTCCGAAGTCGTATAGGCAGTCCGCCAGGAGCTTGAACTGATTTGGTATTCACCCAGAATGCCCCATAACGCCGTGAATAAAGAGATCTGCACTCTTTTGTACCTGAAATTTCATATGCTCTACCAATGCCAATGTGTTGAAATGCAACCCCAGCCGTCGTCGTATGGGGTCATTTTCGTTAGTTCGTGAAGCAATCATCGTCATCGAATCAATCGCCTGACGAGGTGTGGGGGGACGTCACAATCCTCAGGGGAGGACACAAGATCGGCGCGCAGAAAGTTGCGAGAGTCTTAGAGAGATCCAAATGAGGTATCTGGAAGAAGGAGCGATCCGATCGCCGTTTCTACCGTTCGGAAGTCGATGAAAAAGAAGAATTTGAACCTGTGATATTTGACCTCCGTCGACTGAACTGATTCTTCTCTAAGTACGGCAAGGGAGATGAAGATGAGAGTGACGTGTTCGACTTCCGCCGTTTCTACCGCTCGGGAATCGGCGACTTAGCCAGGCGTCCGCCCGCGCTGATGCGCTTCTGTAGGCGTGCGTCCTTATCGCGCTGAAGTCGCTCGCTCGGACTTGGACTTAGGCTACCCGACAATGATGAGCCCGAGGCCTCAATAGCAGCATTGCGGCCCCGCTTTTGCTCTATATACATCTGCGCGCTTCGACTCAACGGGAAAGCAGGCATCGATGACGGTATCTCCGCCCCGTTTTGTATTAGCATTTCAGCAACCGGGAAAGGAACAACTCGGGTTTCGGGCTCTGGTCGTCCAGATGTAGGTGTAGTAGGTGATGGTGACGCCGGATCAGCTGCCGCGAGGGCTAAAAAGACTGGATGGGTCCCGCGGACTTTATCTAGAACGTTGGGATTGGCTTTTAATGCCAATGCATAGATGACCTGTTGGATCTCGTTGCGTTTTATAGCCGCAAGGAGCGTTTCGTCGGCAGTCGGATATCGAGAGAGTGTGGCCGAGATTGGCTCCACGTAAGCCTTGTCCACATACTTCGCCGTTATGAACTTTAGGCGCTGCTCTCGCGTAGCTTGAGGACCTGGCTTTAGTGATGGGTCTAATCTAGCTTCCCAAACCATGTTAGAGACTCTGTTTCCCACAAGGAGCAATAGCTCGATAATATCGGGCGTAAATGAGGTGATATCGAGAGTGAGCGATCGCACTTTGCTGATATGTGTCCCCAAAGATCGATGAATGCCACTGCATTCGATGCAGAGGATAATGGCTAGGTTGATCGATACCCACTCAACCTTAGATCCGCTGCCGCAGTCAGCACACCAGCAATTTCCTTGGTCATTATCACGGAGCATCTGAAGAAGCTTGTCCGGATTTTCGTCGTAACTGCTGCTAGGCGTACGCGCATTTGCAGGCCGCGCTCCAACCGTGGTCCGACGAGAAGGAACAGAGCTGGTGTTTGTGTGAGAACCGTGATGCGAACCGTGATTCAAGGAACTGCTCTTCCCGGTCAGGATCGATCCGATATCACGCTTAAGACTAGTCGGCTCCCCTGGAGACATCGGCTTCTCCTTGAGGCCACGGCCTTCGACCGCGCTCTGGAGAGCGTTATTGATAGAGAGAATCCAGCTGTTCATGTCGTCGCCCGAAGTTGCCTGGTATACTCTCTTATAATGGGGTGTGATGACTTCGAAGCAAAATCGTCGCTCCGCATTTCTTGCCTCGCGGACAGATGCCATACGAAGATCTATAGGGTCCATATGAAGATCGAGCTTCTGTTTCCAGTTACTATACTCCGATAATTTCCCCTGGTCTAATACAACCCAGAATCTATATCAGTTAGCGCGTAATCACAAGGTACAGTATGTGTTAGCCTTTTACTTACTTGTGCCAGCCCTGCTTATTCAGTGAGAGAGGGTCCACGTGGGTGCCAGGCCGATTCAAGGCCCAGAGTAGACCTTCTTTCCGGTGTGTCGAGTTCTTCTCGGCGTTGGTTAACTGACTGAAATCCTTCTCCTCCAAATCTCGTATACCCTTAAACTTTAAGGTCTGTGCAGGGCTGTGTAAGATGCCATGTCCGATACTCCCTGGAGACCTTGAGAGGTCTGTGCCTCCTGTGACTATGGTACCCGAATTCCCTGTCGGGACTGCTTTAAGCTGAGAACCAGTACTATCCGCACGGCCAAGCTCAGAGTCGGAGGTGTGCAGGTTGCCATTGGCGTTCTGGTTTGGAGGCGCATTGGCTGCCGAACTCACAGTCTCCGGCTCATTATACTGTAGATTACTCTTCTCCAGCACGCGTCTTTTTTCCTCCCGCTCGCGTCTTTGGTATTGGAACTCCTTGTCGGCGTCTTGTACTTCGTTTGCTAGAGCCTCTAGTTGCGGTAGCAAGTCCTCAACCTTTTGGGCAGTAGCTAGAAAGCTCCTTGCCTGGGTGTCGGCATACTTGGTAAGATGTGACAGTACTTCCTGTTCCTTGCGGCCACCATGCAGGTCTTGCATGAACGACGAATAGTCGAAGCGCTTGAGCTCAAAATTCCTCCTCTTCGTCTGATATTTAGTATCGCTCTCGGCAAGCTTCTTAGTCTTTACCGAGTCTTGTCGTTGGCCAAGGTACCGAGATACGTAAGAATAGTAGTCCTTGCTTTCCTCTTCAAAGTCTCGTCTCTTTGACTCTGCTTGTTTGATATCATACGTATACAATTTTCCTATAGGGTCAATAATAAGCTTTTGTAAATTAAAGGCGTTTTGTCTCTCGTAAAGGAGTATTTCTTTAGCGATCCTGTCAAAATAGTGATCTATTGCAGGTTGGACGGCATTGGCGTTCGTTGCAGAGGCTTCCCGAAGGGCGTCCATAAACCCTACAAAAGCATCGTTCGCCTCAATCTGAGCAGTGTGCGCGTGCTCGGCTTTCTTCAGCACCTTTTTCATCTGGGTTCTCATGTTGCCTGTCTTTTGTTCGAGCGCCTTGATAGTAGCTCTAAAAACCGGGCCATCGTCGCTGACAGTCACGTCGTCGCCCGGTCGAGGGCATGATATATCAAGTTTGATAGATTCCCGGGAGCTTGGCGCAATAGTAGGTGCGATAGATAGTGTATCGGCCTGGGGATGTAGAGGGTGTATAGGAGATACTGGCTCTTCTTGCTCACTAATGCGTGAGTCGACCGATTGAGATGACGGAGCCCGTATTCTTGGGGGAACAGCTAACTGAAAGGCGGGAGATGGGGAATTAGGATGGCTTGAGTAAGGTGATGTATCTGAATATTGCGTTAGATCTGATTCCACGTCAAACAAATTACCCCATAAACTTACTAGCAACCCAAAAAGAAAATCGGGCGAGGGTATCTAGGCGGTGTGCTCGCTGGTCGTATTCGACGAACTATAACCATACTGCTTAGCAAAATCCCATAATACTGTTTGTCCAGGTTCACATACACTGCACACATTCTTCCACCCGCCTCCCGCGTCTTCCGTCGTCTTCGGTGGCTTCCATTTCCACGACCACTCAAACGTCACTGAGGGACTTCCACCTGTAGTGTAATCTCCGACCAATTCCACATTCGCATTTTTGTGCAGATTCGGGTCTGCGTGGAACTCGCGGGTGACAAGGTTCTCAAGCTCTCTGTTACTTGAAGCATAAACGTATGTCAAGCCATTAATATGCGTATCGATTCCAGGGGTTGTTTCTTCTTGTCGGATGACAAAGGTAAAGTTGAATACGAGTTCGTCGTCATTATTAAGTTTAAGAAGGAAATTCGGCGGAACCGTAGGGTCGATATCCTAGAATAACGTTATCAGAAACATGAAATACATTTCCCGGCTAGGCTTATTCCCGGTCTTTTTCGTTGTAACTAACCTGGACAAATTCAGCCGGTCCAGAATCACCAGATGTTCGCGTTGCTGTGGCCCGAGTCGCCGGGAAAGCGTTCGGAACTATAGTGATTGAGGTTCGCTTGCGAGGACAAGAAATAACGAGGGAAGCAATTGAGACTAGATGCAGTCAGCTTCAGTCGCGCGCGCGCATGCTAAGAAGAGTTGACGTACATCGATTCTGATCCCTTAAATAGATGGCAGCGCCATCATCAAGTCGGCTACTCACGATGCCCATGGCGAGGGAAGCTGGCCAGATGAAGGCCGCGATAAAATAAGGTAAAAAGTAGCAATCCGGTAAAGCAGGTATAAGAGGAAAAAATAGACGAAGTAATTGAATCCAAGGGTTAATATATTAATTAGTGACGTTGTAGGAGAGATATGTATCAAATTGGAGAAAAGGTGGTGTCGCAACAGTCGCATCGACCGCAAATGCTGAGTGGTTGCGGGCAACCAATCCGGTTAGAATCAGCGGTGCACCAGTGGACTTTGGCGGGGTCGAATTACCAAGAGGCAAATGGCACCGAAGGGGGATGTTCGTTGCGGCTGGCGTCCGTGTTGCCTTGCGCCGAATATAACCTTGCATATAAGACCTAGGTTCTTAAGAGCCCCAAGTGACGTCCGAGTCACCAAAGAGGCAAAAAAAAGTATAGTACAATATTATTAATTGCGACGTTAGACCTAAATGGCGCAGGCATAAGTACGCGGCATTCATCACATGAATAAGGTCGAAGAAATGGATTAGACGGGAACACGAGCGCGGCAAGGGTAGAAGGGCAGAAGGGCAAAATGGGCAAAAGGGCGAAGGGGAACAGGATAGGACAGGACAAGAACAGAACAGAACAGGGGGAGTTTTACCAAAAGAAGAACAATAGGTAGACAGCGAGGATCCTTTTTCTTCTAGTTGAAACAATCCGGTTGGTTGGTTTGAGATGACCCCGTACCTTTTTTATTTTTTTCAGGCACACACGCAATGCAATCGCAAAGTCCCAGGCTTTTTCCAGCTGTATAAAATCTTTGGTAAGCAACTCGTGGACAAACAAGGCTGAGCGCGAAAGCCTGTTCAACGTTCGCATGTGATGTCAAAATACTACCTCCTAACAGAAGTCAATATCCAAATCCGCGTATTGAGTATTTGCGTATTGAGTATTTCTTATTTCTGTCGCATGCTCCTCAAAACTATATATAGTCTTGTTAAGAGGATTTATAAAAGAACACGTGTAAAATACGTTTAAAGAAATCTTTCTGTTGCTGTATACTTCACGTAGTATAAAACAAAGTAGAATTAGGTATGGGAAAAGATGAAGATTGAAGAATTTGAAGCGATTTAGGCATGCAAGCACCTGCAAGAGGTTACCTAAGGTACATCTACTTGTAAACCTTCAAAATGGAAACAATCACCTGCATTTATAAAACTTAATCTACATGTACCTATACCCAGCACCAGCATAAGATTCAACTGGGGAAGATAGGTACAACCCGCTATTTTAGTTCGAATACCAGGTAAGGTAGGTAAACCCACGTGCAAAGATGTAAACCTATTTCCATTGCAATTCCTAGGTAGGTTTAGTTACCTCTTCCTGCATAACTAACTACATGTATTTGGTAGATTTTAGGTATGTGCACAAAACTGAAGATGCTAGCATAAAAGGTGCATACCACACATCAGATTTTCGTCTCGTGAGATACCTAAGCTTAGATGATGGCCTGGCTGAACTAAGCCCAGACGTCATCCATAAAATAAATAAAATGTTATAAAAGATACTAAATACTCGGGTATAATACTCCCTCCTTCTTCTTCTTCTTTTTTTTTTTTAAAAAAAAAGGTTAGCCCTCTATATTTCGCAGAATCGAAGAGATCTAACCTACTTAAGGTTAGATGATAATGTACAACAAAGGGCACGTGTAACTTGGTTATAAAAAATAAAATAAAAAAGCTAAGAAAGGGGAGAAAGTAAGGGTCTTTATCGTCTCATCGTGCATCAATAGATTTACAACCCTTGATTTCCATTGGATGTAAATCGATAAGTAAACCCCCTCAATTGCCATTTCATCACTTCCAGTACTTGACCTTACCTAAAGGTACCTGTGATATAGGTATGTTAGGACTAATGTTAGGTGCCTAACTCGACCCTAATGACGTTGGTGGAACCTGCTGCAACCTCGTAAAAGGGAAAGCCCAACCTCCCAAGGGAGCCGCCCAATTGTGATCTATTTCTAGACGCAAAACTTACCTAAAGGTACCTAATCACATACCTTACCTAACCTTATCATCGCCTGACCGACACAACTCACAACTCACAACTCTACCACTCTCGTCATCTCTTACACAATCTTTCCAACCGTTCTCCCACATACACCAATTCCACGGGGTCATCTTTTTGCAATGTTAAAAACATGTGCTAAAAACATGTGGCGCAGATAATTCGTGGAGCATTAGTTCATAAGACCGGGCTTAGCTTCTCTTTGTATCATGTCGTCCGCCTCGAGGCATTCCTATCAGCGGCTCGACCGCCGCATAGACAGCATAAAGAATAGCGAGAGACGGAGTCGTGCTGAGTCTTTAACCAGGCAATTAGCTGTGAGCCATGACGATGCCTACACCTACGCCCTTCGCGTTGCCTACCTCCATTATCTCCTCCAACCCAAAACCAAACGAAAACAATGGGTTCCCGCACCGAAGGCACCCACGCGGATTCACACGTCCAATATTGCCGATTTAGTCAAGGAATTTGTTCCAGGGAACTCCAGCGGTGTCAAACTTCCCCACGGATTTCGAAGTCCGTTGGAGAAGAGGATGGAGCGTGTTATAATGGGTGCTGAAAAATTACCTGGTTTTAACGATGCTGCTGTCAAAAAGACGTTTGCGCAGGCCTACACGGCTTTTACCGAACAGGCTTTTCGGAAGAATGTTGACAAGGAGCGCAAGGTCGAGCCGCTGGTCTTGATTTTCTACTCAGCTGCTACCAAGGCGTGCAGTCTTGGCCACGAGCCGGCCGATGACTCCTGGAAGCTACTTGTTGATAGGCATCTCGCGCTTTTCGTGAGGCTTCTATTTAATATTCTGCGCGATCAAGGGCACGAGCGCGATAAATCGGAACTCATGAACAGGTTAAACACGCTTGAAAAAAAGCTGTTGACCAACGACCAGAATCTATTCATTGACACGGGTCAGAATTCCGGAAATACGATTGAAGTGGTAGTTCCGCTTAGCTACGATGTTAAGGATATGCCTATGGTCCAGTCCGTTGCTAAAATATTTGGTCTCTCCCATTCCGATGTCCAAGGTCACATTGATGCCCAGCGACAGAACTGGACAGAAGAAGCTGCCCTTAGAGATCTCAAAGCATACCAGCATCGCTTAAACTCTAACATGAGCGGTGCCCTAGGGAGCCGGGATTTCAACAGCGATGAGGCGTATCAAGAGTGGAAAAAAGCAGAAGCGCCTTTCCTCTCGCAGATGATGCTAGAAATATTGACAGCTCGCCCAGAGCTAGCTCGAAGGTCTACTGCTATCATAAGTCCTATTGATAAGCCATTGCCTGGAAGCCCCTCCACAGCATATCCAGAAGACAGGTCATGCCCAGAACTAGGTATAGCGAATAGGACATCCATGTACAGTATGGACAACATACTTAACCTTGGATCCCTGTCGCTTGACGACACTGGCAGTATCAGGGCTGTTGACGACGCAAATTACACTTTCATCCCTCCTGAGCCTCGCGAATTCTTAAAGACCATTGCAAAATATGCTCTTGAGTTTGATGCTATGCACGATGGAGAGACTGAGGAATCTAGTTTATTCTCGAAGCATTCGTTAGAACTCCTTACTGAGCTGTGTGTCCGCTGGCGAATTCTTCAGGTTACCCGCCTGGTCGTCTTCCTAGAAGTAGCAGCCCGCAGGTTCACCGATACTATGTTCACCGTAATTGATTTGGATAATGCTTTTGATTTGGTGAAAATTCCACCTCCAGAAGTCAAAAAGCCTCCCCATATATATCTCTATAATGAGACTCTGGCAACTATGGAGCGAAGCAAATGGACTGTTGCGGATTATAATGTGTATCAGCAGACACTTCAAACCGTTAATGATGCTCTCCTTCGCGACCTCTACGATACTTTAATGCATTGCTACGAGCCAAAACCCCCATCGGTTGGACCAGCACTACATGTGCTAACAAACCACATTTTTAATGACCCTAGTTTTACGCAGAAAGAAGAAGACGCACAGGAGTTCGCTCGGCTATTGGAGACAGGCTTGCAAGAACAGGCCGCGGTCGTCTATCGCGGATTTCTCGATGCCGAGGTTCCCCGAAGCCAACAGGACTGGAACTTTAGCCATGTAGTCGAGCTTGGCAAATCAGTCGTGAAGCTTTGCGAAAGGATCCAGAAACGTTACAAGAAGAACCCGGAGATCCTTGGTGTGAACCCGTTAACCGTGCTTGTGGAGACAATGTTTCCAAATTTTGAAGACGATGCCCACGATTTGATAAGGAGAATCATACAAGTCGCGCAAGACCGGGGAGAAGAACTTCCGTTAGAAGATGGTTTTGATTTATACAAGGAACTCGTAGAGATTCGACGCATTCATAGGTCCTCTCTCCCTAGTCGAGCTTTTACTTTCGACGTTGAAGAGTTACTGGTCGAATTTGTTTGGCGTTGGATCCAAAATGCAGAATCCCGAGCAGAACAGTTTGTCGAGGAGGCCATCAAGCAAGATCCATTCCAAGTACGAGGCCACGGACCTGATCATATTTCATTGGACTCTGAACGTCACAGCCACTCTATAATTGATATGTTTCAGCTATTTAACCAGACAGCCGACCAGGTCTTCAAATTGGAGTGGGATAATGATGTCCATCATGCTCGATTCATGACTGCACTATCAAAGATATTTGCCAACAGCATTGCTCGGTACTGCGAGATTGTAGACCAGAGGTTTATAAAGGAAATGGACACGCCGAGACAAACCGAAAAAGAAGCGGCGGCGGCAGCTCAGACGACACAAGGAAGGTTCATGCAATACGCTAAGGACGCCTGGAATACGAAAGAAAAGGTCGAACCGTTTCAGTTTTACCCAGAGGTATGGCCAACACCAACAATACTGTTTTAACACAATACTAACACACCTTTTAGTCTTTAGTGAAACTTAACAATATCGAATGGGCCATGCAAGAGTTGGATAAGCTCGAAAAGACCATGAATGTGGATGCATGTGCCGACATTCTTGCAAGGGTTGATGGGCCTAAGAAACAGGTTAGAAGGCCAGCGAAGTATGTCTTCACAATTAAGATTGTAGAAGCCGAGGAAATCAAGGCGTGTGATCCGAACGGGACAAGCGACCCTTATGTGGTACTTGTGGACGAGTACCAGAAGCGTTTGCACAAAACGAGAATTGTTATGAGATCCCTTAATCCCCGTTGGGATGAGTCGGTTGACGTGACGGTCTCCGGCCCTCTTAATGTAGTGGCTACGATCTGGGATTACGATACCTTCGGCGACCACGACTTTGTAGGTAGAACTTCGCTGAAACTTGATCCGATACATTTCAGCGACTACCTCCCAAGAGAATTCTGGCTTGACCTTGACACTCAAGGAAGAATTCTTTTAAGGATCAGCATGGAGGGGGAACGAGACGATATCCAATTTTACTTTGGCAAAGCGTTCCGACACCTGAAAAGGACGGAGCGTGATATGGTTCGCAAAATTACAGACAAGGTAAATTTTTATTCAACTCTGAAAATACTCACGCAAGAGGCTAACTACATTTCGCATAAAGCTCACACGGCATATCAACGCATCGCTCTCTTACGAGGCCTTGCGAAACCTCCTCGGGCGCAACCTCGCTTCGCAAGTCAATTCATTCTTCAAGCGGGCGTCTACTATCCCGCAAATCACCAATACTGAAATCGAAAATGCATTGCAGTCTCTTTTTACGTACTTTAATGAAAATTTCGCTACCATGAAAGAGACGCTAACGGAGGCAACGATGGTTGCGGTTATGACCCGGTTGTGGAAAGAAGTCCTGATGGCCATTGAGGCCCTCCTTGTTCCGCCACTTTCAGACAAGCCGTCTAATCAACGGCCGCTAACTCAGCGCGAGCTTGACGTTGTCTATAAGTGGCTAGAACTCCTATTCGATTTCTTCAATGCGCGAGACGAGGATGGTGAAGTCCTCGGTGTCCCCGCTGAAGTCCTTAGATCGCCTAAGTATCACGAGCTCGCCTCACTCAACTTCTTCTATTTCGATTCTACTGAAAACCTGATTCGCACGTCGGAGCGTATGGCCGCGGCTACCGCACAACGCCAGCAGCAGCAGCTTCAAGGACAGATGAGTTCTAATCGCCTCTCCGCACCCGCATCGTTAGGCCCTTCGCTCAGCCCTTCCCATAGCGGCCCGGCTTTCGCAAGCATGGGGACGATCCGCAGGGGCAAGAGCATCATGATGAGTCGTAACCTTGGTACGATGCGCCGGGCCAAAGAGGAAAGGCGAAAGGAGGCCCAAGCCGATCCATCCGATGACATGATCCTCCGAATATTGCGCATGCGACCCGAGGCAGCTGGTTACCTTAAGGAGAGACATCGTCAAAAGGAACGAATGGCTGCCGCCGCCGCTGCTGCGATGATAGTAAAACAGAGCGTATCCCAAGGCTGGAACTCGGCTGGAGGCGGCTTCGGCCGAGGTGGTGTTCCGCGACGTTAAACTTACGTTCTACAGAATCAGGTCGAATCACACGTTGAGCAAAGTTGTGTGGGGTTGATAGAGCTTGGTTTTTTTATCCAAGGGACGTCAGCGGTAGGACAAAGAGGGCCGGGATGATGGAAGTTGGACTACTGACGTATCCGGGGTCCAGCGAGCTTATTTCTTTCCCAAATGTCTCTTGTCAACTCGCAGGGTGTATAACCCTTCGATTTCGATTCGAATTACGTCTAGATAGTATTTTCGTTCTTTGTCTTTTTTTATTTATTTAAACATATGCGCGCGGGAAGTGGCAGGCGTTATTAGGCAACAAAGTTCAGCGGCATTTGGCATTCAACTAGATACCCTCACGAAGCAAGCTTTGGAGGTTTCACGGGCGCTTGAATTGTCTTTTACTTCGCTTTCGTACCGGGAAAGCGGTGTTCTGTTCCTCCTCAGCGGGTGTCTTCGATTTGTTGTTGATGATGTTTTGCTACGTCTTGTTGTCTTTTTTTTTTTTTATCTGTTTATTTACTTGCCTATTTTTCTCGTTCTACCACGACGACTTCTTGCCGAAGAAAATAAAAACTAATAATGTAAGCAAGTTAGCTAGCACAAACCCTTCCAGAATGAAGCTATCACAGTGACACGAAATGACGATTAATGATAAATAACCTACCTAGGTACCTATACCTTATACCTTGTACAATACGTTATATCGCCATACATATACCTCATATCGCCTCGTTCCGGTGGAAAATGTGTTGTCATATTCACGTAGGCATTTCCTTCACGAGATACAGGTCAATAAATGGGCAAAAAGTAAATCGTAGATTAGGTAGATAGATTAGGTTAGGTAGGTACCTAAGCTGATATTGACATACGTGGTCCAAGGTCTGAGGGGAAGGGGGGTATAGATGTATAGATTGACATGGGGAGCTGGTTGGCTTAGTTTACATTTTTTTCGAACAACTGATAACTTACTGGGGAAACACAATGAGGCAGCAGCAGCAGCAGTAGAAGAAGCATTTGCTTGTTCCTGCGGCCTCGACTTTGCATACATATAGATACAATACGGCCGGTCGACCGATCGATCTATCTATCTAGGTATTTCGCCTCGCCGCTTTACTACTTCAGGGACGCCCGTCCGTTGAAGATCCCGATCCCATCTTCATCGTTCAGGGAGGTTAGGTACCTAGGTAGGTAGTTAGTCGAACGATAACTCGCGCAGATCTCTGCTGCTCTGTGATCGGCTAAAGCACCATGTTGTGTATATATGTGTGTGAGTGTGTGGTGTATGGTGTATATGTGTGTGATATGAGATAGACACACCCATTACCCTATCAAGCGGTTAGCTAGGCGAGCAGAAGAAGCAGGCTGCGAATGGCTTCCTTTTCTTTATTTGATATATATATATATATTGATTGTATATTTTACTTGTATTGATGTTACCTATCTCATTTTTCTATCATTTCTCACCATCCATCTGCTTTTTCCCTTTTCTTTTCTTTTTTACGTGCGACCGCATCGGTAACATAAGACGTCAGCTGCGCATTCATTGCACGATTGCGTTCAACTTCTTACTTCCGACTAACTAATAATAGTACCTAGTAGTATACAGCTAACCTTGGGTAGCCTTATGTACGTACCTATAATTCGTCTAGAGAAATTTAGCAGACTGTGGATATAATATAATGTTTGAAATAAGCACTGAAATTTTTAGCATTTCACTGTTAGCCAAAATGAATCATCATCTTCTTCTTCTGCCGTCGCGGTGTAGCAAAGAGCCAGCTTGTTTGGTTGTGCGATGGTTGGGCAACTTGACTGTCATCACATGAGCATTTTTGAAACTTCTGGGTGGGTGGATTGAGAGGGAGCCCGTCGGTGATCTTCACTTCCTTAGTGGTTCTGTGCTGGAGCTTCGGGGAAAAGAAAATAATTAGGAAAAGAACAAAATAAAAGGGTTATTAAAAAAAAATAACTACTTGGGCTATAACAACAATTGTCTAACCCCGGAATTTCCCAGATTTCATGCTCTCCTCTCCCCGCCCTTGCTCTCTCCAGGCCCCGAGATTCGCTCGTGCGTACTGGTAAGTGTTAGATTGGGTATGGTATTGCAGATTGGGAGATTGGTAGATTGGGGGAAGGGAGGGGTCCAGGGTCGATCTTTTTCAAGCTGAAACACATTTTTTAACAATTCAGATGAGGATGTGACAGTACCCCGTGGCCATATCTTATTCCCGGATGGTACTGATTCCCGGAGAGCAGTAACTTTTGGTCCTCTGGCGGTGTTCTGCCAGTCTAACGAACAAGCCGGCAACTACCTAGAAGTGTGCATAGTATAAATTCTTGAATCGACATCATCATAAACCTTAGTAGTGATAATACGCGGAAATATCTAACCCTACTGCCAGTACAAATGGGTTAGGAATGGGCAACGAAGTTAAAATGCTTGTTTAGGTTAAATCTGTGCCGCGTGCGCCTCATTTATCCTGACAAGTGCTTACTTGGCTTTCTTTATAGCCTCAGCTTCTTTATGACTGAGATGCGATAGTCAAGTTGCAGCTCGGCGACAGGGTTAAGTTCGCCGATGAGCTCCGTATATTTGAGATTCCACCCCGGCCGGGAATGCTCACAGCTTCTTAGGTTTCATATATATGGAATCGAGAGGGATAGGACACTGACATTTCAGTCGCACTACCCGTCCTGCCGGAACTGTCAAAATGTTGTGTGCGCATACATAAATGACAAGCTTTAGACTAGAGAATGTCCTGTTTAGAAGCCTCGAGTTTTCTATGTGCGGGCGGAGTCTCTCGATCTAGCGGTGTCGGATTGCCTGATAACCTCGCTTGGCCCGATAGGCTAGACCATAAGTGCAATTCTATGAAAGCTTTCAAGTTAACACTTGGATGGTGTAGTTGATGGATCTTGAGATCCTCGGTACTGGCTTATAATAGTCAGTCTATAGATCTACCAAGAAATATGCGAATCCGGATTCTGGAATGTAAATCTCACTCCTTCATTTCTATGGCAAGACGATAGTCGAGATATCTAACCATCATTTTAATGCCGATTCTTTTTTTTTTTTTTAAAAAAAAAACCCCCCCGTTTCCAGCAACGGAGAATTAGCGAACGAGATCCACGGTACGAAACGCTAGCGTGTGTAATTTCACATCAACTTGTTCGCGTGCTTTGGGTGTAGCCAGCCTAGCAGCCTGGACCTTACACAAAAGAGCTGAGGAACCGCGGGAAGTCGACCTCTCTGCCTCTTTAGCTCACCTTGGTTTCATGCCGCGTATAATACCTTACCTCTCTAGTCGGGCGCTATTCCATGCTCAGCAAGAGATGTTCGGAACGGCTAAGCATAGAATGATAACTAACGTGAAATGAAGAGAAATATCTGTAGCTCAAGTGGAAACCTTCGGCCACTCCTTTCGGCAGCTAAGCGCTTGACGGTCCCTTTGTGGGGGTTTGACGTGCTATGTACGGATGATGAAGGGTCTTCTTCCCTTTTTTTTCTCTCTTGTGCTGTTCCTGTGTGAATAAAGAGAACCATGGCCACCGAGCGACCCATCGACTACCAGGGCTCCATTTCCCACATACATACATCACAGGAGGAAAAAAGAAAAAAAAAACCAACTAGTAATAACCAAAAAAGGAGAAAATACGGGTGATAGACCGTAGTGATCCCTGGATTCTCGCGTGTCCCGTTTTCTCGAATTCGGCGCTATGTTCCATTAGCCCTACGAATCCGGGCCATTTGCCATCTCATCAAGAGCCGATGATCCGGGTTTCTTATGATTTGTTTCGAGGCCAGGAAAAATCGAGGCAGTTTCGCGCATGGAACAACATTTGATTGCCTCATGTCTTTTGAAGCCAAGACCTGACACAGAGCGGGCAAGACCCTGGATCGTTCCCTGTTGGGTCGGGCTGGGTGCACATGCAGATGTGCAGATGCTGTGACGTCACTCACATGCTATCTGACGGTTTTTGAGGGGGTTGAGAGATGTGGAGAAGGGAAAGCGATAACAACATCGATACGGCGTTTTCCCTCAAAATTTCTTAGCCGATTGCTGGGCTTCTTCGATAAAAAAAAATTAAAATAAAATAAAATAATGCGACTCGATGTAATTTTAAATGAAGCATTTCACACGATATCGGTGACGATAAGTTGCAATAAGTAGCCCCAGACTGGTGAAGTGTCCACCACTACCCAACCGCCCCCTTTGCCGATCATCGCTGGGACGAAAAGGGCAATTAGAAAGCTAATCCAAAAAAAAGAAGGATTTGCCACATCTGAATGTGTGAGTGCAAGCTTCCTAAACAACTGAATTACATACCTAGCGAAATAGAAAAGCGTGTGCCGCTTATTAGATTTATTTGTAACAACTTTGTTTGTATATGCCGTACAACAGAGCGAGGTCGACAGGAGGGACGCACAAGCGAAATACCTTTCTAAAGTCTTGCCACTCCCGACAGATGAAGAGGGGAGATGGGCCGCGATCTTTTGGCCCGTTTTGCCCATCTGCTTGCTTTGCCAGTCCACGTACCAATCCGGTGGAGACTCGGCTCGTTGTGCGTGCAGGGTTCGGAGCCAATCCGCAAAGCTGTACTCAATGTCCAATACATTTCGCTACTTGGGTAGCGGGTATTGAATACGGTGTGGTAAGACAAGACGGGACGACATTTCTTAAATTCAGTCAGAGCAGCCAGTAGCTGAGCGAGCAGCATGCAGACAAGCTTATATAATACTCTGGATATAGAATAGCCTGGTAAAGAAGATGCAACATTTGCGAGTCCAGACCAATGGAGAATTACCTTAGGTGGTAGGTAGGTATCAAACATACGCAAAGCCCGGGGATGGCTGACCACGGCTACCACGCCGGAGCCCAGCTCGAGGCTCGGAGGAGTTTTGAAGCCATAGGGAGTTTTTCATCTCTCATGGAAAACTGGAAAGCTGATATTCTTAAAAAGAAGTAGATTGAATTTTTAAAAGTACTTAGCACATGACGTCAACGTCGTTGCTTCGCTTGAATAACTGGTGTAATTGCTGTAGGAGCCCTAAAAAGTAGGTATTTAGTAGGATGCATTAGCATCAGGCCGGACAAGGTTGGGAGGGCGAAAGGGCTAAAGGACTGGAAGGCTGAATACGAATAAGGCACCTACCTAAATTCTTCCTCCGAGAGGCGGACTGTGTCTCGCATCTAAGCCGTACCTTAGGTAGGTACTTAGGTATTGTACCTAAGGTAAAGTTTTTTTCTTTAAAAAAAAAAAAACCCCCCATCAGGATGGAACGTTTACTACCGCCCGCGGAGTTTGCAAGCTTAGACCCTGTCGAGCCGACCTGAGTTACGTAGGTAGTAAATGGTAGGTAATTTATAAGTTGTAAGTAGTGGAATAGAGTGTATTCCTTGAACGACGTGAACTGGGTATTATCCCCCCACACACAAACGCTCTGCAACTACCTTCGAAAATGCGAGATGGATTCTGTTACACGGAGTTCATTATAAGATGTACCTGCTGCTTGGATTTGTCTTGGTTCCTTCCGCCTATCTGTACCGGACAAAAGCTGTAAGTACCTAGATACCTAAGGTACATGTAAGTTTAGGTAGGTACACGATCTCTTACAAAATCTAAGGTACAATACATCGAGTATGGTACCTAAGTCCTTCTTCGACGCTAAAGTACCGTACTACTGGCCTAAGATAGGCGCAGAAGTACTTGGATACCCACATAGCGACATGGGCGACAACCGGTCAGTTCGTGGCAATAAAAAAAAATTCTGGCCGACTTGGAGGGTTTAGAGGTTAGCTTACCTTTCTCCCCCTACCTTAGATCTGATAACGTATCTGCTAAGCATGTAATATCGAAAATACCTAATTAAAACGGTCCTTAAAAGGTACTTAAAGATGCGTTGCCTTATTTGATGTATTAGATCGCGCTTATACAGTTATGTACCTGTAGAGGCTATTTGATTTTAGCGCCATAAGGGACCTAACCTGCCTGAGAGGTACTATAACTGGAAGTATAAGCGTGGGTACCCACATAATGCGGTGTGGATACAGGTTATCAGGACCCTTCTTTCTCCCAACGTCTAAATTTGGACAATGGGAAGACATATCTTCACAAAGATAAAAAAAATTGTATATATATATCAAAGCCGGGAGATTTATAATAATAGAAAAATCATTAGAAAGAACCATCGAATATCTATTGGTTATGGGATATTAGTGTCTGGGTTTACATTTGAATACATACATACACAGCTACAAATTAACCCAATCGACACCTCAAGTTCTCTGCGTGGCTGGTTCGACCCGGCTATTTCCTTCCCCAAGCCGCACTTCCCTCAAGGTGGTAGCGACCGATAGCGACCAATAACAACCAAGAAGCAACCAGTCAAAAAAGGGCAAGACTTGAAGGGCAAGACTGGACTAGCACATAGCTTGTAGGTAGTCCCGTAGTGGCCAAGCCTGCCAGTCCATAGGTATTTTCTCTTTCGCCCTCTTCGCCTTTTCTCATCCTTCAGCACCAGTACCAGCACCAACACCCTCCCGACCGACTCGTCCCCGCCTAAATCTTCACTTTACCTTATTGCATCTTTTTTTTTCCCTACCAGGGTTCTAATTGGAAAAGCTAAAGAGGCCCACCCGTCCAGTTAGGTTAACGTAGCGGCCTTTGACATACCCTTGACATACTTTTTTACAGTACATACACCTCCTCTCCCAGCCTGAGCCCTCGTCTCTCTCCACCCACTCGCTTTCAAGCAGGGTCTCCTTATTCCGACAGAAGAGGCCCTTCCTTTTCAGATTTATCCATCTCACCAAAGTCACACAATTACCCTATACGACGACACGACCTACTTATTATCATCTTTTACATACAAGTGTTCCTATCGTTGTAATTTGTATACCTAGTTAGTTCTGATAACTATTGTTATTAACAATCCAAAGTTCAACACGGTTACCCAAATCGCTCCCTTCCGACCGCCGTCAAGGCGGGCACGCCGCGACAAATTGCGATAGAGATAGATACTTTTTTTTTCTAAACCCACTGCCCGCTGGTTTGCTCTTGTATTAGTTACCTTATATATCATCGACGTCGGCTTCGTCCTGCTCCATGCGTTCGTCATAAGCCCATCCAGCGCCCACCGAACGCTGGCCCGTCCGTTTTTCCTCTTACTATTTACGATTGAGAACCCGCATTTTCAAGACGATTGAACGTCTTAGATCCATAATCATGAGGGTGATGGCCGACGAGGAGACCTTGGTGGCTACCGCCACCATTGTAAAGTCATTAGCCGTCTATCCCCAGGACGCTGCCAACGTTCCTGTCCCTATCGGCACCAATTCTCAAATCAGGTTACCTGGTCACGATTGCCATGCCAAGGAAACTCTTGAGCGTGAGCTCTCCGCCCTTGTAGTCAGGATCCAACAGCTCGAGGCCAAAGCAAGTGTTGGAAATGGCGCAACCTTTCCTGACACTCCTAACGAAACGGCTGAATCTCTCTTTGGCGACGAGTCTCCTAGTTCCATGGGTTCTAAACCGTCGAGACAATCCCGGTTTCCAGTCCTTCCACCCGCCCGAAACGGCGCTGGCGAGGAACGGACCGTGAAGGTTCTTCCCCTCACCAATGAAGATCTTGAGGGGCTTCATGAGCATGTTATAGATCAGTCGAAAATACTCGACAATCAACGCCAAGAGCTGACGAACGTCAATGCTCAACTTATAGAACAAAAGCAACTGCAGGAGAAGGCCCTCGAACTCATCGAGAAAGAACGGGTCGCAGCTTTGGAACGAGAATTATGGAAGCACCAAAAAGCTAACGAAGCCTTCCAAAAAGCACTCCGTGAAATCGGTGCTATTGTTAGCGCTGTCGCACGAGGTGATCTTACTATGAAGGTTCGAATGAATACCGTAGAAATGGACCCGGAAATTACGACTTTCAAACGGACTATCAATACCATGATGGATCAGCTCCAGGTCTTTGCCAGCGAAGTGTCCCGTGTCGCACGTGAGGTCGGCACTGATGGAATACTTGGCGGCCAGGCCATGATCGAAGGAGTAGATGGCACCTGGAAAGAACTGACAGACAATGGTAGAGTGCCTCATAAAACACACGTGAACGTATACTAACATCTATGTAGTCAACGTTATGGCTCAAAATCTTACTGATCAAGGTTCGTTCCAAATCAAGTATTACTTGGCTTATGGCAGCAGCTAATTGTTATTTTTAGTGCGAGAGATCGCATCAGTGACTACTGCTGTCGCTCACGGTGATCTGACCAAGAAGATCGAAAGGCCGGCCAATGGTGAAATTCTGCAGCTTCAACAGACGATTAATACTATGGTGGAACAACTGCGTACATTTGCATCCGAAGTCAGTCGTGTTGCTCGCGATGTGGGTACCGAAGGTATCTTAGGAGGCCAGGCCGATGTGATGGGCGTTCAAGGTATATGGAATGAGTTGACGGTAAACGTGAATGCTATGGCGAACAATCTCACCACTCAAGTACGGGATATCGCCAAGGTCACAACTGCAGTTGCCAAAGGAGATCTCACTCAGAAAATTCAAGCCGAATGCAGGGGTGAGATTTTTGAACTCAAGTCGACTATCAACTCTATGGTTGAGCAACTATCGCAGTTTGCACGCGAAGTAAGCAAGATTGCGCGTGAGGTCGGAACCGAAGGTCGTCTTGGTGGTCAGGCTACGGTGAATGACGTTGAAGGCACCTGGCGCGATCTTACTGACAATGTCAACGGTATGGCTATGAATCTGACAACACAGGTGCGAGAGATTTCCAAGGTTACTACTGCTGTGGCGGCCGGAGACCTATCACAGAAGATCACTGTCGAGGTCAAGGGTGAAATGCTTAGGCTTAAGCTCACTATAAACTCCATGGTGGACCGTTTAGGCAAGTTTGCCTTTGAAGTCAGCAAGGTCGCTAGAGAAGTCGGAACGGATGGAACCTTAGGTGGCCAGGCTCGAGTTGACGATGTAGAAGGAAAATGGAAAGACCTCACCGAGAACGTCAACACTATGGCTTTAAACCTAACGTCTCAAGTACGAGGTATATCCACCGTCACTCAAGCCATTGCCGATGGCGACATGAGTCAGAAGATCGACGTTCAAGCGAAGGGCGAGATACTCGTATTGAAGGAAACCATCAATAACATGGTTGACCGCTTGTCGGTCTTCTGTAACGAAGTGCAACGTGTAGCGAAAGACGTCGGCGTAGACGGAAAAATGGGAGGCCAAGCAGACGTTGGAGGTCTAAAAGGACGATGGAAAGAGATCACTGCTGATGTTAACACGATGGCAACAAATTTAGTAAGTCCTTTTATATCTTGTTCCACGTTATGCTCGTCGAGACTAATATTATCATCGTATAGACGACCCAGGTACGAGCTTTCGGCGATATCACTAACGCTGCTACCGACGGAAATTTTACCAAGCTAGTCGACGTGGAAGCTTCCGGCGAGATGGACGAGCTTAAGCGAAAGATCAACCAGATGGTGTACAACCTCCGAGACAGTATCCAAAGGAATACGCAAGCAAGGGAGGCGGCCGAGCAGGCCAATAAAACGAAGTCGGAATTCTTGGCGAATATGTCCCACGAGATACGAACGCCTATGAACGGTATCATTGGAATGACCCAGTTAACCCTCGACACCGATCTTACGCAATATCAGAGAGAGATGCTCAATATAGTGAACAACCTCGCCAATAGTTTGTTGACTATTATTGACGACATATTGGATCTGTCAAAGATTGAGGCTCGAAGGATGGTGATAGAAGAGATTCCATACACGTTACGGGGCACTGTCTTCAATGCCTTGAAGACGTTAGCTGTCAAGGCAAACGAGAAGTACTTGGACCTTACATACCGGGTTGACAGCTCTGTCCCCGATTATGTAGTTGGTGATTCCTTCCGTTTACGGCAGATCATTCTAAACCTAGTGGGCAACGCCATCAAATTTACAGAGCATGGCGAAGTAAGCTTGACAATTCGGAAAGCCGAAGGTGTCCCTCCCAAGGATCCCCGCGAGTACGCAATCGAGTTTGTCGTTTCGGATACGGGTATAGGGATCCCGCCAGATAAGCTTGACTTAATTTTCGATACTTTCCAGCAAGCAGACGGATCCATGACTCGTAAGTTCGGTGGTACTGGCTTGGGTCTATCTATTTCAAAAAGGCTGGTTAATCTTATGGGCGGTGACGTCTGGGTCAAGAGTGAGTTTGGAAAAGGTAGCTCGTTCTACTTTACTTGCGTTGTCAAGTTAGCAGACGGCGAGGTCGCGTCCATCGAGAAGCAATTGAAACCTTACAAGGGACATCAAGTGCTGTTCATTGATAAGGGACGCACCCAATATGGAAGGGAAATCGTCAATATGCTGCAGAGGCTTGGGTTGGTACCGGTGGTTGTAAACACGGAAGGAAATCCTCATATTCCTAACTCAGACGACCCGCCATATGATGTGATCATCGTTGAGTCTATCGACACCGCTCGCAAGCTAAGAGCCGTCGAAGATTTCAAGTATCTTCCAATCGTCCTCTTGGCTCCGGTTGTTCACGTCAACCTCAAATCATGCTTGGATCTGGGTATTACATCTTACATGACAACACCTTGCAAACCAATCGACTTAGGAAATGGAATGGTTCCTGCTTTGGAGAACCGTGCTACGCCATCCCTAGCCGATAATACAAAATCATTCGAGATTCTACTTGCCGAGGATAACAGGGTCAACCAGCGGCTAGCTGTAAAGATTCTTGAGAAGTATCATCACGCTGTTACCGTGGTTGGAAACGGCCTAGAAGCGGTGGAAGCTGTGAAGAAGAAGAAATTCGACGTCATCCTCATGGATGTTCAGATGCCAATAATGGTTTGACACCCATCGCAGTACCCTGACCTGCATAGCAACTTACTAACTGTATGCAGGGAGGCTTCGAAGCTACTAATAAGATACGCGAGTACGAGCGCAGTCTTGGCTCTCACCGTACTCCGATCATTGCATTAACAGCGCACGCTATGATGGGAGATCGGGAGAGGTGTATACAGGCGCAGATGGACGAATATCTATCGAAACCCCTACAGCAGAATCACTTAATACAGACCATCCTGAAGTGCGCGACGCTTGGTGGTGCTCTTCTCGAGAAGAACCGAGAGCGAGAATTGGCGCGCCAAGCCGAGCAGAAGAACGGCAACAAACCGAATGGCTCGGCGCACTTGAGGCCTGGCCTGGAGGGTCGTTCGATAACGTCAAACGAACCCTTGATGGGGACCATGGAGAGTCCATCTCTCGTCTCAGCGAATCAAGATGATGCGCTGCATAGGGCACGTTCAACCCTCTCTGAACCTGGCGTTCAAAATGACTAACTTGCGGTCGTTCCGTTCAGCTCCTGATCAGAGCTCATAGTAACTAACTGATCAGCTTTCAATGCCGGCCAGGCGTGAAGAACACCGCCCGCTTCGAGTCGTATGTTCAATCCATACGTCCGGGGTCCGTGTTCCAGTCAAGATCAATTCTCCATCATTCTCACGATACCCACGGCCTATGAGAATGCCATCAGTTCCAGGCATCACCACCTAAATTTCTTGTACTCTCGTTACCACAAGCTTGATTACGAGTGGTGTAAGACTCGGCTGCTGTTGTTGTCCGTTCTCGGGTCTATGCTTTTTATATATTACGACACATAGGGGTGAAGAGCAGGATGTGCCGCTTTTGGGGAGGAGCTATGGCCATTGTCGGTGTTTCATTGGGCGTTATTTTGGCTTCATGTTTGGACATCAGTCATGCGTCGTTTGTGAATGTATTAGTCATGGGAAGGTCTTCGATATAGTCGTTTGGCTATATCGGACTGCTGAAGGGAAGGTTCTGCCTCTGGAGGGAAAACACGTGAAGCTTATTGATTAAGTAGCGGGATGCTAGATTCCTGTTGTCGAAGTCTGGGCAGATGGCTCACATTATTTTTTGGAAGTAAATAGTGTCGGGGTCCCTGTATCATGGAATTCAGTTGGCGCTTCCTATGTTCGTTGATTGCTAGTTTGTATCGAGGAGAGGGTGGAGTAACCTCCTGGTCCGCAAACGAGATGGGTCATTTGTTAATGGATAAGAAATGACAAGCCAGGATTCTTCATCTCTTCAAAACTTTTAAAATCGTGGAAGTCAGTCGTATAGTGAATTTTGTCTGCCACTCTTCGTTCACGTGGCTGTATTATTGGGTACATAGGTACCTATGTGTCCCTTATGCCTAGCAGTGAATCTGTATAGATTTTTCGCAACACCCAAAGATCTCCTTCGTATATCCCTAATGCTATGCATTAACGGCGCCTATCTACTCAAAGATAAGTGGCGTTATATAGAGATTACCTTACCTAACTTAGTAGTTATATTTTTACGCTTGGGGATTTCTTAAATAGTGATTTAATCTACATAAACGTAAGTGACTTTCAAGCGTAGTCCATAGGTTTCATACCCATCTTTCTTTGTTGATTCAAAAGAAGTACTATACAAACGAGCAGAAACTGTGTATTCCGGTACTTTGGAGGGTGTGGTTGGCTAGGTATGTTTGGTAGTAATAAGGGGATTCAATGAAGATTTGGCATGGAAATGAGATGGATACAACTATTAAAGACAACGACTATGCAGTAATCTGCGTACGTTGGGGTTATATTTGATTTGACTTTGTTTATTATGAAGGACAAGTCCCTACATGCTTAATAGAATTATCTGGTTGTATTGATATGATGATGTAGTCTGGGAGGTCTTGCTTCGAGGAGGCTTACTTTGGGGGTTATATACTTTACATTTTACTCTGGCGGTGAATAGAGCTCGTCATTGAATTTTTCGTCGTATAATTTTCAAGCTTTTTCGTAGTGCTACTTTATAAGGAGGTGGGTGTCTAGTGACTAATTCCACCCTAGTGATGACAGCAGTGGCTGTGGTAGGAGCCGAGTAACCAAAGTTGCCGTAGAATACATGTTCATGCCTCAGATATAGCAAGTTCCGTTTCCTTTTCTCGTGTGTTATGGTAAAGTACCTAGAAGATGGCTCATTATTTTCCAGATTATAGGTATTCTAGAAGAGACTTATCTTCCTATTCCCTCCAACAACACATTGCCGTATATTCTCATTGAACTGCCTTATATATAGACCAATGCTTAACCCTATGCTAACTTGCCGTCCATATTAGATTACTCGTAGAGATGATCCCTGGGATCCATATGTTAACTTACTAATATGTGATGTATTAACCAACTCTCCCGAAAAGAAGGAAGTGAACGGGTTATGTCCCTTCTCCAGATGCCTCATTCATAGAACATTTGACTTTCTATCTTGCGGAGATATATTATTCCCTCGACCTTGTGGTTCCGCAGTCCTCTCTACTGCCACTACCTGCCTAAACCGCTTGCATTACCATTACATTGCCGAACTTATTATATTATATTATATATAGATTATATCATCAAGCTACGTACCAAAGAGAATGCGAGCACGACGCGGCGGAATCCGCTCCGCGCATATTTTTAGACGCGCTACAGGTCTCAGAGCTAGTCAGACGGACGGGACGGTAAATTTGTGGCGTCGTACTCGTTTGTGTCTCTCCCGTGACGTCAATAGCCCGGCAGCGGTGATACAAGCAGACGGACAGATAGGCTATCGCGGGTCTGACAGCTGGAATCGTACGTCTGCCTATATGTCTATATGTTCCCCAAGTCCAGGTTCAATGGGCAGATATTATCACCCTCTATGTTGGTCGATAGAGCTAGTGCCTTCCTACGGACGCGCCTAGAATAAACAAAGCAGAAGGAATAAGTACGTAGACGTATTACGTTAGGTTAGGTAGGTATCTACCTAGAGAGAGCTGTGGAGTGGGATTTCGCTGGTCGATTGGGTCCTAACTTAACTCCTATTCCATCCCCGTGCATATGTCATCTACAAAGTATGACTAAATCTTGGGAGTCGTGTGATTATGGGACCACCGTGATAATTTTCTCTCTCTTTCTCTCGCGCGCGATCCGACCACGGGTCCTAGAGTTCCTTTTTTTTTTTTCTCTCATCAAGAGTCAACAAATCCCTAGCCCAGACAGACTACTGTTTTCTCGGTCAGCGGGCGGAACAATAGAGAAAAAAAAAACATCATTTTGTCTGGGATGTCTGGAATAGGTTCGGTCCTGGCGATCGAGTCCCATCGGGATCGATGCTCGCTAGGCAGCTAAATATGCTGATGGATTTGGCGATGTAAATAGGACCCGTATATGCTCACGGATCGCCGGATGGTGATAGGTAGAAGACATCGCGTTCGAACATCCCTGAACGGTACCGCTCCTTCATACCAAGAGATGTCAGACGTCCCAATTTTGTTTAAAATGATGCCTCGGGACTCTTTATGTTCGATCCGATCATCATCACGATCATGATACTGTGTTGATTTACTCTACGTCACTTGCCGCCCAGAGCCTCAAAACGCCGCCCTAATCCTATTTTCGAAATAGTTATCCCGCGCCTTAGCTCTCCCGCTCTCTGTTAGAACTGATCTCATAGCTAGCAAATCTAGGCTTTCAAATTAATCACATCATGCCTGTCGTAGTAGGGATGACGATCTAGGTTCTCCAACTAATGCAATGGATGTTCCAATCTATATCGTTCTATGCATATATGTACATATGTATGTCGGTCTGGATCTGTACTACCAGCGCCTCTGCGGGGAAGCTTCTTTTTGAGAGCTTCCCCTGATCTCCTTGGATCATCTACCTGTAACTTTCCTGTGGGGGATTATGTATGTCTAATGCATGTGCGTATACTGTATATGTATGTATGAGCAGAGTGGCCAGTTTTGGCAATCGAGTGACTGAATAACTCTTCTACTTGCTCAATACGTACTCCTTCAACTTTGGTATAGTAAACAACTGTACAGCAACGTAACCCCCCGCTAAAAATTAGTGTCTCGATAGACGAGAGAAGAAGCGAGAAACTATTTCTTTGCCTCGGGTCCCTGCTTTTCATAGCTGTCTTTCACCTGACCGGCATCGAACGAGCCAGGTCCACCTTCAAACGATGCCAATAGGACATTGAGCTTGCTCTCTAAGCTCGTCAGGCTTGCTTCCAGAGCTGCAGCTTGCTGTTCGCCCCTGTTCAAGCATATGTTAGCACGGTGTGGTTTTTGGTAAAAACTTCACACGATGGTGTGCAAATTCCCGTTATGCTATTAAAGCGTGGGCCAAAAGCAGATTAGTCTTTCGATATGTTTATTTTGAATAGAAATAATATCCTGTATAACAGGGGGAAAAGCTTGCAAGGCTAGTCGTAATCAGATGTTAACACAGCATGAACAAGGACATGCCACGCACAAACTGAAGACTTTTGTGTGACTTTTGGGATAGATCGGCGTTGGGGTGTTGTAACGGGAAAGGACGGCAACCTAAAACAGCTTTGCTAGGCGTTCGACGTGGATGGAGCCAGTAGCAAAGCTAGTCAGGTCTAGATACGAGCAAAAGGCAATGCAAACAAGCTGACAAGGTAGGTAACCACTTATTCGGTCACCCGGGGACTTCCACCGGTGAAGGACCTGGGTGGGAGTACGGACGAGTAAAGTGTGTGGTTCCGATTTGGATTCGTCGTAACTACCTACCAACTAGGCGGGGGATCTAGAACGTTGGGGGAAGAAGACAGGGGGGCGGGTAATGGGGGGCTAGTCGCGCGTGTATGCACAAAGGGAATTTGGCATGATAGAAAGGATGGTAAATCAGGGGTCTAGAAGCAATTGGCATGGTAGATGATGGGACATCTGATGCGCATTTGAGCATTTCCATGTGGCTGGCCATTTCTTCCGAACCTTCAGGTCGGGAACATACAACTAGCCAACTTGATGAGATCGACGGTCGATCTCCTCCTCAAGGAGTTGTCTTGAATTCACGATGACGAGAATAAGGCTGTGACTTGCGATAGTGAACACACACGTACCTGGCAAGGTCCTGGAACGCCTATTCCCGAGAAATTGTTGTTAGATTCAGGAATGACTGACATTGAATAATACTCTCGAAGGACTTAGGTATTAAGCGGTGGCAACTTACCTTAGCCATCTCTGCTTGCGCTGACGCAGCTGAAGCTGGGGTCGAACTCGAACCATTCGCCGAACTCCCATTAGGCTCCGAAGGCTTGGAGGTGGATATTTCTTTACCGTCTGATGGTGACTTGGACATGATGAGGCTATTCTACCAACTTGCTTGTTTGCAATAAAAAGAAGGGATGAAAGATCGGATGTAATCCCCAGTTCCAAGATTCAAGGTGGATCTTGGGGGAACGACCATATGATTGGTTACTTTTGCCACTCGCAAATATCCGGTTCGGTTGGGAATAGTGTGATTTGATGGAGGAGCTGAAGAGGTGGAGATGTTGAATAAAGATTTGAGCATCGAAGACATGCAACTTCGGGTATAATAAATACCTAGTATGCAAACATGGTATTATTTCACAAAGGATCGGCGATAAGAACGGTGGCCTCAAATGCTGATCATCTCTCTAACTGGAAATTGTCTTTCGCTTGCGTGGTCTAAATCTCTGGATTGTGGCTTATTTATTTTGTTTGTTAAAAAAACGTTGCTCAACGTTAGACGGCCGGCTACGTTATGGTCTTAAGGGTCTTTTTTAGTCTTCTGTTATGCAGTGATAAAATCTAAAAAAAAAAAAAAAAAAAAGGATCGCGAGTGACGACAGCAAAGAAAACAGGGCGTCTCACGTCCACGTAGCTACTAGAAGCTACAAGAAGTGGAATAGAAAAAGATACCTAATGTAGGAGGTTAGGTTAGGCAGCTCTTGTTAAATCCACGTGTTTATGCTAGGTACATGCCCGTAACCGTATATTTTTGCAAAATTGGCCGGCCGGAATTATTTGATAAGCTTGAGGTCTGTCAGTTACGGTAGCATGGGATGAAGAAGTTGGAAGTTAAAAGAATTCCATCCCCTTCGATGGGAAACGAGAAATCGCAAGGACACTAAAGGCTAGGTACCTAGGTACATATGTACCTTACCTAACGTAATCTAAACCTAACCTGTAAAGCTGGTTGTACAATACTGTAGTTTCATATGCACGATAACCTAGAAGTTGAAAATTTATTGAATAAAGCCAAGCACTAAGAATCAGCTGATTCCCCATTTTGCGCCAGGTAGGATCAATCAATAGTTGCCATCTATTGGCAGAGGAGGTTCCTACAACTTAGTGTATGCAACTTGCATCGTTCGCCACTCACATCGTCGCCAGACTACAAACAACCACACACACACACACTCTCTCTCTCACACACACACATTAGGTATATAACGAATAGTAGGTAATATGTACCTTAGGTAATACGTACCTTCTACCTTCTTCAACTGTGGAAGCTTTCCCCAATCTCGATCTTGTCCTACGATGACGACCGTCGGTGGTATCTTATCATGAAGATTCCTTACTTATTCATTTCTTTCTGCTTCGAGTAAGGATCTCGAACACGGCCTATGCCCAGCCGATGTCACCTCGCGACTTTAATATACCCCTACCATCTGACTTTTGCTTGGAAATACCACAATGCCGGGACAAAGTTGGCTTTTTTCGTACGTTTTCTGCTCTTCCTCTAGTGGGGTACGAGAGGGGGCAATCGCCGATACATAACATTTGAGTGATGAATTGCAGTAATAGGAAAATTGAAGAAAAATCAAATCGACTAATGGAGTCCAGGAGTCTGGGGTTCGTTAGCTTAAGAGGAGCCAAGACTCTCGATCCCGGGCTGAAAAATCGATTGCGGCACCCTGCGCTCTTCCCATCTGCTCAAATCTCATTGGTTGGCTGTCGGTAGCCCTCTTGGCTCCCGCTTCTTTCTCAACATTGGCTAGTGGTCCGACACCCCGATATCTACTTCAGGTCACTATGGCTGTATGGGAAGACCTGAGTGTACCTGAGCAAGACTGCCCTTCCGTCATTGTAACGGTGACCAGTCCCGTTTGGGAACTTTGGCTCTTTCGTTAACGGCCCTTAAAAAGGAAAAACATATATGAGCAGACAGACATGATACTGTGACTCGTTATGGGGAAATCAAGAGGCTCTCATAGCGCTACATCGACACGACGTCAAAAGGTACGTCTCGAGGGAAGATGGCGGCGACTCGGGAACAAGAGACACACACCCAGCCCATCCTGGTAGGGAGACACGAGGTGAAGCAACTCACTGATTCGTCCGAAACTCTGGCCAGCGATCTCGATCTTCCTTAGCTTTGTAACCTGTCGTCTTTTATTCCCTCGGCCTCTTACCGTGACATTCGTTGCTCCATTCCCATGACCGAGCAGTTTACAGTCGTGTGTGTAGGCACCGCCTGTTTTGTTTTCTGTTCATTCTAGACGAAGTTCTCAGGAAAAGGTCTCAAAAAAGCTTCGAACCTCCCGAAGATACGGGCATCCCTTTTTGAGTTGGCAAAACGTGCGCCTACGGAACCCTCAGCTTTTAGGCCCTGAACTAGGCTGCATGAGCTTTGATTCTGAAAATTGCATTTCATTTATGGGGCTAAGGACAAGTCAGGCTGTGATCTTCTAGTAAAAGTCACGTTCCTGAACAAGCCTGAACAGTTCGAGGCAGTCCAACAAGTCTCGCCCAGGTCCGGGGGCTGCAGAGCGTGACCTCGTGCCCCGATATATACATAGCCAGGTACCGTGTGTCCGCCGGCCGACTTAATTATTGTTCATCAAGGGCCCATCAGGCCATTTTTTGTGCTTGCATGTTTCGAAGGACTCTCCTGCCAGCCCGCCGGTCTTCAGAAAAAAGAACGGATGGGAAGCCAGTCCCGTAGGTGAGTTTCTATTTTTTCCCCTTCAGCGCGGTGCACTAGCTTTTCTGGGTCCTTTTTGGGTCCTTGGGACTTTGGGTCTTTGCCGTGGCCGTTCTTATTTTTCCAACTCTCCCTTTTGCTGTCACACGTCAAAGTTGTTCGATTCCCCCTCGATTGCGCTACTCATCGAGATCTGGAAAATGCAGAGGGATCGTATATCACTACAACAGCCCGGGATCCAGAATGCCAATTTTCCACATTTCCCTTAAACATTGCCATTGACCATTACGGGGCAAACAGACAAATCCGATTATCCTTCCTTTAATGCCACAACATAACGATTAATCACAACCAGCACCCGCACCCACACAGGCACCACGCGCAGTCCAACCCGTAGCAAACCTCCTCTTCCTTCTAGCAGGCCCTTTTTTCCCTCATTAATTACTAGGTATCTCGGCATTTCATTCTCCTGTAATTCTAGACCCCACGCCCCACACACCTGGGCACCTGAACTACCTGAACTTCGCATTCGAACCTAAGACGCGTCCCCATCTTTACGTAGCTTCGGAAGTCCATTTGACTACTTGCTTGTTGCAGCCTATCGTTAGGGGAAAGCTTAGCAAATATCGACGACGTTATCTTAGTAAGGCTGGTTATTAGACCAGTTATCTCGGGTGAGGAAAGTTCAGCCCAGAAGCGTCGTGAATATTGAGGCGTCGTGGAAGAAGAGGTTGGGCCGTCCTCAAAAAAAAATACTTCCAGACCGTTAGCAAACACAAACGCCAACCCTATTCAAGGCTACTCGACGAGATTTAATAAATCCTGCGAGTTGCATCCGTAAACACGACGCACCGGGCACTCGGAAAGCCCGATGTTGAATTGAACCTTTCAACGACTGATCCGCGTTTTAAACGCGGCCGAAATCAGCTATATGAATTCCCTCGAAGTGATCTTCGGCGAGCTAGGCATCACTCAGTATCTCGACGCCTTCATTGAGCAGGGCTTCGATTCGTGGGAAACCATACTCGATATCACTGAGTCTGACCTGTAAGTTTTAATGACTTGTCTCGTTGCGGTCAATGGCTGACGATAGTTGCATCTAGAGACGCACTTGGCGTTAAGCTCGGCCATCGAAGAGTAAGACGCCCATCCAAATAGAAGAAAAATCCATCAGGTACGACGTACTGACCACTCTAAAGAAACTCCAGCGCCGTATAGCGAATTATCGTGGTGTTGCGCCCGAGACATCTTTGGTCTCGCCCACTTATAGTAGTATTGAAGATGTCAGGCTCGATTCTAACCGGTCGGAACCTGCCAAATCCGAAAAGTCAGACGGGGCGGCCGTTGCGAAGCGCAAATACAGACGACATCCTAAGGTTCGCCCTACCCTCTATCATTTAATACCTCCACGCTCCCGATGTTAAATCATTTGAATATTTCATCCCGTATCGGTATGTATGTGACGTGAATCTAACATAGCATTTGGTAATAGCCGGATGAAAATGCACCGGAACGTCCTCCGTCGGCCTACGTATTGTTTTCGAATAGTAAGTTGACCCTTCTTGATGGTGGCGGTCCTCTCATTCGCGGAGGGTTGGGTTTTATTGGTGCCCGCCATTTGGAACCACCTGCTGACAAACGGCAGAAATGCGAGAAGATTTGAAAGGCCAAAACTTGACCTTCACGGAGATCGCTAAACTGGTCGGTGAGAATTGGCAAAACCTGAACCGCGATGAAAAAGAGCCGTTCGAGAGACAGGCGCACGAGGCCAAGGAGAGATATAACCGTGAGCTAGCCGAATATAAAAAGACAACCGAGTATAAAAAGTACTATGACTACTTACATGATTTCCGTAAAAGACAAGCTGCTCAACTACAAGGTATTATTAATGTCCTCCCACTATGTCATATAAAATATCTGACTAACAAATTAAATTAAATAGAGAAGGATGTTTCTAAGCGTCTAAAGTTGGACTCGGACAGTATCCGTGGCAGTAGTACCAGCGGTGGTTCAGCCGGAGCGAGTGGTACGACCAGTGGAACTGTGAGCGGCTCTGATAGTCAACCCGGCAGCGAACCGCCCCCTACTCGTCAACAAAGGCTAGGCTCATCAGCATCGACCGTCGATAGTAGTTTCTCACCGGGCCTAAGTAGTATACATCACGGCGACGAGTTGTTACATTCTCCTAGGACCCTCTCATTTGACGAGCCAGGTAGCAGTGGACGGTCACGTGGATTGTCGAGCCCTACTTCTCGCGATCCCTCTACTCATCATTATTCGAACCGTCGACCTGGCTGGGCCGACAGCCAGCGAATCTACGGAGAATCCTCTGGCGCGCCAATTTCCTGGTTTGACCCGAGAGGTATTCAAGGAACGTTGGTGCATTCTCCCGATAACGCTATACCCAACTCCTCAAGCCACGGCCTGGGCAACGGGACCGGCCGTATTTCGAGATCCTCGGGATCAAGCTCGATGTCGCGACCGCCATCTCTAAAAACTGAACAATCCTCAACCGGCAGTATGAGCTCGCTTAGTTCATATAATATGCCGAGAACCCCTAGTGATGCTTCACTGCCAATACATGCTCTGCTATCATCCAAGCCAGAACCGGCCTATCCTTCATGTCCACCTCCGCCAGCCCCGCAAGCGCAGTTACCCATACTCCAGCCACAATCGGGCCGTCCACCAGGTGAACAATTAAGTAGCAATGGCGTCGAGGCCCACGGTAAAGGTATGTCGAAGGACCTTAGGAGGCGAGATATGAGAACTAATTCTCCTCGCAGGATTTCTTTCGGGACCTGCAACGCCCAAGTATCCAACATTAGGTTTCCAGAAGGACACCATTTTTGGTGTACCGACGGAACCAAAACCAACTGCTACTACTTGGAAGACGGGTAGCCCAAGCGAGACTAGCCTTGATGGCATCAGCGCTTTACTCAAGGCGCGGGAAATTGTTGACCGACGGTAAAACAAAAACCGACGCGGATTGTCACCCTATGTTATTTCCCTTGTGTGGATATCTACACTAATTATATTTGCATACTAAGGATTGGCGGAGTATGGCATTTACGATATCAGGATATTTTATGACTAAACCTACCGGGACGGAAACGAACGCTTGGAAAATGCAATACCAGATGACACCCAGAGGCGATGATGGACGGGGTGCTACTCATTCACTGGGGCTTGTTATAATCATTAAGCCCCGGGTCTATCCAAGCTGCAATTGCGAGACTGCGAAGCTAATTAGCTAAATACCCATTTTCTATTCCTGTGAAAAATCGAAGGCAACCGGATTCAAAGGGAGGATTTCCACATTTCATATGAGTTGCAATGATAACTTGTGACTACTATCAGTACTTACTACCGTCGCTACAAGACTTTACATACAGGAGTTTTCCGGGAACTGGCACTCTACGAAGGAGAAATGACAAAAATTATGGAGTTTAGGTGTCTCGGGTCTTTCAATCCCATACCTTACTACCTTTAGGTATCTATCTATTCTATTTATTTTATTTTTTATTATCTCTCGGGCGACAACGTTCGATGGTCAGTCAACGAAGGCAAATTATTATGACTTGGGGGAAGCTGCTACGCCGGGTTGCTTTTTATGTACGTTCTACGGTTGTCTTCGTATAGTTGAGGAGGACTTCTTCTCTAAGTTAGGTAGTGGAGCCAGAGAGGGTGCTGGGGCCGGTAGGCTTATATATAGGTATCTTTTGCTGTGAGAGGATACACGCAAAAAGAATAGGACTGATATATAGTCGTGTTGATTGTCAAAATGCACCTGTGTGACTCGTGATCGGTGATAATGAAGAAAATATACGACTATATTTAGAATGTATGATAGATATACTAATGATTATATTGAATGGTTAGTTACCTAATATGCATCCCTTAGGCAACTATATTGAGTTAAGATACGGAAAAGGTATTAAGGGGTATTTTATTGGGCCCCTATTCAATCAACTCCTACTGTTTTCCTACTGTGCGGAATTGTATACTGAGACCACATCCACAAGGTTGTACTTTAATTCATTATCATCTCGTAAAGTAACTTGACTCGATAGTAAAATTTCCAAAAAGTGGTCCGCCAACCACGAACCGCTTTGCCATAACCACTACCATACCGTGCTGTACTCATGCTTGTGCTGTGCTAATTCCATCACAAAACAACCGCTTGCCTACCTCCTACTTAGGTGAGGTAGGTACCTGGGTTACTCTCTCACTGGCACGTCCATTCCGCCCTGTAACCTGTCCAAGTCATCACATCATGTGCGTACGTAGGTTAACCCAGGTGAATACAAATTTTCTTTTTTTTCTTTCTTTCTTTCTCCTCCCCTTCCCCTCCTCCCCAAGAACTTCCTAGACGAATGGAATCCATGACATGCATCAGGCTTCACCCGTCACCTCCGCCGACCAATCCCTCCGAATCTCCAGCTCCAGGAGCTCAGGCGTGTTCTCGATGATGAGACCCTTTTCGTTGGCCAGATGCAGCAGGCAGATGAAACAGAAGCTGGTCGAGATGTCGTCCATGACCGTCTTGGGGTATACCGTCTGCAAGTCGTTCATGACCTCCGTGAACTTGAGCGTTTCTCCTTCTCCCTTACCAGCCCTCCTCTCGGGGCTCTTGACCGGGGTAGGAAGTCCGGTGTTGTTGCCGTCCTGTAAAAAAGTTAGATTAAGTTCTAGTTATGAATTTATAGAAACTAAGAAAGGCCAAGGGGTGTTGCGTGTTTTGGTTGTCTTACCTCTTCTAATCCCAAGCCCTTCCAAAGTTCCTCCTTCAACCGGCGTACGTCTACTTTCTTTGCCCGCCGAGCATATTGCACGTATTCCGGCCTTAACCGGCGTGTAGATGTGACCAGCTGCGTTCCGAACCCGCCCGTCGTCATGCCATTGTCGAGCATACCGGTAATACCGATGTCCTGCGTAGCAGGGACGTCTGCGCCCGGTGAGAAGTGATCCCTAGCATCAGCGAACTCGAGGTCGTCGTCATCGTCGAGCATACCACCACCGGGTAGCGGCATTTCGTCGTCAAAGAAGTTGGCGTCGTAATCACCTGCGGGGATGACCGTGTCCTGATCGGCATTCTGCATCGGCTCTCTCTGGGCCCAGAAGGCTTCATCCATATCACCCGGAATGACGTTATTTTCTTGCTGGTTGGCGTTCCCGAACAAAGCCGCCTTCTTACCAAAACGGCTGCGACGACTCAAACGGGCCTTGGGTTTCAAGAATAGATTAAGAAGCTGCGTCGAGTTGAAGTGCTTGTCGTCGGGAAGTAGATTTCGAGTCTTCGACTTCCAGTCCTTCTTGGGTAGAGAAATGGCAGCGTTGCTTGCCGCCTGGGTAAAGATGGTCTCAGCTACTTTTTGGTCCAAGGGGGCCGCAAAGTCTATTTCAAAAGGTTCTTTTTCCTTCCGGTGGCGGGTGCTCGTCTCGGGCTTGTTAGCATCCTTGATTTTCCGTATCCTCCAATGCTCCGGGCCGGCCCAGTTCTTTTGGAGAGCTTGGTCGAAGTAACCAAGGATGTCTTCGTGCATCTTATCGGCGTTCTTAGAATGGTTCATAGATACCATGTAGTTACCATTCTCCTCATCAATACCGTCGACCCCATCGCCGACATCTCCACCAGCCATTCCGTCATCAGTGCCGATGTTGTAAGGCCGCATCTGTGGTTCCAGGGCGGCTTCCCGTGCCCAAGCTTCACCACCTTCGCCGAATGCGACATCAGCAACGTCAAAGCCACCCATCGCCGTCATATCGTCAAAGCCGGCGGGGTTATCGTCATCAATAAACATGCCAGACTTATTACCGACACCGGCACTTCCACTTTCGTCCTCGTCCCCATCGTCTTCTAGAGCGCGTAGGAACGGGATGTCTAGAGAGCCCGATGGGTTACCGAGCTCAAACGTTTTCAGTGATGGACATATGTCTTGCTCATCTAATTTCGTCAGGTCGGGGAAGAACTTGGCGGCGAGCGCGCCGATGTCGATTTCTACATCTTCTTCCTCCTGAGCGGGCTGCTGTTCTGTGATAGTAGCCTCCTGTTCTTCTTCCGCCTCTTCCTCTTCTTCGGCGGTAACGTCTTCTCTTCTTCGGGGCTTAATGCCTTCTGCAGAAGCGTCGTTGGCATCGTCGCTACTGTCGAATACGATACGACCCTGGCCATCAATCATAAGATGGTTCAATAGGAGACCTTTAGCACCACCTTCGTCAAAATCTGCTGAAGCTTTCTTGAACAATGGATCCACAGCAAATTCAAGTTCGAATTTCTTCAGCTGTAGCGAAGCAAAAGATGGCGCAAGAGTCGCTTCCGAAGACCGTTGCTGTGGAAGAATGAAGAATTAGAATTTTTTCTTGACGCATGATGAAATGCAAAACTTACCCGCTTCTTTGACTTTTTCTTGACCGCATTTCCATCTTCATCTACTTCTTCTTCGCTTTCCTCGCCCTCGGCGTCACCCTCCCTATCCTTTTTCTTCGAGTTGCTATCGGCCAGACCGCTTAGTAGCTTGCCCGTTTCTGTAGCTACGCTGTCGACTCTGCTGGTGTAAATCTTGACGCAACCGTCTAAGGTGCAACTTGCTCTCTGAAAGTTAACTCCGTCCCCGTCCTTCAGTAGGGACATGTCATGGAAATAATCGATAAGAGCGAAGTTCCAGGAGTTCGTAGCGTTGATTTTATTATCGGTAGCCATCTTCATCCATTCTTCAAAGTTGGCCAGGATGGGCACACGTTTCATAGGCGTCACGCCAGTATTGGTGCCGACTACGTAGACATCGTCATCGTCATCCATACCGCGTCGCGGCGTTTGTAGATTTGAGCGAGGAGAGCCATTGTCACCGTCGGCCAGTCTATGAGCGGCTTTCTTCGCAGGCGTAGCCGCAGCCGCCTGCAGTTCGTTAATCTGTTTTTCGTGGAGGGCTCTTCGCGATTGTAGTCGTCCCCTCTTCTCTTGGACGTCGTCGTTGAGAGGAATTCTAGATTTCGACAGTGAGATTTTGGTTGCTAGGGAAGCCATGGAAGCCATGGAAGCTAAGCGACAAGTGTAAACATTAAGGCACCTGTTAACTTACTTTAAGGGGGATTTGAATGGCGAGCCGGCAGAACCGGTTGTGGTCCTTCTGCCCGCGCTGGGTCGAGGGCCATGAGCTACTCGAGGCATATTTAGTTGCTTTTGTTTTTGTATTACATGTAAATTCGGGCTACATGAGAATTGTTTGGTCGGGTCGAGATGCAGGTCGCAAAGTGTTGTTCGCGTTTTCTGAGTTGGCCGGCAACAACTTTGATTTCACCTTTGCGCAAATGCAACAACATTCAAGTAAACAAATCGAAATGGCGCTAAGGATTGCCTTTAGGTTTATGTACCTAGCTGCTTAGCTAAGGTAAGGCGGGATTACCCCACTACTAGAAAGTACGTAGGTACATGTTAAATGCCAATTACCTAATCTGGTACCTACATGTACGTACCTATATGTACGTAAGGTACATGATGCTCCATGGGAGCCACATCACCGGTGATGCAGGTGCAGATTGTACGCGGCGTGTGGCGCATTTACGCATTTATACCCATCCATCATTATCCATTATTTCATCCCCCCCTTAAGATCAATTTGCAATTCAATTCACCTAATTCGCCTAGGATCGTACATACACTTGATACTTGATGCACTCGAACCGTTTAAAGTTACCCAGAAGGTGCATTTCTCGGAATTATCTACCGAATTTTACCTTACCCCCTTGTTCAATTCGAATACTTGACGTCAGTGTAACTCAGTCCGTTTGAGGTGACCAAGTCTACTTTCCTTGAACCCAATGGTTTGGGAACACCAAACAGCAAGTGCTGTCAGTGTTGCGTTAGCCAAGTTACAAAGTCAAGCTGCCAAGTAACAGAATATTCGTCAGGTCATTCCCGCCATCTAGGTACGCAGCCACGTCAAACTACCTAACCTAGGTTCTCTTCTCATTGGTCTTCCGTTTTAAGTAGAGAGAAGTATTCACCACCTTTGATCGTCACCTCGATACAATTTGATACTTTGATACCATTCCTATTATAATTGTTATAATAATTATTATATCACTTATTTTTCTTAGAAAAGAAATATCCCAAGTCTTCCTCTTTCACCAACTACTAATTCATCCCATAAGCATACCTACTAAATATATGCGCTCATCCGGTGATGGCGTTTTAAAACAGCCAACAGGGGCAACTTAAACAATGCACACCGCTGTGCGTGGGAAGAGGGGATTCAGCTCCCGCCCATTCTACACTACCCTGTTCCTCCTCACTCTCATCGCCACCTATAGTCTGTTCATCCGAGCGCCCGCGGTATCATCACAACAGCGACCAAGTTTATCCCTACGATCCGGTGAAGACTGCCGTTTAGTCCATCATGCTCAAGATAAGTGCGACTTCGTAAGACGCAATTGTCACGATGATGAAGCGGGTCTTATAGAGTATTTGACATTCTATTATTGCGATCTTGGACATCTACAGCCTCTTGCCTTCATCACATTGGTCCTCTGGTTGGGCTTGCTATTCACTACCATCGGGATAGCTGCAAGTGACTTTTTCAGCGTCAATCTCAGCACCATCGCCACCATCCTTGGTTTGAGTGAGAGTCTTGCCGGCGTTACTTTCCTGGCCTTTGGAAATGGTTCGCCGGATGTGTTTAGCACTTTCGCCGCCATGAGCTCCAACAGTGGCAGCATGGCCGTCGGAGAGCTGATCGGTGCCGCAGGTTTTATCACCTCTGTCGTGGCTGGCTCCATGGCTTTAGTGCGCGAGTTCAAGGTCAGCAAGAAAACGTTTGTGCGGGACATAAGCTTTTTTATAGTGGCGGTCAGCTTTGCTATGGGGTTTTTAGCTGATGGAAACATACATCTGTGGGAATGCAGCGTCATGATTGCTTTCTACATCTTCTACGTTATCGTTGTAGTTGGCTGGCATGCAGTTACCAAAAGGAGACGAGCACGACGGCTTAAAGAGGCCCTATCTCGCAGCCACTACTTCGCGTCGGGAAGCGAACGTAACAATGACGAGCTGGAACCGTATAGGGACGACCCAGATGATGAAGACCCACAGCCCATAGAACGTCGTTCTTCGGGGAGGAGCGGCTCCAGCTCTACTGACATTGGAATTCTAGAGCGAGGGCCCCGGATTGAGATTGGCGCACCCGATGACGAGGAAGATACTGATCATAGTCAGCACGTTGCTGCAGAAATGACAAGTAGCATGCGTGTCAATCGTCCGCGAGGAAGGAGAAGTAACACTACTACAATAACCCCGATTCGGCCAAGCTTAGTTGGTGCGCTCGAATTCAGATCGGTATTATCATCGTTACAAGAGGAAGGGAATGTACGCATGCGACCATTATACCATAACCGAAGCAATTCTGCCGATCTCCTGCGGACGGGACGCGTGGTCGTTCAAGCGGCGAAAAGTACGCAGATAATTCGGAATATCGATGACACCGCTGTTACAGCCAGGAACCGAGCGCAGTCATCCGGAAGTGTCCCGACTACTGTCGATGCCGACCTTGCACCCAGGAAATCGTCAGAGGAGAGAGGCAGAACCCCTAGCCCGCATACCATAGGGGGAAAGTTGGCCCCTCCTCTTAGCGATCAATTCGGTGGTCTTCGCGCAGATAATTCTACTTTGGAGGGTATGTCGTCGAATTCCCGTCCGCAATTGCAACGTCTTCGTATCCCAAGCCCTCCTGGAAGCGAGAGGTCCTCGCCATCATTATCACCGTTTCCGGCATTTACTGAGTCGCCGCTCGTTCTTGCGGAGTCTACTCAACAGCCCCCGCACCACATGTCACCACCTGCTGCTGAAGACCGAAGTCCATCTTTCCTCGGTTTGGTCGAACACACGGGTTCGAAACCCATTAGATGGTGGCCTTACCGGATATTACCCCCGCCGCAACTCATAGTCAATACCCTCTTCCCGACGCTACAGGATTGGAGGGGTAAAAACATATGGGATAAGTTTGTTAGTCTTATCTCTGTACCAAGCATATTCTTACTAGTCATCACATTACCTGTTGTGGAAACAGAGGCAACAGACGATGGCTCAGATGAAAGCTTTGTAGAGCAGCGACCGACGGGTCAGCTTGAAAGTGTAGCAGCACCAGTGTCAACAGAACCCGACGGCTCTATTGAACCAGAAACGGAATGGCAGCGATACAGACGACGCACGAGGTCTAGAGCATCTAGTCGCAGCCACTCGCCTAGCTTCATTTCTGTGACTACTCCCGATAATGCTCAGGTGTCAGACCAAGTTCAGGTAGCACCAGCCCCCCTTCCGTCGAATGCACAAATACCCAAGCCTGCCTCAGTGCTCTCGGAAGGTAGTTCAACTCTAGGTGACGAGGAACAGGGCTGGAATCGTTGGCTCTTAATCCTCCAAGTTTTTACAGGTCCATTATTCGCCGTGTTTATCGTCTGGGCGAACATGATCGAGGATCTGGACCGACCCGTCACAACCCTTATAAAGGCTATATTGATTTCACTCGTTTGTTCCCTAATTTTGCTTGGGATTATACTTATGACTACGTCACCCGATCGCCGGCCTAAATATCACTTCTTATTTTGTTTCTTTGGATTCTGCGTATCGATAGCCTGGATATCAACAATTGCAGGAGAAGTAGTCGGCGTACTAAAAGCGTTCGGTGTCATATTAGATATATCAGAAGCAATATTGGGTCTCACCATCTTTGCGGTTGGTAATTCAGTGGGGGATCTGGTCGCAGACGTAACTGTTGCACGACTTGGATACCCAGTGATGGCCTTGTATGTCAATACCCAAGCTTAAAAATTACAGGATTTGTTTGACTGACACTTTACAGATCAGCCTGCTTCGGTGGTCCATTGTTGAACATATTACTCGGTATTGGACTCGGGGGAGCGTACCAAGGAATAACTGCGGCAAACAAGAGGAAAGCAAAACACCCCGATCAGCCGGTGCGGTACAAACCATACCACATACAGGTCAGTGGAACGTTGATGGTTTCGGCTATAACTTTACTTTTCACCCTCTTCGCGTTGCTTGCTATCGTGCCGATGAACAAGTGGATCATGAGCAGGAAGATTGGCTGGTGTCTAATCGGGCTTTGGTCGATCAGTACGGTGGTGAACCTGATTATCGAAGTAACAGGAGTCTGGCAGGACATAGCGTAAAGGGGTTTTGGTGTTCGGACGTGGAGAGTGTAAATTTTCTTTAGTACGCGGGACGAGATTGATGTTTTTACGCTATAGTATATGTAACTACCTATCAGCCGTATAGATTTTATTAGAGCGATATACTCAGGCCATTGTCTTTCTTCTTAGAATATGACTTTTACTACTGCCTAAGTAATATAAGTTTTTTAAGTTTTTTTTTTCTTGAATCTATACAGTTGGGTTGAGTTAATGCTGGATAAATGAGAAGAGTTGTTCGTTCGATATCTCAAACTTGGCAGATATGAAATCAAGCAGGTACCTAAGTTAATAAGTTAATAGTACCTTGATTTAATTGGTACTTGGTATACTTTATCTTGTCTACTACTTCTACTACTTGGAACTTCAAGATGGTTGCCTCGAGTAGCATCTATCAATTAGGTACTTAATGCCCCTATTTCGGTACGTTCCTAAGGCATCAGGATTCAGGGCCGTTTGGGATCTGGAAAGATACCTGAGGCTGCTGAGGTACTCTGTACCGCGAAGTCGGGCTGGTGTGGAGCATGTGGGAAATACACAGCTTCAATTGGTGCACCAACTTCCCCTTGTTCCTTGACCGCCTTCAGTCTAACCCAAGCTAACACGAAGTACCTAGGCATCTAGTGTAGCCTTAGGTACACAAAAGTTCGCAAAGTACCTCTTTAGCCCCTCCCCCTCCATTTTCTTTATATTCCATTCCAGGGGTCCAAGGACCAAGACTCCAAGTACCTATTTAATTGTAAGTACCTATTTATCATTGTACTTTAGGTAATTTTCATAAATCTGGCCTTGTCTTCCTTCTTTACTCAACCATCTTCTAACCGTGCCCCAAGGAAAAAAAGAAAGAAAAAAAGAAATAATAATTCAACATGGACGCTGGCGCCCCTCCTTATCCTCCTCTAGAGGACCGCCCTCTAAAAAACACCATCGCCCTCTTCGATGTAGACGAGACTCTAACGCCGGCGCGTCGCGCTGCTTCTCCCGAAACCCTTCGCACGCTTGAGCTACTTCGACAGAAGGTCGCTATCGGATTCGTCGGCGGATCGAACCTGGCCAAGCAGCAAGAACAGTTGGGCGCCGCTGACCGCCCCGTTACCACCATGTTCGATTTCTGCTTTAGCGAGAACGGTCTGACGGCCTACAAGATGGGTGCCGAGCTACCTTCCAACAGCTTCATCAAGTGGTTAGGCGAGGACAACTATAAGGAACTAGCCAACTGGATCCTGCACTACATCGCCGACCTCGACATCCCTATTAAGCGCGGTACCTTTATCGAATTCCGCAACGGCATGATCAACGTCTCCCCCATCGGCCGTAACGCCAGCACCCAGGAGCGCGACGAGTACCAAGCCTACGACGAGAAGCACAGGATCCGAGAAACTATGGTCGCTAAGATGAGGGAGAAGTTTGGGCACTTGGGCCTGACGTGAGTTGATGTCTATCCCTTATTCTTATCCCAATATGCATATACACCAAGGGCGAAAGAAGAAAAGTAAAGTAAAGAATCATAAGCTAACTTGTCAATCCAACTTAGCTTCTCGATTGGTGGTCAAATCTCCTTCGACGTCTTCCCCACGGGTTGGGACAAGACATACTGCCTAAAGCACCTTGAGGAGGAGGCCAAGAAGCCCGGCGGCATCAACTATACCAACATCCACTTCTTCGGCGACAAGACCGAAAAGGGTGGTAACGACTACGAGATCTACTCCGACCCCCGCACTATTGGCCATTCCGTCAAGGGTCCCGAGGACTGCATGAGGCAGGTTAAGGAGACCTTTGGTCTATAAAGCTTGGACCAGAGAGGAGGAAATTTTACGATGATGACGAGTGAAGATGATGACTGAAAACTACCTAACCTAGTAGATACCTATTCTGATAGATCTGGCTAGACTATGTTGCGTTTGCACATGAGCAAAAGAAAACAAAGAAAGAGAACTTAAGAGGTAGAGAGAGAGTGCTTGGGCATCTCAAGGGTATATATATACTATCCCCGATACCAGCCTGACTTTCAAGACCGACCCCTCAAGATACACCCAATAAAAATAAAATAGATGCCTCGATTATCAACAACGTTGAACAAAGCTTATGTTTTGGCCATTATCCTACTGGCCAAGATGTCTCTTACATCCTAGGAAAAGACTCAGCACGTAAACAACTAGCCGTTTTCTTAACTTTGATTTCATTCAGGCATGACTATCCTCATAACCTACTTAATTAGCCACGTATATATTCTTCGAGAACAAAAAAAAGATAAAGTCCAACATCAGACCGTAAATTCCCGGCCTGCAGAACCTCTCGAGTACAATGACATTATTCATGCTTGCTGTTTGCTTGCTTGCTCGCTTTCGCTTCCTTGACTTCGGATTTCTCACGCTTGCTTACACGTTCTCCTCACTCATGCCGTCGTAATCCAACTCAGTATACGGCATATCCTAGATTTCCTCACTTACGTTACGCACCGGCTCACACTACCTGTGAAGCTCTTGATGACCCTCACCTCACCTCACCTCACTTCATCCCATCTCGTACGGACGGACCTCTTACCTCCCGAATTCCAAATGCGGCACGATAACCGGGCCATACTTCGTCGGCACGGTGAACGCGCCGTCTCCCTGGACCACGAAATCCACGGCGAGGCTCAGCCTGCTCACGCCCCCGTTCGCCTGCTGGTGGAGCTGGTGGTGGGTGTTGGGGCCGTACGGGGTGGCGGGGACGGCGACGGCGTCGGGGTCGTAGGCGACGACGGCGACGTAGTTGCGGCGGCCCATGAGCTTCTTGAGCTCGCGGGGCGCGCCGCTGGCGTCCGTGTGGAAGATCTCCATCATGTCCTCCTTCGTGTCGCTGACCTCGTTGGGCGACGACCGCTGCCCGTTCGCCGGCACGTAGTGCGTCCGGTTGCTGTGCAGCATCTTCAGGATGTACTGCGCCGCCGGCGCCGCCACGATCGGCGACGTGATGATCTGGTACATCGTCTTGTGGTCGCTCGGGTGCGCCGGGTCGTGCACGAGGCCGGCGCCTGCGGCGTTGACGTCTGCGGAGAAGTTAGCCGTGTACATTGCCATATATATACCTCATTTACATATAAGAAAATAAAATAAAAGAAAAGAAAAAGGGGCAAAAGGAAGTTTGGGGCGTTCAAAACGTACCTCCGGACAAGAACGTCATACGCAAGCCCTTCTGATGCGATATCCCCTGCAGCGTGCGGATCAGATACGTGCGCTCGAGGTCCTTGCTATCGTGGGTCCACATGTCCTTCAGGATCTCGCCGATGTCCAAGTCGCCGAACTGGTTGACGACGTTGCCCATGAGGCCCGACTTCCCGACCGCCTTCTTGACCTGGCTGAAGCCCTGCGCGACCATCTCCTTGCCGCCGACGATGCCCGCCACCGAGCTCGTCACCTTGCCCAGCACGTTGTACGTCGTGTTGACGGCCTTCTTTCCCGTCGCGAATGTGTTCGCCAGGCTCTCGACCGTGTCCAGCCGCGGGTACACGATGGGCACCGACAGCATCCACAGGCAGTGCTGCACGCTGGGCGGGAGCATCGCGATCTTCGGGAACAGGCCCTGGTACGTCGGGCCCGCGAGCACCCGGCTCTGCGTCCGCTCCGACCGCAGGTCCACGCCCGCCACCACCACCGCCGGCCCCAGGTACTTGATGAAGTGCCACCCTTGGCCCGTCACCGTGAACAGGTCCATGTCGTGCCCGACGTTCCGCAACACCTCCAGCGTCGTGTGGTGCTGGAACAGCAGGTACATGTCCACCGCGATCCGCCCGATGTTCTTGAACATCTGCGAGTTCTGCATGTAATCCGGGTACGAGCCGTAGCCGTCGAATCTGGAGAGCGCACACACGTAGTAGTTAGCACGTATAAATAAATAAATATTCCTCACAAAAAATAATCCACCGCGTAGATGATATGATTCCTCGCCTAGGTATCCATATCCGTCCGTGACTTACATGTCGTGATCGTCGATCTGGCAAATATGCGGGATCTGCGCAAACGCCTCCCGGAGGAACGGCTGGTCGAAATGGCTCGTGTAGAAGTGGAAGTAGGCGTGGGACACGTCCTCCTCGTGGCGGGCGGTCCACGGGGCGTTCTTGCGGTTGTCGCGGCCGGGCATGGCGAGCCACTGCTTCAGCAGCGGGACCTCCTTCCAGAGCCGGTCGCCGTAGATCTGGTCGCCGAGCCCGAGCTGGACGTGGAAGCCGCCGCAATCCACGTTCTTCTGCAGCACGTCCTTCCACATGAAGCCCAGCCCGCCCAGCTTGCCGCGCTCGCTCTGCGACGTCGACGCCGCGAAGTCGTTCCCCGAGTGCGCGATGAACCGCCAGCTCGTCTCGCCCCGCCCCGCCACCACGAACTCGTACCGCGTGCACCCGAGGTGCGAGGTCACGGCGTACGTCCACCGCTCGGTGCCGCCCTCGCCCATCGGCAGGTCGACGTCGTACTTGAAGAACTGCCACCGCTGGTGCGTGAAGATGGTGTGCGGCACCAGCTGCCGCGGGTTCGGCGACAGGTCCACGCTCAGGTGGATGTGGATGGTGGGGGGCTGGGGGCTGTCGGTCACGATCAGGATGCTGCCGTGCCAGACGCCCTTCTCCACGTCCATGTTCGTGTACCGCAGGTACGGCCCGAAGTACACCCCGTTCGTCGGCTGCACCTTGTACATGTCGACGCCGGCGCCGGGGGGCGGGCCCGAGAACCCGGCGGCGGCGACGGTCGGGGTCGCCGTGGCCACGCTCATGATGCTCTCGGCGTAGCCCGCGGGGGTCTGGGGCGGGAACATGGGCGAGGCCAGGGCGCTCTGCTTGCCGAACATGGGCGAACCGAGCGGGTTGCCGTACGTGGACGCCGTGGGGGAGATGGGCGGCGCCTCGTGGTGGTGGTGGATCGGGTTGGGGCCCTTGGGGAACTCCCACTGCGTCGCCTGCGTCGCCAGGTGGATGTAGTAGTACTGGCCCGAGTTCTGGTCCAGGTGGGCGATCCAGCCCTCGGGCAGCGGCGGCGGCGAGGTCGGGCCCTGGCCCTGGAAGGGCGACGGCGTATGAGCAGTAGCGCCGGCGACCACGAACTGCGGCGGCTGGCCGTTCTGCAGGGGCTCCGGTCTGGGGTCGTTCGCGAAGGCCGGGTGGCCGGGATGTTGTAGAGCCGGGGACGCGAGGGCTACGGCGGCTACGGCTTCCGCCTGCTTCTTGGGCGGCGACGTGGCCTGGGCGGCTTGGGCTGGCGTCGACGAGCTCGAGCTCGCCTGAGTTGGCCGCTGCTTCTCGTTGGGATAGGCCGAGGAGCTTCCGCTCAGATTGATGCTGGAGTATGCGGGAGGGGGACTGGGCGACATCTGCATTCGCTGGAAGTCTTGTTCCAGCACGCTGATCTGGAGCGCAGGTCCGCCGCTACTGGCGGTTGAGCTCGAGGCCGGTGCCGGAGCTGGAGTAGGGGTTGAGCTTGTATTGATATTTGCCGGCCGTGTTGCCTGCGCGCTGAAAGTCGAAGCGGTAGGGCTGGTGACGGGGTTTGCTCCCTGGTATACCGTAGGGGGTCCATGTAGTTGCTGATCAGGAGTCTCCGTCGGCGTCCAAGGACGAGGCGGCTGCTGTTGCTGCTGCTGCTGCGTAGCCGGGTGCTGTCCATATTGCGCCAGTCGCTGAGCCGCCGCGGAGCTTTGAAGACTATTAAGGGTAGCGGTTCCGGATATACCAGCAGCCGCATATCTCGCCTCGATACCTCCTCCGGGGACGGTACCGGGTTCTACGATAGGAGTCTCCGGCGGGGGTGGAGATCCTCGACTCGCTCTTGTAGTTGATGTGGAAGCTGTGGATGCAAAGCGGTTCACGCCGCTATCTGGCATCTTGAGGTGGTTGTCTTCGCTTGCTGCTTGGGGCCGCGCATTGCTGTTCGAGCTTGAGCTCGAAGCCGCAGAGTTCGCCCTAGGCGGAGGATAGTAGGGCTTTTGATGATAGTCAGGGAAGGACGTGGTAGTGCTGATAGGTGCCGGTCTTGCTTGGTTGCCGAGGGGCTTTGCGAAGAGACCGCTGTCGTCTTGTGGAGGAGGGCTGGCCGGACTGAGCGACGCTGGTAGAGGTCTAGGAGCGGTTCCCCGTCGTTCAGCAAGACCTGGTCTCTTCCCGGTAGGACTTGTTTCTAATCGTGGGGAGGTGTCGTTGAATGAACTCGGATGTGAGGAGCCCGGAGGGCTCGTGTAGATCTTATTGAGAGATGGACGGCGGTCGTCGGTAGGATATGGAGGTCGACTCGACTGAGAAGGCTGACTAAATCGATGGTCGTCGTCATCAGGATACGGCAGAGGCGCAGCAGAGCTCGAGGCGCCCGGCGGGAGGGGAAAAGAAGACTTGGAAGATGCCGGGGCGGGATATTTGAACCTCTCTGAGGCTTTATCGGAGCCAGGTCTGGGACTCTGGGGGTTGAATATCCTTAGTGGTTCAACCGTAGGGCTGTCGCAATCTTCAGTGGGTTTACTGAGGAACATCTCCTCTTCAGGTCTTCCGTGGCGATCCATCCTGTTTCACGTATTCTCCTGTACGCGGAGCGCGAGCCGGTTAAAACGGACGCAGATGTACCGACGTGAATACGCGGGATGGCGCACGGGAAGAAGGCCAAAAAAAGTTATTGTTAGGCGCTTTGCGACAAAGCTGGACGTAAACCACCTCCAAACGATGGGCTTGACCTTTATCGTATTGAGGTGGGGGTAGTGATGATTGGCTTTGGTTCTGCCGTAAAGCTCACTGAAGGCTGATGAGCTTTAGCCAAAGAGAATGGAAAGAATACAGATACGGTATACTATACGCGAAGTACAAAGCATGAATAGGTGAAACGAATTCTTACGGAAGGACAAGATGGCTTCGAAGAAGGTCTATGATATGCGACCTACTCACTGGCCGTGTGGATATAAACGTGCCCCTCTTGATCCAGTGGACTCACCCAGCTTGGCAGCTTGGAAGACAGGGCAGATGATTGGCTGATTTCCAAGTTGGCGCTTAAGAAATAGGGAATTTGGGTGAAGCAAAATCGCATACCCAAGCGCCCAATCAGCCATACTGGTGGTTCGCTCATATGAACAAGAAGTCTACCGGTCTACTTCTGGCTTTGCCGATTATCCTTGATATCTGTTCTACAAGCTCTTCATTGGAGAAGCTAGTTCGTACCATTTGCTCAGATGTCGGAATAAGACTCCTGTTCTGCAAAGCCATGATAGGATGAGGTATAAACAGAGATGGTGGATCAGCTGCACTTAATTACTGCCCGTGGATGATAGGTATAATAGTCAAGTTAGGTCAAGTCGAGCAAAGTCTATGACTGTGAAGTTGATTAGACGCTTATAGAAATACATAGTGTATGTGACAGGGGTTACCGCATGATAGAAATAGGTACCCGTTCTTAAGCTTCACATCACGAAGGAGATTCCGTCTTAGCCGTGCTGTGGCCCATTAGGTAGGTAGCTTCAAAGTTTAATATTAAAAGAATACTATGTAGCAAGCGCCTACTAAACCCAAATTTTTTTGGAATTACCCAGCTTTATTTACTGGGTGTGACCCTGTATGCTTGTGTGATATGCATACTGTATCGTACATGATACATTGGCGATCCTTCCCGTCAAGTAGGAACCGTTCAGAAGCCGTTGCTTTAAAAATAAGAGGGCTCCCGCGACACCCCGCCGTGAAAGAGAACCGCTATCTCATAAGGATAGCCTATAACTTCATGTTGAGTTCTAAGCATGAGTTAATTAATTATACTTACATATAAACTATAGTTACCTTGTATCTATCTCATTACGACTTTACCGATTGTAAGTAAATACCGCCCCTGACAAAAGTGGCCATCTAGTAAAACACTCTGCTACTACTTGCATGTAGTCACACAGTAACTACCTACCTAATTGGTATTATCTTTTTACTATAGTAGTTCAGGGTATAAGACGAACGTCGTTTAAATCCAGCCTCACGAACGCCACATATATCTTTGTAATAGAAGCTTGGAATGGGATTTAGAATGCCTTTGTTCTATTCGGCTCGGCTCGGTCGCGGACCCTTAAAGTCGGTTGCGAAAGTAGTTCCCTTGTTCCCGTCTGAAGGCAACAATCTGACGCGGCACGTGTTACGCACACCGACGAAACCACTGGCTGCCTGGCTGCCTAGGTAGCTTAATTCATGCTCTCATATGGCGATGACTCTTAAGCATATGATTTAATGCAGTTGTATTTCATCTTTTATGTAGGGTTCGGATACCAAACTGATCACTCGCGACCGAACTATGTCTTTTTGCCTCCCACCTCCCCATAGGACGCCAATCTGAAAGGGGGATCGGGTTTCGATGATCCGGCCAATCATAACCCCCTATTCCTCCTCGACTGTCTGAATTGGTGCGTAGGACGCGTGGCAGCCACCGATATCATGCTGTGTCCGTCACATATATCATAGCTAGGCTACGGTTTCTATTATGTTCCGACCTGTTCGAGACCGAATTACGTACATATTTCTGACTGTCTTGCGTGTCATGAAGGCGTTAGCTATTCGCCATGGTGAGTCGTACGTTACGCACTCCTTCTTGGAGCCTTGACATCTCTTTTGTATATAAGTGCTGGGCTGAACGTGCTTTAGATTAATATCTCATCTTCAGAAACAACAACATCTTCATCGCAGATCCAAACAACAGTCATCCAAAATGGCAAGCAACAACAACAATCAACCTCCCTTCTGGGAATTCATGCAATCATTTGGCCCAAACGGGGCTGGAAGAGGAGGTGTTGGCATTGACCACGCTAGCTTCGGCCCTCAGTTTCCCCCGGGATTCCCATTTGACGCTGCCCAGTTCAATCCCTGGATGGCTCATGGTTGGGGCCTTCGCGAAGGACATGGTAGGGATGGTCATCAACAGTATCGAGACGCACCCGGGACCGGTAGGGAAGAAGATCATGACGATACCGAAACGGAGAGTTCTCCCGAGACTCTAAGACACACCCCAGAGGAGTCAGTCACTGGCGATGCCCCACCCCCTCCGCCACCTGGAGCTTTCCCTAACCATCCTCCGGCTCCCGGAGCATTTCCGCATCCCCACGGACCCCCGCCGCCGGGTGCTCCTAACCACCCGCCTCATCCACCATTCCACCAAGGTCATCCGCCATTCCACCACGGTCATCCGCACCCATTCGGCCCTCGGCGAAGACGAGGAAGTCGATGTGGACGTGGCGGTCGTCGTGGCCCACATGCATCGACGGCCTATAGCGGTCCTTGGGACTTCCGTCCATTGATGCATGCTCTTTCTGCTCACCCATTCGCCGAAGCTTTTAGAGAGTACATGGTCCAAGTTTGCAGTGGTCCCTCTGGCGAATCGAACGAGCACCAAGATGAGATTTTCGCCCCGCCCGTCGACGTATTCAATACTGAGAAAGCATATGTACTTCACGTGTCTTTACCGGGAGCACTGAAGGAGGACATTGGGGTACACTGGAATGGAGAGAGGATCAACATTGCTGGCGTCGTATGCCGTCCGGGCAATGATGAGTTCCTCCAGTCCTTAACTTCCAGCGAAAGGAAGATTGGTATGTTTGAGAGAAGCATCAAGCTACCGCCTCCTGGAAGTGATGAAAAGGAGGATATCGACGGTCTCGGCGTCTCCGCTAAGATGGAGAACGGTATTCTTATCGTAACTGTTCCCAAGATTGAGAAGGAGTGGACTGAGATCCACAAAGTTGATATCGAGTAAACAATGGATATCGTAAAGCGGAAGGGCGCATGTGATGGTTGGTTATGAATATTGACGGTAACTCTTATAGGATAATGGAATGGTAGGCGTTAGGAGTCGCAGGTAGCACACACCCCTAGTATAGCAATAAATAATTGATTACTTTTTTAAAAAAAATATACTTTCAAGTTTTCTGCGTCGCTAGAAAGATCCCTTGAGACTGTCTTAATAATGATAACTTAGATTTTTGCTTGTATCCAGTTTGACACTCACCTAATACTGTTTTACATTCCACTAAATGTGACGGGATAGTCTCCCTTTTTCCGCCATGAACTACTACTCATAGTGACGATGCGGCTGAATATAGATGGAGTATAGATGGAGTATAGATGGAGGGAGAGAAGGGAGAGGGCTGAAGGGAGAGAGCTAGACTGAGAGCTGAACTTTCATTGCTGCCATTTCATGCCTTGGTATCTTCCGTTTCCAGTACGTCCGTGTCGAGTTCTTGCATGACTTCGATCACCAGATTTAGACTATCCATAAAAGAGTTGACGGCTACGCGAAGCATCCTATTGGTGGTGGCTTTGTACTCGGTTCGTAGAATATTTCGCCCTATATCTCCACTGCTGGTATCCTCATTCGACTGGCCAATGGAGAAAGTTCGCTTCACCAGAGGTGATAACTCTTTGTCGACTTGCAATGCCTTTAGAGCAATAGATGCTAATCTAGGTGTAGGGAATGGGACTTCAATTGTCCTAAGAGGCAGCGTTAGCCTCAAACCTCAAGCCTTCAAGATTACTTATTATTGGATTTTAATTGTGTACTATGTATGAAACGTACAGTGCACAAGGATATTGTATTTCCGCTGCTGTCGAGGCCATGGTAGTAGTAGTGGTAGTAGTAATAGTGGTGGTATGGCTTGGAATGCGGATTGCGCAATGAGCAAATAGGTAGTTGGAAATAATGAGGTTGCAGTTGTGAGCCGCGGCGGGGAACAGGCGGACAGGGAGGGGTAGAACCAGGTTTCCCTTCTATGTTCCGATAGGGATGATAAGATAAGGTTTGATAGGCTAGAAAGGAAAAAGAAGAAGAAAGGCATTGGAATTCAGCTGCGGCTTATTGCTAAGGCCAGCGTTTCAGCCACCTACATAATGCAATTAGAATTTAATTGGTAAATGTGGAGTGGGTCCGAGACGGTTGCTAAGCAACGGCTTGACCGGTAAACACGACAGGAACAACAGGAACAACAGGGTGCTTAGGGTTACGAACTAAACCCAATACAGTAAGAGGTCAAATGGGAACGCTGTGCGACAGGCTTGGACGGGCTGCACAAGCGTACAGCGTACAGCTCTGACCCATGTCTCTCTTTTCTTACCCCAACAATAACAACAATCAAATAATAATAGAGCAAACCCATACAAAAAAAACTACAAAAACATCGTTTTTCTTAAAACCCGCCCGTTGATGATTTACATCATCCACCTCAACCTTTCCTACTAACACACTTTTCTTCTTGCTCGCATTTTACTTATTCACTATTACTTCTCGTTGTTGGCTGATACCTACACCCATACACCCATACACTGATACACTGATACACATCATTTAGACTAATTACCGATACATGAACTGTTTGTTTATCGTATCCGTATTTAGAATCATTGCTTGACCGATATCATTAAACGATCCTTCCGGAACAACTTTATAAGTTTCCGCTTGCTACCTTCATAATATACCACAAAGCCTACGTGTTTGTTTATGCAGGGCCGTTGAAGCTTCCCGTCCTCCCGTTCGAGTCCATACCCGACGGGTGTAAACAAAAGACGAGCTCCTAATCAGGAAACGACAAAAGAAAGGAGTAGAAGCAGAAGCAGAAGCAGAAGCAGCGATAGCAATCAGCATTCAAGATGCCGCCTTCGAGGAGTTCCAACTCGGGTCAGGTCATTGAATATATTCCTGGTATGTTTACTTTGCCTTTACCCTTTGCATTCGCTGCATTCGCCCATCCGTCGGCACGTCCCATATCAGCTTATTCATTTTTTTCGCCTCTTATTCGTATTATCCTACCTATATGTACATGGTCCCATCATCCTAGTCACATTTATTATGTCCTTTGATTCCTTGAGCATCTGCCTAACGCAGATCGAGCTGGGGAATCCTGTCTCTCCTGGCATATGCCCTGGCATCTCGCAACGCCCTTTACATCCTCCATTCCTACTTAATTCGGAAGTATTTCCAGTCACATTGCTAATATACGCAGACCGCCTTTACCTAGCATCCTACCTTCATCCTCCTACAGCCGACACCGTCTTTCCCTACTCCGAACCACCACCAACTCGCTCACCCACTAAGCGATCACAAAGAGCTGTCGACGGGCCTTCACCTGCTGTGTCCAAGTCTGAACGACACCCCCCTTACTACTTTACGGTTGATGACAGCCTCCTGTACAATGCATTCCACCACGACTTTGGCCCACTTCACATTGGTCACCTGTACCGTTTCGCTCTGCATTTTCATGATGTTCTTGGTGCAAAGGAAAACCAGCACAGACCAATCGTGTTTTGGAGCCGCGCAGACCCGAGGAGTAAGTCTGCGGATATGTGTAAGAAGAAAAAAAAGAGCTGTTATTAACAATTTTGAATAGGTCGGGCTAACGCCGCTTGTTTACTTGCCTGTTATATGGTCTTGATCCAGTCCTGGCCCCCTCACTTGGCCCTAGCACCAATTGCGCAGGTTGATCCACCTTTGATGCCTTTCCGCGACGCTGGATACAGCCAGGCGGACTATGGTATTACTGTGCAGGACATTGTGTACGGTGTGTGGAAAGCCAAGGAGGAAGGCTGCTGTGTCTTGGATAACTTTGACCTGGACGAGTACGAAAAGTTTGAGCGAGTAGAGCACGGTGACTTCAACTGGATCACGCCTCACTTCTTAGCATTCGCATCTCCGCAACACAGCCCAGTAGCACGCATCACAGAGTCGTCAGAATTATATGATACTCTTCCTAAGACACTCTCCGCGGTCGACTCTCACCCCAGCCTCCCTCAATCCTTCAAGAACGTCCTAAGACACTTTTCTGAGCGCAGCATCGGCCTAGTTGTCCGGCTAAACTCGCCTCTATACTCCCCGTCCTACTTTGAGGCGTTAGGGATCCAACATCTCGATATGATTTTTGAAGACGGTACTTGCCCTCCCTTGAGTACCGTTCGAAAGTTCATCAAGCTTGCACACGAGACAATTACTGTCCGGAAAAAGGGCATTGCGGTCCACTGCAAAGCCGGTCTTGGAAGAACCGGATGCCTGATTGGAGCATATTTAATTTACCGCCATGGGTTCACAGCAAACGAGGTGATTTCCTTCATGCGATTTATGCGTCCTGGCATGGTTGTTGGCCCTCAACAGCATTGGTTGCACATCAACCAAGGTGTTTTCCGAGAATGGTGGGTTGAGGAGAGGATAGAGAGGAAATTAAGAAAGGAACTAGCCGCGGCGAACCAGGCGCCCAGCACACCTATCCGAGCCATGCAAAAAGCTACTTTAAGCCGAAGCGCTCAAGCATCCACACCACCCAGCAGAAGCCCCTCAAACCGCACGCCTCTAGGCGAAATGGATGGTGAACGCCGTAACGCGGGTGCGCAAGAAGACTACTTGCCTGCCCCGACACCGGGTCAGCCGCGGAAGACGAGTCGCATAGACCGACACCATCCTTACCAGCGAAATGCAGCTCAGCCTTCCCCAGTTGAGGAGGAGCGTGAAGCGACAGAGAAGGATACGGAGGTGATTTCCGTCCACAGGCGATCCAACGATGCCGAATCCGGAGAGGAATGGCTCCTACGCATGCGAACGCATCGCAAGACATCGCATTCGCCAGGCCGCAGTGAAAAGATAAGATCAGTAAGCCAAAGCACGACAACAATCTATCAGGTCATAGATAATGATGCATCTAATGACGCTGAGAATATTGGCAGTGCTCGGCCAAAGACCATCGTGGATCATGTCACCGGTTCGCCAACACGGTCGGCGAGCGCTTCAGGTGTATTGACCAAGGTCAGGAGCAGCAAGCGAACAGCCGAATCCAGCCGTAACAAAGACACGGCGGGTGTACGCAAGACGAGCGGCCGGGTTGGCAGTATCAACGCCAGCTCGAATACCAACTCGACGGCACGTAAGGTTTCCGCGATATAGGAAAGGGAGTCCTTACTATTGCCGAACTGAGGGTTAAATGGCTGTTTGATATTGCGGTTTTTTAATGGCATATTCGATGATAGTTAGACTCCATGGACCAGCTATTTTTTCACGATGACGACTATGACGACTAAGTCACGGTTCCCTGCATATGCGTTTGGCGTTTGGGTATCAACGAGGTATACGATTATTTTTTTCCTCGGCTAGAGACAATGGATGCTACTTCTCCTCCCTTCGCATTTCCCGAAGATGTTTTTAATCTTCGCAAGGCCCCCTTCCCTTGCTTGTTATGCCTGCGTTTCTTGTCACTGGCGGCGAGCTTCTCAGATATTGAAATGTTTGAACGACTAAAGGCGTTACGGAACTACTACTAAGGTATCGGGTTGGAACGGACATGAGCATTGTTTTTTTTTTCTCTTGTTTTTAATCTGGGGCTGTTTTGATCCGCCATGTTTACTCTGTCTTGACTCCGTAATCGGCAGTTTTTGTTGGAAAGCGATGCGAGCAGAAGAAGCATTGGAGTATTAAAAGGGGGGAGGAATCGAGTCGAAGTGTAACCATTGCCTTTCTGTTTAGATAAGTACGCGCATATGATGAATATTTTCTTCGTTCAATCTTCCAGTTTCGTTTTGCTTCTTGAAGCGGTGAAACCTTGCATGCGCGACTTGAGCGAGACTCGCATTGCCTGCCCGCGACCCCAGCCGAGGTCAGCAATATCATGTATGCGGACGAAGATAGAAAAGGTGATCAACAGTCACCCTAGTCCGTTCCCTGTCTAGTTGCTCTTTAATGTCTTTGTTAACGGTATAGTTCTATTATTTTGACGTCAAGGAAATCCCATTTTTAATAGGATATTTTTGCTCTATTTGACTTTTTTCACGGTTTAGAAACACGTTTAATTTCTAAGAGAGCGACTCCGTGTACGGTTGTTACGTCGTGCTAATTAGCTTCGTTGAACCAGAACCAGGAGGAATATACACAGCCCCCCCAAACTCACAGAACTGATTAATCACTTCTCCGAATCTTACACTTCCCGCTCAACGGAACGCGGAGATCCCATCCGTCCATTGTTATATTGGAGCAACCTTGGGACGGACTCTAAATTCGCTGCGTGTAAGCGGAGAGTAGTAGTAAGTGGTAGCACTGCGGTCGTGGAGGGGAGAATCAACGCTACGCCACGAGGGAACGACGTTGCTTGCTCGCGTTTCCTTTCCTTTCTCGAATCGAGGCTCTTAAGATCCCGGGTTCCTTGCATCTCTTCTTTGCTTACCTACCTCCTATAAATCGGATCGTCTGGTTTTGTGTGTATGTATGTATGTGTGTGAGCGGAGAGGAGGGGAGGGGAGGCACAGGTAAACCACCTCTAGGTAAACACCTTAACTTAGAAAACCGAAAAGGGTGTCGTCCAAACCAAACCCCCTCCACCACTCCACGAACGTTCGCATGGGTTTATATGGAGAGGGAGGGGAACAGAGCCTCCGCTATACACCACCATTACCCCCTACCCCATACCTCATGCTAACCTTACCTGACTTCAGGTTACCTGACTTTAGGTATTTACCAAGGTACCCAAATTCTCCTCACTCAAGCCCGACACCTCGAGCTCGCCTTCTATATAAGCATATGAGCAACCGTCAGCCGTCCGAACCTCGCAGCGTCCCCCGCGCGCCGCCATAGTCAACGCCAGCGCCAACGCCCGACCAGCCATGAAGAGCTTCCGGAGCGCTAACCCGCGGCGCACATTCGCGCTCCTAGCGACAATTGTCGTTGTCGTTGTCGTCGTCGCGGTGGTTACTCCCACGGCTATATTACTGCCGAGGCGGTATCGCGAGGGGGCTGTTGACAAGGCCAGACGAGTGAGTATTACATTTCTCCCCCTCTTCTTTCCTCCCTCCCTCCATTCCTTCTCTCTCTCTCTCCCTCTCTCTATATCTATCTATTTATTCCACCAGAGCTTTTCTACCTATGCCAAAGCAAAGAATAAATTAGATAAGAGAGCGCTAAGAGTCTCGTAGACCCCCTCGCACCCCGCGGTCGCCCGCGTGAACTTGGGATACGCCCAGTACCAGGGCTCGCTGGTGGGCTCCGGCGGCGGCGTCGCCCAGTACCTGGGCATGCGGTACGCGGCGCCGCCGACGGGGGACCGCAGGTGGCGGGCGCCGATCGAGCCGGCGGTGGACGATTCGGGGGACCAGGCGGCTGACGCGGTGGGTTTATGTCCTCCTACTTCTCTGACCGGTCGGTAAATGAATGTTATGTTATGTTATGTTAAAAACTCCAAGGAGGAGGAGGAGGAGGAGACGGAGACGAAAGGAACATAGAAAGAGGAAGAGAGAGGAGGAAGAGGTATAGTATAACCTAGCTAACGTACGGAGCGAATCTATCTATATAGTTTGGCCCTATCTGTCTGGGCATCTCGGTGCCGTATCCCAACGGCGGAGCGCAGGACGAGGATTGTCTGTACGTCAACGTGTGGGCGCCGGCGAACGCTACGCTTGAATCGAAACTGCCTGTGTGGCTGTTCATCCAGGGCGGAGGTTTGTCTTTTTCTTTTCTACTTCCCTTCCTATCTATCCCCTCCATACCTCTTCTCCTATTTACTTCCCTACCTTAGGTACTTTACATAAGACAACAACAACAACAACAACATCAAGCATCTCCCTATCTAAAATTTTCTGTTTTCTTCTTCTTCTTTCCTTTTTTCCTTTTTTCCAAAATCACTAAAAACACAAAACAGGCTACACGACCAACAGCAACGCGAACTGGAACGGCACGGCCGTGGTCGAGCGCTCGGGGCGGAACATCGTGCTCGTGAACTTCAACTACCGCGTGGGGCTATGGGGGTTCCTGGCGAGCGAACGCGTGCGCGCCGACGACAACGGCCAGGCGCAGGGGGATCTTAACGTCGGGCTCCGCGACCAGCGCGAGGCGATGCGCTGGGTGAGGCGGCACATCGCCCAGTTCGGAGGGGACCCCGAGCACGTCGTGATCCACGGGGCGTCGGCGGGCGCGGGGTCTGTAGCGCTGCATTTGTTGATCTCGTATGCGGAGGGGGAGAGGGGGGAGAGCGAGAGCGAGGACGGGACAAGTGATGGTGATAGTGGCAGTAGCAGTGGCAGTAATAAGGAGAACCTGTTCGTCGGCGCGATGGGCGAATCCCCCTTCTTCCCCGCGCAACCGACCGTCGCGGACCTAGAATGGCAATTCGACCTGGTGCTCTCGCAGACGGGATGCAGCGACTCATCCTCCTCCTCCTCCTCGCAAGACGCCATGTCCTGCCTCCGGAGCAAAGACACCGCCCTCCTCCAACAAGCCGCCAACACCCCCTCCCCATTCCCAGGCCGCCCCGGCCCCCCCACCGCTCCCCTCCCCCTGTTCTTCTGGACGCCCTGCACCGACGGCCTCCTCCTGCCGGACTCCCCCTCCACGCTCTTCTCCCAGGGCCTCTTCGCCGACGTCCCCGTCCTCATGGGCACCACCTCCGACGAGGGAACCGTCTTCGCCCCCGCGGACATCGCCTCCGCGGACGCCATGGCCGTCTTCCTGCGCAGCAACTACCCGCGCCTGACGGACGCGCAGGCCGCCGACGGCAACTTCTCCGCCGCGTACCCGCCGGAGCCCCCCCTGCCCTTGCACGAGGCCTGGTTCCCGTCGGCGGCCGCGGCCTACGGCGAAGCCACGTTCGTGTGCCCGACGAACTCGTTCCTGTCGTCGCACACCCGGCAGCGCCGGGGAAACTACTCGAAGCGGGCGTGGAGCTACCGGTACGACGTGTACGACGCGCAGAACGCGGCGCGCGGCCTCGGGGTCCCGCACATATGGGAGGCGTGGGCGGTGTTCGGGCCGGACAGCCAGCAAGGGGGCGCCGGGGCGGGGCCCGCGAGCTACTACCACGAGGCGGCGGGCGTGGTGCCGCTCGTCATGGACTACTGGATCTCGTTCGTCCAAACCCTGGACCCGTCGGCGCTGCGGACGCCGGGGGCTCCCGTCTGGGAGCCGTGGGACGATGCGGAGGACGAGGAGGACGAGGAGGAAAAGGGGGCCGGTAATAATGGTGCTGGAAGGCGGTTGCTCATGCAGGTGGGCAATTTCTCCATGGAGACGGTGCCGGGCGATCAGCGGGAGAGGTGTGATTTCTGGGCAGGGCTTGCGCCTGCTCTACAACACAAGAGAGTGCAATAAAACTTTGGACACTGCCTTTTTGGAGTTTATGCTCCTGTTATGATAACGTTTTACTCGGTCAAGCATGAAGGTTCCAGTGATTTAGCGATATTATGGATAATTTTTTGAAATAGTACATAACAGGTACCTACGAACAATGATATATTCGTCATGTACATTCACAGCAGTGAAATACTCAATATCCGTTAGCCATCTTCTAAAACATCTGGGAGGTAAGTAGGCCAAGTTCTACATGATCTCTATCAAAGAATCTTTTTCTTTAGGCTTTTTTTTCTATCACTCTTATCTAGAACTTCTAAAGTGCTTTAGACCACCTCGTTTCGAATATAGCCACCATACTCAAGCGACGTCCTTGCGAATCCCACAAAGAACTACAAGGTATCATCGCTCCCTTACTCAGCGAAGAAGGTGTTGTATCGTCGCAGAAGTCAAAGTGCTCAGGGTCGACATATGTCAACTTCGGCTTTAGCACGAAGGCAGCAGCGTCAGTGGATTCCAAGCCCGATACTAGTTTGAGCAAAGACGTCGTAACAGCTACTGCAGAGCGGCCCACAGCGTTGCTGAGGGGTAGCTGCGGAATATCGCCTTCGATTGCACGGTAGACCGTGGCCGTCTGGACAAACACGTCACCTGAGGGGGAGTCGACAACGACGTGGTGCAAGAGGGGATCGTCCGACGACTCTCCACCGCCAACGGCATACAACCGGATAGATCCGACGCCTACGCTCGCGAATCCCAGATGCGCATGCCACTCCACACCAGCCGAACGCGGTAACTCGTCGACTTCAGCCGAGAACGCAAACGGCAGTAGCCTGTGGGCCGCCTTGCCATCTTCGGCATTAGCGTTAGCATCTGCATCGAAATCCTTCAGGACCTCCCAATCAGGAAGACTCGGTCTCGAGGCGGTATCGTCACTGCCGCTGTTACCGTATGTCATGTACGCAGGATTGTACTTTCGATCCCACGGGTCCGGCTCCTCCAAGGCCTCTGTCGACAGACTAGAGGACGCCACGTGCGCTATGCTCCACGCCGCAGAAGCAAGCAGCGCACTGCGTCTCGCTTCCGACCGGAGGGCCGAGCGCGGAAAATATGCCACGGCGCTGCTCCACCATTGGACCTGCATCTCACCGCCAACACGCCAGAGATGCTGCAGCGCTAGGGTAATTTGCAATGAGAGGCTACTGCCGCCGTCTTCCAGTACCGGAGGCAGGGTCATAGAAGCGGGTATCAAGGGTATCTGTCCCGCGATGGACACCGCAAGAGGCGACTTTGAGTTTTGGGCATCGTTATTTTGACCCTCGTCACCACTAAGCAGGGGATACGCCACCGCCTGGCTGTATGGGCCAATGTTGGCTGGTGCCCAGTATGAGCGTGATTGAACGTGCAGACCACGTCTTTCATTTCGCTTCAGGTGAGGTTGAACGGTGAGCAGAACAGCTATGTCGGTGCCTTGAGGTAATAACTTATCCCCGCACGAGATAGTTACTCGAGCAGGAGGGTTAGGTTCACGAAATAGAGGTCCATAGAGCTTGTTGACAGTCGGAAAATCCGTCATGTGCCTTAACACGATGACGGAGCTGACGATTGCCGTTGACGGTAGAGCATGTTCGCTTAGCTGTCGACGGACCTCGTCAACGATCCTGGCTGTTTGGTCTTCGATACCCCCGGAGCTTCCAACAAAATACCAGTCTTTGCTACTAGGCTCAATGTATCTCAAGCGAGGCACATTCGATGGAAGCGGTAATAGTGCCTGAGATAGACCGTCATGACCGTACGCGAGCTCGCCCTCGTCGCGTAGTGACTCAAGAACAGCCTTGAATTCTAGATCAAGCAGTTCCGGGATGCGAACACCAAAGCTATCTGTCTGGGACGATGTATCTAAGTCCGGCTTCATCTCAACTTTAGCCTTACGTATGCTCAGCCAGGCGCTTCCGCCGCCTTCACGTACAATACTTGTATCATGTTCATCAACTACTACTCTGCCCTTAAACAGCACAGATGGGCCGTCTACGACGAGGGTCTCGAACTCGCCGCCTTCTCCTAGGACGGCACCCCGCCCCCCGTCGCCTCCAAAGCGTCGGAGCGCGCGGCGGATGCGAGTAACAGCGGGCTCACTAGCCACATTTTCCCATAAAAACTCTTCTCCTAGACCAGCGCTAGCCACTTTCACGATGCGTGCCTCTATCCCCGCGGCCGCCATATCGCGGAGTAGCTGCGCATCATCGTTCTTATTAGTAGTAGTAGTACCTACAACTTGATCATCCGTAGCAGCGATGTGTAATGGAAGCTCGGGAAACTGCCACAGATACGCCAATGGCACTAAGCCCAGTCTCAGGGCCACGGATTCGACGCGAGTTCGTTGGTACGTCGATAGTATAGCGCCTGTACATAGAGCGTTGACATCCGGGTGGGCCTCGAGAACAGCACGCAATAGCGGGACAAGGGACTCTGTCTCATCCTCATCTGCTTGGTGACCATCAGGGTCCTGGTAGCTGATACCGTGGTCCACCGCTGTTCCCAGGATAGGCTGGCGAAATAGAGGTAGTCCCGTGGCCTGTGCATACAATGGAATAACTTGGTAACCCACGGTCTGGTACATGAAACTATTCAGGTCAGTCTCATCTTCCTCGTGACAATTGTGGTCTATTTCCGGTGCCGGGTCTGACGAAATAGTAGAGCATGAAGGGTGCTGGGGGGCTAGGTCCACGCCGGGAGTGATCCGTATGGTAGTAGTGCTAGTAGTGTTGCCGGCATCGGCCCTAGTTCCCTCTTCAGCTTCGCTTCTTTTTGTTGTAACAGTAGTAGTATCTTTGATATCGCTATGATTGCTAGCACTGGCAACTCTGGACAGTGGGTAGAGGTTAGCTAGAGCTACGACACTGTGCCCATTTGCCAAACAGTGAAGAATGGAGTAAAAGCTATCCTTTCCACCGGAGACCAGCGCGACCACGCGTAGGGGTCTATCCGGTGCCATGGCATGGGTATTCGGTAATTGCAGAAGGCCTGACAGCTATCAATTCCGGAGAAATAGAAGCAGAAATCGAATAGTCCACCAGCCCTAGCAGGGTGTCATTTCTCTGTACTAAGAATGAGCGGAAATAGCAGTTTCAACTATATCGACTATCGCGACTTCAGGGTGGCACGATTACCTCACTTTTCCTCGCTATATCTTAGGCTATATCTCAGCTGATATCGGCGTGATATGACTTGATATATGAGATCTTCTAAATAGCGTTCTGGACAAGGAGCTATGACCTTGCTGCTTGTGTTGATAGGGTTTAGGCGAAGCCTAACAGACGAGTCTATGCTAATCTATGCCGGCCTATGACTTAGTCTATAGGTATCTAGTCTATGCGGATAAGTTCCTTAGACGGTGTCGGGTTAGCGGGGTTTTGGATTGATGCGAGATTGCGAAGCTAGAAGTTTTAGGAACCGATTTTGTATCAGCAGGCCTCGGAACAGAAAGATGGCTCAAGATGCTAAGAGGTAAGTTAGCCAGTTGGAACCGTTCTACCAACGATAAACTAGAGGATATACGAGTTTACTACCTCGCTAGTTATCTTAAATAGTACCTAGGTTAGGTACCAAAAGTCCCTCCGTTAAATATCTACCTAACCTTAGGTACGATACCTAGGTGGGTAAGAGGTACCTAATGCTTTTCATAATTTTTGAAAAGACGAAGTTTTTAAAGTTAGTATGTGTTTAGTGAAAATAGTGAGAACCTGGAGAATAGAAGAATACCTGAATAGGACGGTTGACAACTTGAAGGTTAGGTACCTAAGGTACCTGCCCCAAGGGCTAATTGTTGGACTAGAGCTAGAGTTAGGTACCAAACGACACAATACCTTACCCGTCAAACTTCGAAAAAGTACCCGTATGTATCGACCTAATCTAAGGTAAGATTATTTGGTTAACAATTGCATGCTTTACGTCCAGTATGACACAATACACTAGTTAACTAGTACAATACTATACTACTTTGTTGACACACGTCATACGCATTAGGCATTAGCATTAGGTAGTTATCACAAGTAAACATCACCAGTAAACAAACATCACAACGAAACACACATCGAGTTATTTTAAAGGTCAAGTTTATTATTTGTTATTGGCGACAAAATCCATTGCTAGATTCAATATCCTATCTCTTACATAGGTCCTTGCGCAGGGCTATTCTTCTTGTGACCAGCACTGCCACGAATGCCATCGCAATAAAAGCAGTCGGGAAAATAAACCGAGTAATAACTTAGAAATTAGACACACGAAGAGGGGGGACGCAGTGAAGGGGGGAGAAGGGAGGGGGGTCTCCTCGAACAAACATCCTCCTCCTCCTCTTCGCACTGATTCGTGTCCTACCACGAGAACGGCTGCTCTGCCCCGCCTCGCTGTAGCGATTACAACGAGCGTAAGAGAATTATAAGCCGCCGAGTATAGTGTATAACATTGCTTTCCATGGCTAATTTCGCCTCTTTATTTGTTGTCAAAATGCCCGCCCAATTCGCGCCTCATCACCTAACCCGTTGTATCCCTTTAATGGCTGCCTTAGCCTCTCCCTTGAGCTTTTTTTTGTTGAATAACCATCGTGATTGGAAGAAAAAAAATGTTTTCACAATAATGGTACAAGAAGACAAGTCGATGCTGAAAAAAATCAAAGTGCAACTTTTGTAGTCCTCTCTACCTAGGCCTTGAGACCAGATCCATAAATGCGCTATGTTGGGGGGAATCGGTCGAATGTGTGAAAGTCATTATATCATTAGTGGGCGTACGCCGAGATCTCTTATCGATCTGCAAGGCGTGTAAATCTGATCTCAATCCTTCCCGAGGAATTTGGACGATTTATTCAGATCGCTTGCGCTTCTTCTTGCCCTGGCTCTCACTGGGAGATTCGTCCGATGAAAGATCGCTAGCGCTACCGGGAACTTCGGATGCCACTTGGAACAGGACTTTTCCGTAGTTAGCGTAATCTGTCTCTCCAGCCTGCATCAGGTCGAGTCCCTCTTCACTGGCATCGATGAGGTTCATAACGATAGCCCCGCTACCGTGAGTGCGTGCGTGTTGAGATAAGTTGTCGCTTCGAGAGAACTTCTTGCCGCACTCGTGACACTCAAAAGGCTTCTCTTGCGTGTGCAGAGAGCGGTAGTGTCGCTTAAGATGTTCTTGTCGGCGGAAGCGACGGTTGCATAGCTCGCAGACAAAGGTCTTGCTAGGGTCCTCAGTTAATGATTGCTTGCGGCCTCGGCGGTTGGGTGGGGCAGGAAGAGCAGTGGGCGCGCTCGAACCCGATGTTGATCCGGCATTGCTGCTGGCTTGAGTAGTGTCATTTTGGGCCGATTGTTGTTGCTGCTGCTGCTCGTCGCTCTGACCAGAGCTAGAATCAGCAGCAACATTCATGACGGGAACTGCCTTGCGCGATTCCTTCTTTGCCTTCTTTACCTTCTTATCCTTGTGCGAATCGGACTCTGTTGAACTAGAGCAGCAGGAAACACCAGTAGCTGCTGTGTCCTCAGTGTCAAAATCGCTCTCAGCAAAGAACGACTCGTGACCCAAAGACAGAGTAGTAGAGCAAGTACCAGAACGCGGTCTCTTGGCGTCGGCACCAGAATGCTCGCCAATGTTGACTAGACGGTTAACAAAGTCGTCCTCAGATTCCAAATCAGAGATATCCTCAAAAGTAGGAAGTCCGTGATGAGGGTCAGAGCTGAAATCGAAGTTATCAGGGAGAGATTGTTTTTGGAGAGCGTCACCCCTGAATTCCTCTAATGCGACAGGGGCAATGAACTCGGATGATAATGTGGGGTTCGATACACCGCCAACAGTTAAATTCCGAGGGTCGCAGAAATCAATGTCTTGTTCCGATGCAACTGATCGTGCATATGGAGAGGGTGACGGTGATAGAGAAGGGCAGGAAGTAGGCGAAAGGTGATCGTTGGAGAAGCTGGAATTAAGTGAATGTACCTGAGAAGATTGCGATTGAGATTGCAGGTAAACTGTACGAGTAGAAAAAAAATTAAGGTTAGCGGCCGAAGTCCCTTAGGCTCAAAAAAATAAATAAAAAATAAAGATAGGTGAAGATAAGCGGTGTATTTTCCCAATCCAAGCCCCGCCAAACCCCCCCAAAAAAACTCAATTACACATTTCTCGGCTTGTATTTTTTTCAAAGTTGACCTTTTAACAACGTATTCGCCTTGTAATGGGTAATTCGTAAAAAACGATGTCGGGATCCGCCCAGGAAAAAAAATAATAATCCAAATTTAAAAGAATAGGAAACCTACCAGGTGTTAATGGAGGTGAACCACAGTTGGCCCAGTCCAAATTCTCCAAGCTTTCCGGCATGGTCTCAATATCAGTCTTCACCATCTCGCATCCGTCAAGTCCGTCTAACCCAGAGAACATGGGGTTTAGCGGTGTGGCTAACATATCGTTCGTGTTGCATGGGCTACCCATTGAGCTACCCGACGTTGATAGGGGCGGTGTAGCCGGGTAGTAGAAACCGTCATGATCACAGAGCTCAGTCTCCAAGGCTAGTTTCATAGGCTGGCTCTGTAATAGCATGGCTGGTCGTTGTGTCGCTTGAGGCGATGCCATAGGAGTCATATTACTGGGAACGGCACCGAACACCTTGGGTGGCAGAGGTTGTTGTGAGCAAGACGAGTTTGGCCTGGAGTAGATCGGCGTCGACGGCAACGTAGGTACGATAGGGAATACCTGTTGTTGTTGCATCTGTTGAAAGCCGGGCTGTTGACTGAAGTGACCGTGGTGCCTGTTCTCCGGGTTGGGGTCTGGTGTGTAATAGAAGAACGGCGTCGGTCCCATCTGCGAACTCATCATAGTTGGGTCCATTGTCGTGTCTGATATACCCTCCTGTCAGTCTTCAAGGACGATAACCTTTCAACCCTTCAAGGAACTGACCTGGTACCGGAATTCGGTTACGTTTGCTGCTAACTCTCTAGAGTGTTGCCGTGACTTCGTTCGTTTATATATTAAGTATATTGGTAAGTTGTATTGTACAATACGTTTTGGGGCGGTTGGCCTAAAGATGGTGGTTTCGGTTCCTGGATATCTGAATGAATGAACGGTCCTTGATGTATATCAAATGACCATCTAGTTTGCTTATGACTCGGTGTGTATGCTGCTGTACATGAACCCTTATATTCCTCGACTTTAAAACTTCCCGTATATTATCGTCAAGCAGACTGCTGGCTTGGGAGAGGATGGGGTGTGACTTCGTTGTATACTTAAAGAAGGGCAGGATGTTCGAGGTGTGATCGAACGATTCCAAAAAAGAAACTCGAGTCGCAGAAGAAACAAGAGAACCGATAGGGTTATGAAGAAATAGAAGACAACCTAAGTCGACTGATATGTCGATCACGGACTAGGCAAAAGAGTAATGAACGTGGTTGAAGCGAACCTTGAAGAGGATAATGTAAAATAGTCGAAGCCCGCCCAGATCATCTATACCAGATAAAAGAGCCCATCGATAGGCACTGGAGGGCCTGCGGGTGGAATGGAAGACCCATAGAGAACCCACCACTCAAGGCCACCCTTGTCCATGTCTCACTTGGGGAAAGCTGACAAGGGGTCCAAAGATGGTCCTGGTCCGTCTGGGTCGTAGGTACCACTGGGCCGACCTTGTCTACTGCATGTCTGGGGCAAAACGGAAACATGAGATGAGTGGGTATGTTGACTGGTACTATGTGGGCGCAGCCACCGAGCGATTCTAAATCTGGACGGCACTAAGAAGGAGGAAAAGTACCGCGTACTGAGAGGTACTTTATACTATGTTCCCTTGTATCTATCTCATGCTCATAACCTGATGTAGGTGTTAGAGGTATTAGGTATCCCAAATTATGCCCTTCCCATGTTTATCCCATGTTTATCCCACGTTATCCCATGTTATGTCCACCTCTCTCTTTTTATTGACGGGCAGCAGAAACCTCTTGTCCGACTGGTCGTATACCTCTGTCTAAGGTATTGCATAGTGCGTATAGTGCACACACCTTTAAACTCCGTTGGTTTGTACGCAAGCGCGAGCATACGACACCTTGCATATCGCCTAGCACACTTCAGAGATGATACGGGCTCTCAGACCCGACCTGGCATCAAGAGTGCATAGTAGAGCTGCATTCGACAGCTATACATGGGGGGTTGTTGGCTATTCGTTTTTGGAGTATCTTGTTTAAAAATTATGTAAGTCCTAAGATAACGAATATACGGTGAAGCATGAGGTTAGTTAGTCTTTAGTTCGTTATCTTATAGTTCCAAGACGTTATTCTTGAACATAATTCGTCATAACCATTAACGTCTCCAACGTGTATGTATAATATACCACGCAAGTATATATCTGCCAAGAAGTACAAGACTTAGACAGTCTATACATATCTAAGAGGGAGGTATTCAAGTATATGGTAAATACCAATACCTACCATGGCGTGCGTAAAGCATTACATGATGCATAATTAATACATAACAAACGGATGAGTGAGACTATGTCCATACAGTAACACCTCGGCGGTCTTCCCCATGTGCTTTCTAGGGCTCCTTTAGGAAATTGATTGTCGTGGATGGTACCTGACTGCACAAGTCTTTTTTTTTTTCTCAGGATTTTCTTGTATGATTGGAACATGCATACATATCTTCTACGTCGTATGTATTGTATTTGTACAGCAGCAAACCGGCACATTTGATAGGTGGATTTGGCGAGCCACACAATTTGCATAATTCGTCCCTTTTTGCCAAAGCATTAACTAGTGGTGGTGGTGGTGGTTGTATTGCCAGTGGTTGTGTTCGGCTGCAACATTGCACAGCCAGTCGCTGAACGCTGTCCAGCCCGCGCGCGACGCGGAGTCCTCTGCGCCAGCCCATGGTGCCTATCCAGTAGAACGGCGTGATGGAATGCAGGTACGAATAGCCAGGCGTCGCGCCATGGATCACATTCGTCACTCGGCGCCCTCACGAGAAAAAAAAAAAAAGAACTGCGCTTATAATTAAGCCTCGGACGACCTTCTAGGCGTGTCGATTGGATCAGGGACGACTTGGTATTGAGAATATCATATGGTTCCATATGTTCCGGGACAATAGCTGATAACGATGAAAGGCTATGAAATGCCATGAGGAGTTATTAGACCATGTATATCTCGGGACAGGCAAACAAAACTAGCTACAGTGTAAACAATGGCAAGCTCGTAATTGTAATGACGTTGATCGCCGAAATAACCTGCCATCGATATCACTACATAGTATACGGGAGTTCTGCAGAATACCAAGATACCTATGGGTACCTATGCAGCCGAGCAGGCGGTTCCGAATTTGAAGAAAAAAAAATCGCAAACCGTTGATGATTGGATTTCACTAATAGGCTGTGAGCTGCTGAATGAAGATTTCATTTAGGTGAGGTAAGTATGGTCAGCATGCAGTCAGAGGCAGCCTGCCATCGCGTGTGTAATACAACAGTATCGGACATCGTATTGGATATAGAATGCCAATCCATACGTTTTGGTGTGAAGTAGTTCCAGTAGATAAAAGCCAATGATGTTCGTGTTTTGCCTAAGCTGGCCTCGCATTGGCGGATTGTCCCCAGATTAGCTTGTGATGAAAGTAGATTTTCACAATCTATCTGTTAAAAGCGGTTGCATCGATTGGAATTGGAAACATAGGATTAGCCCCCGAACATTTGCGTGAGTGGGCAAATCCTAAGGGGAAAAAAAACGCGCGCGTTCCTGATCTGCAAGCACTATACAGCGACTCACTATTAGATGCAACCTATTCATCCAGAGAGAAGAGCCTAGAGACGCCGATGATACTATATCTGCCTAATCACGTTGAGGGCTTCTGTTTATGGGACGTGCTCTAGTTAATTGTCCGTTTTTCTTCGGTGTGTCACAATAATCACAAGATTGGGTTGGCTGATTCCAACTCTAGGCTTGTTCTGATATCGAGTTCCAAAGTGCTTCTACCCGATTTTACAAGAGTCAACGGGCTACTCGGCGAACATTCTATTACATGAGATTATACCCCACATAGATAGATGTGATCGAGAATCCGATGGGCTGGTTCTTCGCACCGATTCAATGGAAGCGTGTTCTATGCAGGCGACAATATGACAGGACTCGATAGTTGTTAGGGTTAAAGGTTTAATTAGATGTTGATGTTGATGAGACCAAAGTACATGGCACGGCACCGTGATGGAGCGGAAGGGTGGACTGAACTTGAACAGTGGATGAGTTGAGCTGAGGTGAGGTAAATCTAGCAGTTTGATGATCTAATGTTGTTTAGGTGGCAAAGAAATAAGCTTCTTTTCTTAACTTGAGTCTCTCTCGCTCTTCTCTTTTTTTGGCTCAACTTTCTTCTTAGCTTAGGTACATAAAAAGTAATGTGATTGTTACGGGACTCGTCATCACCACCAAAGGCGAGTTCCTTCCTGCCTTTTTCGTACCTCGGGATCTTCTAATGCAGTCATTGGATCCTGATACCGTTTTTCTAGAGCACCTTCCGCACACGGCTCGGACTCGGAACCACTACAGAAAAATTGAAATTGAAATTGAAATTGAATTGATGTACAGCTGAGGAGGAGCAATGAAGTTACTTTTTTAACTTTTTGACCCGTCCGCCACGCGGGCAGTTGGAACGGCTCAACGTGGTGACCTCGTGTTAGTTTACAAACATCATCTCCACCAGTTTGCTTCAAAAACGCCATTCGTAATCATTTACATAAGTTGATAATAACTAGCTGATACCAACTTTCCGGATCTTCAAACAACACAACTAGACAACGTGCGCAACTGTCGTCACGCATGACATATGACACAATGACCGTCTAAACGTTCAAACGAATATCGAAGCAACTTCTATCATAGCGTAATTATCTAGTGATACACTACGCTCGTCTATTGCACCCTTACCTTGCTATCGCTTCTAACATTTTACCATGCGTCTGCCTCCGGAGGTATAAGTATGGCATATGCCGTATGTACATCATAGAGCATGTACATACATGTCGTAGTCATTAAGGATTCTTCTGTAGAGGGGCTATGTCAGGGCACACAACGCTGCATAGTATTGTGGTATTGTGCATTCTCAGGTGCTATCGCAATCCGAAAGGGTGCTGTTTGGGTACCATCAAAGCATCCATCGCTCGTTTCATTATTTTTGCCGTGCATATTAGTGCATTCGCCAATGCATTAGCCTTGGCATTGCATACGTAAGGTACATAACGTACTCTATACATATGCGTAAATAACACAAGCATCAGGCATGGATGTTAGTGCATAGATTATGTACTATACAAGGTTAGGTATGCATTAACATAATCCATCCATCCCATGGATATCGTCAGTGCTGTACATACGCTACCTGTTTGTAAGGTACATATTTTATGCTACGTCGTACTAACATAGCGGTGGAGCGGTGTTTTATCGGACAAGAGTCCCAAATCAGGAAGCTTTTATCAGGTCCAGACAATCATTCCCTTATTCCAATTCCCACCGCCCAAAAATGCCCTACCTAACAGGCCTAGGTCGACTGGTAGACAACTAGGTATAACTACACTAAACAATTCACTGGGACTCCCGACTTACAAGGTACCCATAAACAAGTTCCGTGGAAGCCTTCCGGCTCGACAGGACCCCCAGCGAGAGCCCTCATACCCAGGTAAGTTAATTTGCCTCCCATTTATGCGGCCTGTTACCCGGCTCCCACAGTGCTGGAAACTAGAATACGTAAGGATATGGATGTTTTCCGGTTCCATCGATAGTTGACAGAAAACGGATCAAGTAGACGAGTAACTACCTAGACCTAAGACGACGAAGTAGACGATGAAGTAGGTAGACGAATGACGATGTACTGGTTGGTGTGAGGTACCTGATCGTCTATTACGACTTTCTCCACACTAATCGCATTTCTCTCGGCCTATTCATCGACCACCTTGTACCTTGCATGCCAAATTGTGTGCCTGCAGATTCGTCCTGCAGGAACGATGCAGCAGCGGCAGGTTATTACTTTACAGAGTAAAAGCATGGCAAGTCGGTATGCAAGCAGGTAATTGATCCGGAGCTTAAGATAATCTGACAGTTGTGGATTAAAAGGTACCGAGAAAAAACAACAACCCCAAATGTGATCTCAACTCCATACTACTACCTACTACTACAT